CTTTGGTTTCTTTAGAATTGCTTTCGCGACGCTTCCGCGGCGGACCGTCACACAGCATGCAGGCTTTCGCGGGTCTTTCGCGGCGGGACCTTCTTTGGTTACTTTCGCGATAAGCTTTCGCAAGCTTTCGCGGCCTGCGTTTTGGCTTTCGCGGGGAATCTATAGGACACCCCCCTTTACTACTTTGTATTGTCAGGGTTTTTGGCGCTGCTCAAATAGGAACTTCATAGGAATAGGAATTTGGTTCTCATAGGAACTTGGTTGATAGGAAGGGGGTATTTAAATAGGAATTTCTAGGAATAAAAAATTGGTTCTCATAGGAATTTGGCTACCACACAAATGGTTCTCCTGTTCTTGTGCGGAATTTCAATTTGGTTATCATAGGAATTTGGTTACCACACAGATGGTTCTTTTGCCCCAAAAAGGGTACCCTGAAAAGAAGACATATGCCCATTTGGCGCGTTTTGCCATCTGCGGACATGGGTACTTCATGCACAACGTAGAACCCAGGGGGTTCACCCAAGAAGGCATTCTTGGGCACCTCTCAGGCGCCAAACTGGCATGCAAGATGCAAATTTGTAGATTACAAAAACAGACAAAAAACACAAGGACAGAACACAAACAAAAAGATGTTTGTGTGTTTGTATTTTTGTGTTTGTCTTGTGTGTTCCTGTTGCGTGTTTCTGTCTTTGTTGTCACACAAAGCACACCAACACAAACTACACACAAACACAAACCAAATGGACACAAACACACACAGACATACACAAAACACACAACACAAACACAAACACACAAATGTGTGTTTGTGTGTGTGTGTGTGTTTGTGTGTGTGTGTTGTGTGTGTGTGTGTTTGTGTTTTGCGTTTTTGTGATGTTGTGCTTTTGTGTTTGTGTGTTTGTGTTTGTGTTTGTGTTTGTGTTTGTGTTTGTGTTTTTGTGTGTGTTTGTGTTAAAGAACCACCTAACCAATTGCTGGCTAGCTAGCTGATTCGATGACAATCAAACCAATTAGCTAGCTAGCTTGCGTGCTCGCTCGCGCACTAACCGACTAACTAACCAACTCATCCACCAACAAATAAACTAACCAACTAACTAAGCAGCACATTAACCAACTAAGTGACTAGCTTGCTAGCGAGCTCATTAGCAAGTCCATTCACCCGCCAGCTCGCTAAAACAAAAGGGCTCACTCAACAAGTGCACAACACTCCTGACTACTTAAGTAAATAACTAAGTATATAGCCAAACAACTAAGAAGCTACGTCTCTGACTAATTCGCGCATTGGCCAAGGGTCAGCCAATTCACTTGACAGGCCATTCACTACCAAACTAATTACGCAACGGGACCGCTAACAAACACATCAATGATCGAGCCAGGTAGTCTCCCGAGCATTCACACGCACTCCCGAAAGGTCCTTGCTTGTGGAGTGGCAAGCTAAGACAAAAGGCAAGTAGAGTTTAAAAAATAACAAATCAAGTACCCAACTAATTTAACAACCGATCCAAACAACCAACCAACCAACCAACCAGCCAGCCAGCCAACCAACCAACCAACCAACCAACCAACCAACCAACCAACCAATAAGCCAGCCAACCAGCAAGCCAGCCAGCGAACCAAGCAACAACACACCGACCATTTAACTGAGTCGCAAGCAAACACTCACATACATGCCAACATCAGCAGAAGACGTAAGACTGGAGGAAGCAAGCAGCGAACAAAAAAATGGCGAAGAGAAACAAACAGCAAAGAACAAACTGTAACACTGAAGAGCAAGCAAGCATGGATCGACTGCACATGATGACTGGTATAAACTGCTAGTTTATGGATGCATCAACCATTCATTCAGTGTAAGCTGAATTCCAGGCAGATCTTAGACAAACACCTAGGAATGCACAGGTCAGGTTGGCACATGGCACATTTGCCTCCGCCAATGCCGAAGCCGGGGGTTATGATCCTACTGCTTGGGACCCGTCAATACACTCGCAGCGCAGCTGCTACTAGATGACAGTCACCTTTCCGACCCACTCAAAATGTGAATCCCAAGACGGCTTCTTACACAGACCATCTGAAAGGACTTGAGCCCGGACCAAATGCATCAACCAGGCTCGACTTTGGATGCTGCTCTTCTGGATCCGCCCCTTACCCTCAAAAGAGTACTGAGAGAGTGCCAAACCGGGTAAGACTTCTGGAAGCCGTTTCATTCGTAACGTGGCTCCGCGGCACTGCTAGTGGTCCAAGCCGGTTTGGCACACCAACATGTCTGGCTGATTGTACTGAGTGGCAAAGCAAACTTGCCCATTCCCGATGGCTTCCTTTGGCAGAGAATTGAGCCATAATGGGTTATTTAGTCTGTTTCGTCAACAAGCGGTGCAGAATAGAAAAAGTAGAGAAGCTAACCAGCAAAAGAAGATTCCCGTACTGCGCACATGAAAGTAATATCCTCACAATTACCCTTCACATTTGAGTTGGGAAACAAATGGAACCCAAAGGTTTTGTCGAGAACCCTCGAAATGCAAACACGTGTTTGACTATACTGTAGGAGCAATTCTGCACCATTGGTAGGTAGGTTATCCCAGTATTCAAGTCGGGCTTCATCTATCCCAACCATCTGTGAAATAGTAGTTCTCCATTTGCTTAAGTTTCCAGGAATCAGCCACATATTTCCAGCGATAGATTCCAACTTCAAGCCAACACGGGGAAAATCCAAATGTTGATTTCAGGCCGGAAATCGAAATGTCCATTTCAGCAAATGGACGCAGTCTTGCTACGAGACCCAACGACCGAACCTCCGACTCTTGGGAAGCGAGACCCAAGAAAAACCTCCGACTCTTGGGAAGGTGCTGGCGCTTGCACCCCCAGCTCCGTCTCAAAGGCCCTCAGCGGGGAGTCGGTGTAGTTGGCCCAGTCGCCCCATGCGGAGCCCGTGAGCCCGTCCTGGAAGAGCATGCCTCAGATAGATATGGCCGGACCAAAAAGAAACGAGCGACCCCTGATATAGTGGGTTATATAGTATCTACAAGGCTATATAGTATCTATAGTATCATAGTATACGTATATGTGGTTACATAGTATCTATAGCATCACATTTATGATGATCTAACCGCATTTGTAAGTTATACAGTATCTATCTGCAAGATCTGCAATATGTCCAAAACCTGAAATTAGGAACCCCCAAGTAAGGGATCTTTACCATGGTGAGCTCGTTCTAGGCTCGCTTGAGCTCGCCATAAATTAGGCAGATCTGTAGCGTTCCAGTGATGTGAAATAGGTCTGGACAAGTGAGACCCTTCGCACTTTTTCAGAAAACCGGAAACTCGCTTCAGGGAACAATAGGTGTTTAATACAACAAGGGAGAAGTATAGGGAACCCTGACCCCTCCTAACCAGACATGGGTTAGACGAACGCCTTTCCTGGTTGAAAGGGATACTGGAGAAACATCCAAGGCACAATGTTGGTTCAGTATTGATTCTGAAATGCTTCCGAATAAGACTGGAGTTGGGGTGGGAAACTTGCTCGTTTAGAATTGGCTTAGTACTGGGAGATGTGGGGTCTGGGAAACCAAGACCAACCAGCGCAAATGCTCAACGACTTGCATTTCTGCGTGAATTCCTAGCTCAGAAAGCCCGGACAGGGGAGGCCCATGTTCACCCAGGCGGAAACTGGACCGAGGCTCGCGCGCGTGGTCGTTTTTTGTTTTTTTTCCTTTATTGGAACAGACGCCTGGCAAAGTGGATGGAAAAGGAGGACCCTCGCTTACAATCACAGGGCATCAAATTGGTCTGCGGCCAAATGATTGTCTCTTCTATCAACCTCTGATTCGAAGACAGGAAAGCCATGAAGGAACTCCATATTTTTAGACAAATCCACATTGCAGGTGACACGGTCGATGGTCCTCGGCGTCGCCGTGTCCAATATTAAACTTTGTCTGGCAACTCAATTTGCCCAGTTGCTTGTTGACTTGTGGTTTCCTTTAAAGGCACGTCCCCCGAAACAAAAGAAAAAGCAAATACTGCCCAAAACGGGAAAAAACAAACTACCAACCCCCAAAACTCAACCCAATCCAACAGAAAAGCAACATTATGAAATTCGCTGGTTGCACCACCCATGCACAAATTGTGTTGGCTGATGTTAAACGGACCACTCCCAAATAAGAAGAAAGGGTCCATACTACTCAGCTTTTCTCTTAGTGGGTTGCATTGGTGGTGGAAGGTTTGGAGGCTTGGTGGATTCCCATTTACCCTCACGAGTCAAGGTTTCACATCCCCAAACCAATCCCACCATCTAGGGGTGGGGTACCTGAAATCTGCCATGCCAAAATCCCACCCCTGCTGGAAACCAGAGAAAACAGGGACAACGAAGCCTTAAAAAAAAAAAAAAAAAAAAACAAGTGCTGAGAAACCCATGATCGCCATCATGGCCAGTCGTCCGTTCGCCAGCTCCGCGGAAAGCTTCTTCTTGCGTGCCTGGCTGGGGCTCCTAAATCGGCATGGCTTAAGGTCTGCTGTCTGTGATCGATTTGCATTTGTTTCATTTGGATGGTTGTTAGTGGCTGCTTCTTGGGTAATCTGTGGACTTTCTTGGGTTGCTTCTTTTTGCATTTGTTTTGCTTGGATGATGGTTAGTGGTTCTTTTCTGGGGCAAGTAAACAAAGCTGTCTTTGTTGTTGCTACGGTAATACGCCCGTCCATCAAAGCTAGCTGTTAAGAGGTTGCTGTCCGTTTTTATAGAGGGAACATCTATTAACCTTTGGAAGGACCACCCCCCTCCTCCCCCCCCCCCCGGAAAAAAAAAAAGTCAACAACTTCACACTTACGTTACACGCTGTGATTCCCTGTTTCAGCAGCATCCCAAAACGTGACCCCCCCCCGCCCAATTTTGGAACATTCAATATTGCAATATCTCTTGCACGGGTTCCTCAATGAATTCAGTTCAGGCCTCTGAAGCAACAATATTGATTTGCGGTCCGCGCACCTTGCAGCACAAAGCGCGCAGCACCTTTTACAATGCAAAGCAATCTGAACGTGGCTCGCTGTGTTGCTATCCCTCTCAGACTGCAACTCGACGCCGTCGGAACTTCTGCAGCTGCCGCCAAACATTGTCTGGAGGACAGCCAGCACGGAAAGGAGCCAAGCGCTCACCTAGGAAGTTACTGGTAATTGGTTGTAGCTGTTCTCTTTTAGCAAAATGGACCGGAAACCGGTTCAGCTGTGGCTCATCTCCAACGTAGATCACGGCATTCCCCTTGCAACGGCTGCAGTATTTCAGCGGTCCGTCCAGGGAAACCGGGTGATCCGCCCGCCAACCGCCGGCGAAACCGGCGGAAAGAAGCGGTCGGTCGCGAGGCGCTCAGCGACTCAGGGCGTGCTCCCGAGCTTCTGATGCGCCAAAGCGACCTCTGAGTCCATGCGGCCCAGCAGCATCATCAGCACCTAAGCGGCTCTAGCTGCGTCAAAAAAGAAGGAAGCCCACTTTGAATGGCCTCAAAAAGGCGATGTAGTACAAACAAAAACACGGGGCATATAGGTCCCCCATCGTTTTGGGAAACAAATATGGATGATCGCTTGAGTTTCCGAATTGGGAACCTGCATGCCTTTGGCTTTGAGTTGAGATCCGCTCAACAAGGGTACCCTGAAAACATAGACACCCGTGTTTGTTTGAATACAAGGATCTGCTTGGCACACCTTGTTGAGGGTACAAGAAGAAACTCCAAATAAACTTAACGGCCACTAATTAAATGAATCAACAACCAAGCCATGGTGAATTGCGGCAACCTTGTTCATTGTGGTAATAACCTTTCCATCGCACAAGTGTCACCTCTGTTCCCACTGCGATTGCAGAGGCACCATGAGCCAGTCGCCGCGAAATGAATACCTTGGCACTCCGCAAAACGCGCGGGACGAACCAACGCTGTTGAAATCTTTGAACCGCTGTCGTTATGCGCCAGACCGGTTTCTTTTGCAAGGGACCAGGGTCCAGTTGAAGCAAGGCTTCGACCCCGACGCCCAAACCGAAAAAGGGAAGGACTTGTGGCAGCCAGTGCAAGAACAGCAGCAGTATCTGCATTACCCCCGAACATTTACTTGAACCTCGCATAGGGAACAAATCAAATGGACGATTGACCATCAGAACAAAGAAGCCCGTGTTGTGTTCTTACCACATAATCTACACCACGGCACTCAGTCTGCGCAATCATCGTGCTTGGTTGAGGTTGCATGTTGCCCTGCGTAATTCTTGCAATCTGCTCCGGTTCAAGCCTTTTTGGGGGCGAAGGGGTAGCTAGCCGGTGTCTGACCTGTCAAGGCTGTCAATACCAACGGGAAGGTGAACACACAATGGCTATGATTTTACATAAGGATCCACCTCACAAGTAATTGGTGGGCACGAATCTCAACCTAAATGATGTCCACGCAAAGCTGAGGCACATATCTTGGGCTGTGCCCCCAACCAACAGCAGCGGGTGATGGATGCTTAAGCCCCCCACTACTAGAGTGGCTTTCCAAACAAAAAGGGGAGGGGACTGCGAGTGGGGGGGGGGGTGGTGCGACCCAGTCCATACGCCCAAAAATGACTCTATTAGCCCAATCCCCCTGTCAACATCTTGCCTGGCGCGGCGCAAGGGATACTTGAAGCTCGCTGGCTTGTTCCGCTCGATGAAGAAGTGCCCAATCCAGGCACAGCCGTAGCCGATCAATGGGCAGGCCAAAAGCCGGCGCTTGTCGGCGCCGGACAGCAAGGTGTGTAGAAACACCCCCAGGCCTGGCAAGCGAAGTGTGAGTCGAGAATCGGGTGCCGTGCCCCGAAATGGATCTGACCAATTTGTTTGGATGCGTTCTAGGATGCTACACGCATGATTGTTTTGGGGCGCAAGCTGGCCAAGATAAATGAACCCGTTTTAGAGTCCCTTGAGCAACCTTGAGGATCTAACACAGTCGAAGTCGCGCAGTTGGAAAACCCATTTCAACACCTATTTGGGCACGCCCAAAAGCAACCCAGCAAAAATGAGAGGATGCCTTTGAGGGCCCCTTGCTTTACAACGGATCTGGAGATCTTCATCAGTTTCGCTCTTGCCACCCCATTGGGCGGTCCCCCGCTGAAAGACTCCGTGACTGGGGTTTGAGTTCAGCCTACCTTCGTGCGCGCCGGCTCAGCGAGTGATTTCACCAGTTTCTTACCTAGGTCCTCCAATAGAGAGGTTAGAATAAGGGTACCCTTAGTCTATTTTAGTAGGGGAAGCCTCCCCCCCAAAAAGGGTAAAAGGGCACTACTGGGGGACCTAGTTACTGCGAACTAACGCCGACTCTAGGCCAACCCTCGATGACCTGCATGCAAGCTCTTGCGGGAAATGCGGATGACAGGCATGACCAAATTGTTTCGCACGTGGGCATAACAACAAACCCCAAAAAGAGTATCCTCTAAAAAAGACACAATCAACACCCACCGAAAGGGTTCATTCTCTGACCCGTCTCCGAAACATGGCTCTCCCTCCAAGCTAGCCCCGCAGCGCCCTCCCTTTTGGCAAACTGATCCAACCCGCCTGTCAGACTCCCTGCAAGATGAAGCGATCGGTTGTTCTTGTCGGTATGTTCACGACAGTAGTAGGGCCTCAGTGCAAAGCCTGCCTGGCTCGCAAGATCAAAACAGCTGGACACGCTGAACATAGTTTGCTTGAACAAGACTTGTGCCACTCACAGAACCAAACTCCAAGTGGGTATCCCATGGGTCCAAACTAGACTGACCAGCCTCAAACTTGGTGCGGAATCCCAACAACCGCAGTGATACCATTTGACTTTGGCGACCACCTCCGACCCAGGATATGCAAGAAGTTATCTTGGCGACCAAGTCGTGCGTGTGTAGTGGCCAAAGCATCAGACTACCAGGAGCCAGGCCTTAGCAAAGTAGTTGGTTACCGTAGAGATAAACTACCTACCATGGTTGTAAGCTGCAAATTCCCGTTGGTTTTTAGTCTAGAGCCAGGCTTGCTAACCATTGAAGGCACAGTGACCACAACGGCGAAACAAGCTGGGTCGGGCCAACTCATTTCATTCATGGGGGGTACAACTGTTTGCCTCTGGAGTTTTACATCATGGTGTTCCCTGCTTAACTTGTTCCTCCTACCACTGGAAATCTGACCATGGTTGTGGCTCACCCAAGTTTCGTTGCTCTCTTTGTGTGCCACGAAAAAGCAAGGGATCGTGGTGGCCTGCCTACCAGACCCCTGTTCTGCTGCCTCCGGGGCTATCACTCGAAACTCAGAAAGCACAGCCCGAAAACTGTTCTTCGCCACAGCGCACCTCAGGTCTCTCTTCGAAAACCAGCTTGAGCCGGGGGACTTCTGTGGCTCTGAATTTCAACAAGGGACCCTTTGGTGGACATGATTTGGGTAGGGGTTCATGTCCAGTCACTTTGTAGGCTCCCTAAGCTTCATCTCCAGCATGGCAAAAGCCATCGACCACTCCAAAGTCGACTTAAATCAGGAGTGGTTGATTTCCCCAAAAGGACCTTGGGGTAGTCAAAAAACGAAACCCTGCCATCGACAGTTTCGCGTGCCTGGGGCCTGGTAAGTTCGCCCCAAAACGCTCCCCGCCCAACACTGCATACTGCCCCCTCCAATTCAATGGGAACAAAGCGAGGCAAAACCGGGGGATGGTGTGGGCAGTTTTCAAGTCTCCAGCTTGACTTTCCCCTAAGGCCTTCTGATCAGTCTCTGCTTCTTTTTCTCAGCAGGGGTCCTTACATGTATGTGTATAGAAATATATTATCGCTTGTAACTATCAAGACAACAAAAGGAAACTACCCTTTAACTCCCCCAAATAGGTGAACGTCTCAATCGCCCAACCAGGGCCATCATATGCCATCATCTTTCCAACTGTTGGTATGGTAGCAACCAACGTTGTTGCTGTTCAGCCCCCTACTAAAAAGTCGTACAAAACCAAACAGCAAAACCCGACAACAAAACAAAGAAAACAGAAACAACAAATGCCAGCAACAGTGAAGCGCCAAAAAAATGACGCCTCTCTGAGTCCAGGGGCCAAAACTCGCGAAAGGAGGCAATGCCCTCCGGCAACGGATACTCCGTTCGCATGGCTCAGAAACTTGGATCAAAGTTGTGACCGCTGGAATGCTCACCTCCAAATGGAAGGCACCCCCGCTTGCATTATGATGGGGTCTGGCAATATGGCTGGTAAAAAATCGGTTGGATGGTAAATGGCAACATGAAGCAACACCTGCGGTCCCCTGGTGGATTCTTTTTGCCCATGCCCATATGAGCTGTACACAAGCCTCTTGCCGGGCATGTTCCTTTCTTGTGATGCCAGACGAAGGCGGCGGCAAACTGAGCACGTGATCTGCAAGTGCCCTGACCCATGGTTGTGCCTGAGTCAGAATGGGACTGTGCTTTTGGTGAAACAAAAACACTTTGATCAACAAAAACAGTTCCAAGCCAGAGAAAAAACAAGAAAAAGCAGAAAAGAAAAACGGAAATCCTGTGAAATGAAAGCCTCCTGTGCAAATGTGTGAAACCTTCTCGTGACAAATCTCGCTAGCTTCCTTCGCCGACAAAGCTCAACATCAGAAAGATAAGCACAAGGAGGTCCAATCAGCAAGAAAGCAAGGTGCTACGATTTTCCAATGTTCTGCACGCGGGAAAGTTCCAATCCAGCGTCGGCTTCATCGTCTGGACCCCTGATGTCCGCGAGTGTCATGGCTCCAAGAGGAGTCGTAACTTCGCCCAAGGGACTGTGGGTTCATGCACACCAAGCGGAGCCTGCTACCGAGACTTCTTTGGTGCGGAAAGCAATTCCAAGTCCCCATATTACGCGTCACCATGCCTTCATTCGGGCGAAGGATCATTTGCCTGCACCTGCCGATAGCTTTGGTGCTACAATACTTGCAGTTCCCCCTCTCCATATTTCAAAAAATGAGGGTATATCAAGCAAGGACTGCAAGGAAACTGATCAATCCGGGCGGTGTAGATTTCAATTGGAACCCCTTGGTGGACAGAACATTGCATCAGGGTGTGTGTCCATCAACCAGTCTGGTGGTCATCCTCATTCGAGTCGGCATGTTTGGAGCCACCAACAAGGACATCCCTGTAGTGTCGACCCGGCTGACCTATCCTGGTGGATTAGGTGGCCTTGCCCAAGAAAAGTGAAAGTGTCCACTGACATGGGACCCTCCATCATCAATCAATCAATCAGACGGGTGGTGCCAAGGTGATTTCTCAGTGGACCCATGTGCTTTGTAAAACGGACGCCTCAAAAGCAAGCCTCAGTTCATGGCTTGGATTGGGAGTTTGAACCCCTGGTCCTTTCAGAGGGCAAGCGGTAGATGGGACACTCGCCCTCGGCCAAACCACGCGCCGGCCTCGGGGTTTGTCACAGGGCCCAGGAAGCCCAGGCCCAAGTTGCCCTTGCCTCGGGCTGACCGTATGGCAAGAGATCATATCTGGGCTCAGATCCCCCGCGAAAAGTGAACACTCTGGACTTTGGTGGGTGGAATTTGAACATGCTCACGAAAAACTAGCGCTGAAACCTGAAGGGGATCACCAAGATATGACAAGTTTATGAAATCAAATAGAGGTGGCCAAGCAGACCACAAGGGAAAAGCGGGATAGACTCAACATATCACAACAGGGGTTGAATGGGATAAGCAACCACAGCCACTAGGGGTTATGTACCCTATCTTGCTTTCATGGCGGTTTGGTGGTCGGAAGCTTCTTTGGGGCTCGCTGCAGGACTCCGTTCTGCAGTGGGCAGTTCAAGCTTGAAGTGGTAGTACACACCCCGGATTCATACTGATTGTTTGGCTCCCCAATTGTCAACCCGCTTTGCATGAATGCTAGGAAGCCGTTTCGGAATTCTTGAAAGGGGTACACCCACCGAAGGATTCCAATCCGAGCTTCCCTCGTCCTAAGTGGTACAGTGCTACAAAGAAATGCAAAGGAACACGACTGTCGTCGCAATCCAGGGATTGAGCCTTGCAGCCCAACACTTAACTACAGTCGCTTACTATTGCAATGTGGACTACTGCGGATGGACCAAATCCAATTTCGCGCCAGTTGGGGTTTGTTGATCAACCAATATTCACGACGTTTCATCCATCAACCTGGTGCCTGGTGTGGATGCTGTTCATCCACAGTATCTTGGCCCAACCGCAGAGCACACCACAAAAATCAGTCAACCTCGATGATTTGTTCAGCACATCCGAGTTCCCAGGTATGCCTCAGATATGCCTCAGACTCTCTCAACAGAGACAAGTCGCCGAAGTTCCCGGGCTCATCGCCCACCGGCTTGTTGATGAAGAGCTCATAGGTCCCCAAAAAGGCCACGATCTGCGCCCATCCCTGGCCTGGCCGCTGCTGTTTTGAGTCATCGAGCCGCCGAGAAACGCCCACACGGAGATCCGGCCCCCGGCCAACTCCCCCCTGCGGGTATCCACCAAAAGCAACTGGATCCTGTTGGTGGGTGTTTCTTCAACTTGGGACTTCTTTTGCGCTTCCGCTCACCGAGAGCTTCAGTTGTGACGAGATCCAAGCGTTTTCTGGCGAAACCTTCCAAATCCTGAAAAGATCCCCAAATCAAATCCCCAAATGGACATCATCGCGAGCTCGTCTTCAGAACTTGTAAAGTCAAACGGGCAGATCCGCCCCTCCCGCGCCTGGCACCTTGGTCAGGGCCGCCAGGCCGTTGGGCACCGACTCGAAGCTGATGCCCAGCTTCGGGGACAGGTCCTGAGCAGAGGTGGCGTTTTGAGGCTAAATCGATGGCCCAGGTAAATGGGGCATAAACCCCATCTAAACCAGATGCCCTTTTTAAAATAGATGGGCCTTTTGGAATCGTAGATGGCCCTTTTAAAACATAGATGGCCCTTTTTACAAATAGATGGCCCGTTTGGAAAATAAACCTCATCTAAACCTGTGGAACCCATCCATTTTTTTTTACCAAGTTCACCTCAAAAGGACACCTATGGTCCTGAGATCTCCGAGCCGCGGACCTGCCGATGGATGGGTCAGCCGAAATGGGCGGCTCGTCGTTCTTTTTTTCGGGTGGCAAAACATGGGTGGCTCGTCCTTTTTGGAGGCTCCGTACCCCTTTTTGTTAGGCTTTGAAGGGAAACCAAAGTGAGAAACCAGCGTTTTGGGGGTCCCCTGAAAAGACAGGCTCAATGGTTGCTGGGGTTGTGCTGGAAACGTAGAAATCGGTACCTGCTGAATGGACGCCCATGTTCCACCTCTCGCGCTTTGATCATCTTGACCAAAAAAAGGGAACACACCAGGAACAACCACCCCGTTGCAGGTAGCAACCTGAGCATCCGCACACCCGCAAATCCAAGTCACAGAAAACAAAACCAGGCGTAGCCCTATTGGAGGGGTCTGGATCTCATGGTTTTGAACCTCAAAAAACCTCTGTGAGGTCCCAAAATAGCTGTGAAAGGTTTGACAGAATCCCCTGTGTGTGTTTTGGAGGGTACTGTACATTGAGGGGCTCGTTGAAAGGCACACGCCATGTTGATTCAAGTTGTTGGAGGAGGGGTCAAGCATGGGCTACGTGAAACCCTGAAATCTCATATTCCTTGTGGTTGTCTAAGCGGGTATGTGTCCAAATAGGGCTGGCCGGAACCTGGTGCTTTTCCTGAACTCAGTAGGGAATGCGGGAATGAACCTGGGGATTCCATTAAAGAAACCATACAGGATGGTTTGTATGGGGCATTCCCTCATTCCCTGCTGAGCACCAGCAAGATGCACCAACCCGGGAAAAGGTAAATCTGGTCCAATCGCTTCGACCTGCCCAGTTTTGACGCTGCTCGCGTGAACCAAGGGACGCCTGGCCATTTGAAATACTCAGGCACGATGTAGCCTGCCGGTCGAAAAGCACCAAAATCATGTGTTCTGATTCTGTTGCAAATTTAGTCAGCCTTAAAAAATAGAATAACCATGGAGTGGACTCAGTAGACCCCAGTAAAAATCAGAATGTCCCTACCTGCCCGGTCTTCTAATTCCACCAGGAAAGTTAAGGGGGCTGGAGGAGCTTGCCATTTTGCAGTCCACTACACACCTCTGATCGAGTGGAACCCAAACATACTGCTCCAGGAGGTCAGAAGTGGTTAAGGGGCACTCTTTTTGCAGGTGGCTGAGTTTGAAGGGAAGCCCGCCTAACAAAGAAAAAGGGCGGGGTTCCACTGGAGGTCTGGGTCAAAATTGATAGGCCCCCCCTGGGTTTTGAAAAAAACAACTGTGGAGTCCCCAAACAGACCATGTGATCTGCACCTGAGCCAGTGAGACACAAGCACCATCGGCTGTTGACCCAATGTCAGAATCCGGAGTTGAAAAAAACACGTATCAAGAGAATCGTGTCCCGACCGTGCTATCCCCCCGACCCGTTGTCGTTCCCATCGCAAAGCCACACATTGCTCTCCTGCACACAAGAGCTATCAAAAAACCCGACAACCTTCTTACACAATATCTTTGCATATCCGCGCTGTAGAGTGCACCAACCCGAGCAAGCGCGGGTGTGCTCCAAATCATCAAGCGACCGAGTACTAGACAAAAGAAACAAAAACGTGAACTCACTCGCTGTGGATAGACCAAGTCCTGATCCAGTTAGGATAAAACCCTGCGAATTGATCAACCACTTCCCAACTGGCGCGAAGTGGAGTTTGTCCATTCACATGTCACATGAAAAGTGTTCAAAAGCAGCTGCCCAATGTGATGTTCAACACGTGGAAGTGTCTTGGAAGACCCCGTCAAAACACGGGCCAAGTTTGCCCAGTACCCAAGAACCAAACATGGCATGCTCTTTCTGTGTGGTGCTGGCTCTTACAGGTTTCCCCAGCCAAAAACCGAGCAAAATGTCTCCTTTGCTAAAAGAATCCCCACCAACAGGCACACACTCATTCTTGCTGGTTGCGAACCGCCGGCCTTTCTGAGTCCCAAGTCCACCCGCACCGGGCCCCACAACAACTTCCGACAACCCCCCCGGCCGATGCATGCGTACATGGAGATCCGCCCGTGCTTCAGCTCGACCTCGCGGCCTTGTGCCGACTTCTCTGAGAGGCTGGGCCCCAGAACCATCGCTCCCCCCAGACACCCTGAGGTTAATCGAGTTTTTCAAGTATCTCCAGCGGTGTGTTTTGGGGGTGGTGTGGTTGCTCCTCAAGCAGGGTGTGATGTGAGAATCATCACTTGCAATCAAAGCAAGTTGGGAAAAACTCAGCTTTCCTCTAATCGGTGGTTTGGCTTGACAGCTTGGAAGCAACGGGCGGCTTCTCTACAAGAAGCAGGTTGGACCAACAATCCAAAGGAACCTGCTAAACATGCGGCTGACATTGCAACCTTGGGACCTCGTTTGGCCAACTCCCAAACAGCCAGGGAAGGCTTCTAGTTCTGACCCCAAAAGGCTAGTCCTGTTGAAACCACAAATGGTTGCCCTTGTTGGAACCTTTCGCTAACGGGTCAACATGCAAAACCAACCACGCTCTATTTCTGGGAACCTTGACATTCACGCTGAAACACAAAGGGTCACATGGGGGCTTTGGGCGGAATGGTCATGAGAAATTCAAGCGTTTGACACCAAATCATAGCAAAGGGCAATGGCCGCATGAACCAACGGTTGCACCTTGATAAGACCGGCGAGTTTTGGTTTGGATGGCGGATGGCCATCCAAGTAAATCCCTCAACTGAGCAAACCACAACTCTAGCTCAGGAAATTCATGTGTTGCTGCGTAGATTGAGACTTGCGAGATAAAACAAACACACAACGCTGCAGTCGGCAAACAAAAACATGATTGATCAGGGGTGTAAGCAGTTACATCCTGGAAACAACTAAAATCGAGCAAGGGTCCCGTGGGCAGACTCATGGACCAATGGATGGCTATGAGGGTTTAAGGCCTTACTACCCCCGTGAAACCCATGGCTATGATCTAGGCCTAACCCATGAAACCAGGCAGAACCACCTAAAAACAAAACCCCACTTTTGGGGTTGGCGCTTGCCTGCCGGCACAAAATGCACGTCGAGGCCCGGACGGCGCTTGAAGGTGGCCACGTCTCCATCCGCAGAAAGGCCCAAGGGGTCCCAGAAGCCCACCGGGGCCTGAACGCCCAACTCGCCTGCCGCTCGGGTTGGTTGCGGTTAACGGGAATCAACTGAAGGGGTTTCCTCTGGTCATGATTTTGGGCCTTTGAGACGTTAGGGGGCCAAAAAGCAGAAGGCACTGGCACTTGAAACTCAAGACGAAGGAACCCAGAATAGTAAGTCGGGTTGATCGACATGGGGGGCGCTCCCTCATCCGACTTTGCGCAGTCCGAGCTGGGACGCCAGCGCAAGAAAACCTAGTACCATCTACGGTGGAAGCCCTAAATATTGCAAGTGCCACCAAAGTGGATGCTTCTATGGCATCGCCCGCTGCGTGCGGACCCCGCGCGTAACCCCTCTTCCGAGGCCCAATATATCGCAAGTTCAACATTGTGTCAGGGCAGGGGGGGGGCCGTAGATGCCATGTCACAGCGCTTTTTTTCGCGGACCTTCAACCGTCTCGCATAGACTGTCCGTCGTCTTTCGTGTCCGCGCCCGTCGCTCCACACTGCCTCTTTGTCTGCGCGCGAAGACTTTGGAGAGACTTGCCTTGGACATCAGCCCACACATGTGCAACTTGAAAGGGTTTGGAGACGCTTGCCTTCCAAAGCAGCCCAGACATGTGAAACTTGTGAAGCTTGGCCAGAACTCGTCCTGAAACCCGTTGTTATTTGCGTGAAACTCGTGAAACTCGTGAAGCTTGAAAGAAAAATAAGTAAGTGTTTATTTTTCTTTCAAGTTTCACAAGTGTCACGAGTTTCACGCAAAAAACAACGAGTTTCAGGACGAGCTCTGGCCAAGTTTCACAAGTTTCACATGTCTGGGCTGCTTTGGAAGGCAAGCGTCTCCAAACCTTGACACGGCCGCTTCTTATAGAAATCAAGCTCCCAGCCTTGCTTCACACCTGTGACCGCTCAACCCCAGACGGTGGAAGCCCTAAATATTGCAAGTGCCACCAAAGTGGATGTTGACACCGCTTCTATGGCATCGCCCGCTGCGTGCGGACCCCTCTCCCCCAGTTACAATGTTGAAGCCAAGTGCGTAACCCCTCTTCCGAGGCCCAATATATCGCAAGCTCAACATTGTGTCAGGGGAGGGGGGCGGCGTAGATGCCATGTCACAGCGCTTTTTTTCGCGGACCGTGCCCTCTGCTTGTCTGCTCCGCACTTGCAATTTTTAGGGCTTCAACCGTAGCGCTAAAATTGACGATGAAAATTGAACAGTTCAGCAAACAATATGCAGCAGATTCCGAACTCCAGCATGCTCAAGGTAACCTTGTTCTTTCGCCGGGTCCTTGAACTCAATCAACCTTGGTTCAGAAGGTACCTCTGAAACCACCCAGCACACACAATGATACAAGAATGTGTGTGTGTTGCGCGTGTGTTGTGTGTCGTGTGCTGCATAGTGTCTTTCATGCGTGTGTGTGTGTGGTGTCCGGTGCGTGTGGTACGCAGTGTCTGTTGGGTCGCTGTGTGTGTGTGTGTGTGTGCGCGCGTCTGTGTGTGTGTGTGTGTGGTGTGTGGCTGTGATGGGCGTGCATTGTGTTGCGTGTTTGTTGTGTATCTGTTTGTGTGTTTGCTCCTTTAACTGTTTGTTTGTTGGCTTGCTGACTTGCTTGCGGCTTGTTTGCCTGCTTGATTGTTTGGTTCTCTGCTTTCTTGTTTGCTTGTCTGTTTGTTTCCTTGCTTTGCCTTCTTGGTGGCTTGTACTTGGTTGGTTGGTAGTGTATTTGTTTGCTTGCTTGATTGTTTGTTTGCTTGTCTGTGTCTTTGCTTGTTTACCCATTATTTGTTTGTTTGTTTGCTTGCTTGCTTGCATTGCTTGCGTGGCTCCTTGCCTGCTTGCTTGCTTACGTGCTTGTTTGTTTGGGTGATTGACTGTTCTGTTGTTTGGTTGTTTGGTTGTTTGGTTGTTTGCTTGCTTGCTTGCCTGTGTCTGTGCGTGTTTGTCTTGCTTGTGTGTTCAGTCGCTGGTTGCTCGCGTGGTTGGTGGTCGGTCAGTCGGCTGGCCAGCTTGGCTTGCTTGCTTGCTCTTGATTTGGTTGGTTGGTTGGTTGGTTGGTTGGTTGGTTGGTTGGTTGGTTGGTTGGTTGGTTGGTTGGTTGGTTGGTTGGTTGGTTGGTTGGTTGGTTGGAAAGGTTGGTTGGTTGGTTGGCTGGCTGGCTGGCTGGCTGGCTGGTTCGTTGGTTGGCTGGCTGGCTGGCTGGCTGGTTGGTTGGTTGGTTGGTTGGTTGGTTGCTTTCATGCTTGCTTGCTTGCTTGGTTTGCTTGGTGTGGCTTGCTTGGTATATTTGCTTGTTTATTTTTGTCTGTTTGTTGGTTTGTGTGTGTGTCTCTGTCTTTTAGGGAACCTTTTCAGGATGAATTACAGGGAACCAAAAACAAGACAGCACTAGGTCGAAACCCTTTTCAATTGAAACTTGTTCTGCTTTCAAACTTTAATTAGTTTGATTTGTTTGTTTTCAGCTGAAGAGAAAAACTGCCCAACATGGGCACCAACTCTGCAAGTTTGCTTCCGTATGTCCAAACCTGATCCCCAAGTCTAGGACATACATGATGAGCTCAAGGCGATGCGCCTTCGAAGGCGCGCAGCGGGCTGGCGGTGTAGTTGGCCCAGTCGCCCCACGCAGATCCCGTGAGCCCGTCCTGGCGCCAAAACCGTCGGAGGGGTCCTGGTAGGAATCGGGAGGTCTCAAAAGTGGGTTATGAAAAACGCCAGCCAAAACCGGGGTCCGGTTTGAGAAGCTGCCTGGTTCTGGGAAGTTGCCACTTCTGCGATAAAGTAGGATTTGCAGGGTTGCCTGATCACAGCAAGTGGCCCTAAAACCATAAATGTTCCAAAGCCAGGTGTCCACTATACACCCTCCAGGGTTTCCTCTAAGAACCCGCAGGTTCGCTTCCTTTTTGGAGGTTATTACACCTAAAAACGGGTAGCCTCACCCTGCTAGAAAAAGCATTGAGACCCACGATGTCTTTGTGGAGGGGAACTCATCAAGCAAATGGGTTTTCAGAAAATCAGGGGCGCTGAATAACTTGGTTACGTACACGCATGATCCTCTTCTGATCATGATTTTTTTGGTCTTCAATTCCCCCGCAACTTTGCTGACTTTGCTCTAATCATTTCATTTAGTCCCTTCTATCAACATCTCTGCTGTTGTCTCAAAATGACTTGAAGTGGGGAATACACGCGTGATGCACGGTGTTTCTTGAGGTTGTCCCTCCAAAGAACCCATGAACAAGTCACAGCCACCTGGCCTGCGCTGCAACAAGCAGTTTCCCAGTTGTTCGGGGAGCCTACTTGACAAGGCATTGGAACCTTTTACGACACATGTCCCAAACCTACCAAACAAAGGGTCTTCTTCCGACTGGTTCCAGCCCCGGAGATTTGGGCAGTTTCAGCGAACATGTTGGTCCCAGCCACCACTAGAAGACAACACCTAAAAGTTGGAAGTTTGTTGTTAGACAAGTCAGTGTTCCTCTATGCATAATAATGCTCCAATAAGTCCTGGGATCGGCCAAACACTCAAAGGTCCTGATGTCCAAAGGAGCTGGGAATGACAGGGTAATTGTTTGGAACAACTTCGCTGAAGTACAGCTCGCGAGAAGTGGGCCAACACTGGCAAACCAAAAGATCAAAGGGTCGATTTGTGTTATCTAGCTGGTGCACGGAACCCCCGTTTACTTGTTTGCTTGTTCTTTTGCGGGAAATAGATGACCTGCTCGCTCCCAAACCCAGCCAGTCAAAGAAACGTTCAGCTACACATCAGGTGCTGGGAGCCTTTCTTACGAGCCAACTTGTAAAACGCTTAGGAGAGCGGCCTCCTCCCTGGGGAGCCTAACCCCAAGACTTCTTTTTGACATGCTGTAGATTCCCGAACAAATGCGGGGTATTTGTCTTGCTGTGTCTAAGGCGCCGTGCCACGGGCAAGAGATTCACTCGCCATGGCTGGATGACACCCATGTAGCCCAAAATTGCGTTTGGCTGAAACTCGGACGGCTTCCGCGGATTGAATCATTTATGCCACGCTTTCACGCAGGTCCGCATACCTGAGGCCAAACACATGTCCCCCCAGCAAGGAATGATCATCCTTGGGCCTTGTGTGTTGCTCAGTGTTACTCAGTATGGTGTGAACCCAATTGATTGAAAATCCTCACATTCTGGAGCACAACTGACCTGGATAACTACGCATCAAACGGGTTATATATTGGGCTCCAATGTCTCGTTTGATAGCTGCCTGCAAAAGCTGGTAATTACCACCCTGGCCACCGCATTCACACATTCATGCGACAAGCGATGCACGACAACGCTCTTGTTGCATTGGGCGCGCCATGTGTTGATGGTCCCTTTGTAATATCGTTCCAAAGGGACACCGAATAATTCAGTAACCCACCTATGATGTTCGGGGCATTGTTTTTTGCAGACATATTGACATATCCACAATCACGAGCGACAAATTCAAATTGCCTGGAAGAACATGCCAATGATAGCCATCATGGCCAGGCGCCCATTGGCCAACCTGTGGCAAACAAACAACAAAACCAAATGCACGGATGCAAAGCACTGCTCACGTCAGTCTGCCACAGTTCCTTCCCTTCCGTTGCTGCCCTCCTCGCTCCCCTTTCCACAAAAGGGGGAATAGCAAGCTCTGACTTTGGCCGAGAAAATGCAAAATCGCGGTGGTTCAAACCGTGAACGTCTGCATGCAAAACAATTCAACAAGCTGGTGTAGGTAATGAGCAAAGCAGCAGGCCATAGGAAGCGCCGCAAAATGCCACAAAGGTCTATGGGGGGGCTGCGTGCTATCTTCCTGGTTGTGTGTTCCAGTTCTCTCGAAACACGCTTGTCGTGGTTCTTCGCTATCAAAGCATGACAACATCTCTTGAAGAGGGGGTCCCTCACAAGTCCAGACCGACCTTTGCACGTGAATATCCGGCGCACCAAAAACCATGCACCAAAAGACACACTCCCCGCTCCCAAAGTAACTCTTCGCTCGCGGAAATCACAAGGACAACAATCGCCAACTTGACAAACCGCTCATTTGAGCAAGGGTTAAAGCTCCTTTAGCCACCGGCTACATGCGGGGGATACCGCGAAACTCCTCGAGGCAAGCTGCTTAAAGGCCCCAGTAGGCTGGCATTCAAAAAAGGCAACGCGATAATAATATTAATAAACATAAAATCAAGCATAATGATATTAATAACAATATTAAGAATATTAATAATAATATTTATAATAATATTAATATACCTGGTGGATGAGTAGCCTGCACATCCGTGGACAAGTAAGATCGCTCGATTCGCTCGCCGAGACACCCTTAGCTGTTAGCCGCCCTTGGGAACAGAGGGATCCTCTCCAAAAGGGTTGCCTACATCCTCCACCCCTCTACTGGGAACACATGTGTCCATAGTTCTTGGTGCGCCCACAAAGGTGAATCGCGAATGGGGCGCGGCGTAGTGGAACGCGCCAGACCCGCTTTATGTTACTTTAGGGGGGTAGCGATGTTCCTACAAGTCAAGGCAACCCCTTTGTCTTGCTCAACATTTAGCCCCAAACTTAGGAGTTACTCAGCTGCCCAAAAGACCTGCACCTAAAAGGAGAAGCCTTGTGGGGTCGCTACGTATGGACCAACATTGGAGAACCACTAGGTCAAAAGGTCGGCTTTGAACAACTGTTTTTTTTCTTCTGTCTACCATCATTGCTTCAGCTATACACCTGAACATTGCCTTGTAAATGGTGGTGTCCCTGTATTCTGGTGGAAAAGGCCAGGTTTCAATTGCCTATCTTTTAAGGAGCCCTGTTCAGTAAAGGGCGTTAGGATGGTGCCAAAGAAACCAATGGCAGCCGCTTGATCTTTGACGCGCTCGGAACAGTTTGTCAAACGTTGACCCGGATGCGTATGTGTCCAAAACGTGGGGACACCCTAAAATGGAGGTCTTCTTTTGATTCCCCCTTACACCACCTCAAACATTGCGCCTCCAAAGTCAAACTTGTATGTACCTTTTCTTTTAGGCTGGTTAAAAGGGAGACACAACTTGCCCTATAAACCATCCCCTATGGCTTCATTTAAGTGAATCCCTAGGTTCATTCCCAAACCCTGGGTCATTCCCTACCTATCGCACCAGCAAGAGAAAGGACAACTGCTCCTCCCCCCGACCCAGGTAAATCTCTCGCCAGGACACTCGGCATTGAGCTTCTTCTTGCGGAGCTCGGGGTCCGTGATGCCGGTGTTCATGATGCCAACCGACCTCTCAAGCCGCTTGCTGCTTCGATTGGCAGGGAATGTGGGGGTCTCCGCAAGGAAGGTACTGACCGTTGCACGCTTGACATGCCTGGGCAAATAACAGCGACCTCACGAAGGTGTGCGACCTCATGATCCAAATTCAATCGAGTGGTTAGCATGTCTGGCTTAATACATTACACTAATCAGAGTACTGTAGTCCCATCACCCCCATCCGGAAACGGACTTCCCAACGAATTCCCCTCTCAAAGCGAAGCCACTGGAGAACCAAAAAACCAGCCAGAGAAGCCCCACTAAGACATCACTCTGAACCCACACCTGAGTCCAAGAAAGCCGGCGCCGTAGTTCCCCGGCTCGTCATTCACCTGCTCGTTGTAGACCTAGCGTTCTGGCAAACTCTAAGATGGCTTCCACGAGCCAAGGCCAAAAATGGGCTACGCGACCGCTTTACAACCCTATAAAGGTTGTTTATCTTATATATATATATATATGTGCATACATAATATAGTATGTATATATATATATGCATAATATCATATACTCCATGTTCCGTTGGGTAAGCGGCTTGGTGTCGAGTCGACACCATCACCAATCTGTGTTCCAAGGTTTGCCTTTTGACCCACTTACAAAAACGAAATTTGGTTTACGGGTAACATCTCGGTCTTCCAATTCCCTCCTATCCGCAACAGCTAGCAACCAATTTCTTGTCTCCGGCTTGCACGCCGTCACCCCGAACCGAGGAGCTTTTGGCGTTTTGACGCGCGTTTTCGGCACGCGGAACAAGTGGCGCCAATGGTTGAGTACAGCTCTTGTCCGGTCTCGTCCCGTCTCAATTCAATGCTCTTGGTACTCTGTCCTAAATGGCTATGAATTTTCATTACCCTTTGGAGATCGGAATTCCGTGGGGATTTATTTACTTTCCAGGGAGACTCCCAATTTAACAATCATTGGCCAAGTCCCGTTGTTCTCCGAAGTGTCATCTTGCCCAACAGCTTTTCTTTCCCAACCGCAACTACCTTTTCTCGTTCAGCATGTTTGCAGGTTTACGAGTCTTGAACAGCGTGGTGAGCGAAACGGCGCGAGTTCCCACCAAAACAGCGCAATATCTGCCTGCTTGCGAGGCGCAAACGTCCTTTCTGCTTGTCGCAAGCGGCGATAAATTGTGAAGTCGCCAAGCGGCGATAAATTGTGAAGTCGCAAAAAACGGCGGACTCATTACATGGAAGTTCCAACTTTAATACACTCCTTCCGTCGGGCTGCGGGAGGAAATTGCACGAACACCTTGTGAAGGGTTCTGCGTCTTTGTTTTCCATTGCTCATCGAATGAGTCCTGCTCGGTACTGCATACTGCCGCTTTCGTCGACAGTTTGTCTGCGTGCGTGCGTGCGTGCGTGCGTGCGTGCGTGCGTGCGTGCGTGCGTGCGTGCGTGCGTGCGTGCGTGCGTGCGTGGGTGGGTGGGTGGGTGGGTGGGTGGCCAGCGGGTGCGTGGGTGCGTGGGTGCGTGGGTGCGTGGGTGCGTGGGTGCGTGGGTGCGTGGGTGCGTGGGTGCGTGTGTGGGTGTGTATTTGTGGGTGTGCCTCTTTTGAAAGGGCAATTGATTGGACAGCTGGCCATCTTCCAAGTTCCAAGATCAAAGTTCATGCCCCACACAAGCCACAACTGCTATCCTCTGTCAGGGTTCACCTGCTCACTCCCTTTCTTAGGTGCAAAAAGCCCCCAACTAATGGAGAAACTCTCGCAACGGGGGGTCCCGTTGTTTCGCCTAACAGAGGAGTCGTTTGGAAGTTGCGAAGAGGGTGTGCCGCTTATGCCCAGCAAGTGCCTGGGGTGAAATGGCGGGTGACATGGGCCCCCCAAAAATCGTCGGTTTTCGCACAATCCTGTGACCCCTGTTTGCTTCATTTGCTTGCGGTGAGCCCTTTATATAGTCAAAAGGCCTTTGGCATTTGCAATTGACCAGTCCCAATGCTCTTAGGGTTTTGGACCCCACGCGTGCTTTGGTGTTGTCCCGCTCAAAGGGGAGATTGGGGGAGGGGGGACCACTGGAGTGCCTCAGTCGATCAATCTGCCTCCTATGTGTTTCAATGAAGCTGCCACTCTTGGAACTTCAAAGAGGAGCGAAACAAAAGAAACTGAATTGCATCGCTACAAAACCAACAAAACCGGAGGAGACTTTGACAACGCGCCGCTGGCTCGCTAGACAACAACCCTGGTCGATCCGGAGGCTTCGTTTATTGGTGGATTTCGAAAGCTCCCTTGCTGTTGGTAGATGAGTTTGGATGCGTTTGCCACCGCAAAGATGAAACAAGGAAATGCCTGAACTCACACAAACATAGGAAATGCCTGATGAACTCGTGTGGATGGGCCAAACTCGTCCGCACTGTTCAGCTGAAGCTGCCTAATATCCAGAAAGTCAAAGAGTTACTTAAGAGAGGTGCCCCATGCTAGACGGACTCCAGATCTATGAATCAATCCCCGCCTAAAACCAGTAGGGACAAAATTGGACGAAAGAATCCATACGGCGTACATGGAAGAGCGCTAACCCCCCGCTGCCCCCAGTGTGCCGCTTTTCGCTTGCACAACCCCCCAGGCCGCTGTAGTGATGAACACCTGTATTGTGCTCCCTCAAAGGGAAGAGGGCTGTGCTCGAGTGGATGACTTAGCCCGAACAACAGCCTGGCTTCTGTCCGCTTTCCCTATGAAGTTGCAAATGCCGAGAAAACGCGAGAAATACGAAGCCAGCTGGAAAAACATGTCGTGCGCTCGCGAATGTTCATGTCTTTACCAAAGGGGGAACGCGTCTGATACTCAGGTTCCCTAAAGGTACTCCCCCGCAGATAAACCAGAGAAAACATCAAACAACCATTGATAGAGATTCGAATCTGTTGGGGAACCCCTTTGTTGGGTCTCACAAACCTGCAGGGGAGCCAGCATATAGATTGTCTACATACATCGCCAAGACCTAGCCGGCCATCGACTTACATATCAAGCCAACGCTTGGCGGCTCAAACCCTGAACAGGTACCCCGTCTTGTGGTGGTCCTGGGATATAGCTTCCTCCTTCTGCCACTTGTTCCAGAGTGCTTGGAGACTTGAGGGGTCTGGAACTTGTGCTTTTGGTCCTTCCTTGGGGACTGTCACGTCTGGTGCCTGTCCTTCACCTAGGCCGACTTCGTGCGCTTGGAGACTTGACCAGCCGGCCATTGGTCTTTCTTCGGCGTTCAGCTGCCCGACCACAAAATTATCCTTGCGTGGAAGCGTCAAACCCAGCAGCTGCGCGGTGCACGGAGCCAAGGGGAGGCCGCTGAAACCTTCGCTTTCCGGATGTGAGGCGCCCGCGGGCGGAACAGCCATGAAGCCGCTCGCAGCTTCGCTTTCCGGATGTGAGGCGACGGGCAAGTTGGCGACTGGAAAGTTGGGGTAAGGCGGCTGAGGCTCAGGATGAGGCTCAGGCTGACTCGGGTGAATCGGAAGCACCGTGCTTGCAGTCACAGCTTCGAGCCCTGGCGGTGGCTCCACCATCGCGAGACCCACCGGCGGAGCAATCGTGGACTTCCTGGAGGTGCGCACATCGTCGGCCTCCAGAACCTCAGTTCCTGCAGCAAAATGGGTGTAACAACTGAAACAGGTGCACAAAACACGGTTGGACTGTTGGCTACAAAGGCTTACGCCCCCCTGAAACCAGGTCGTAAAACAACCTACTGAAATGGCCAATGGGTCTGTGCGACTGCTCAAACTCGTCAAAACGAGATGGATATGAAACACTGTGTTTTTGCTTTCACATAGAACCAAGCAACCGCTTAGCCTAAGTCCCCAAGTCCCCAAGTCCCCAAGTCCCCTTCCTGTTGAAGATGGAGCCCATCGACAGTTGAAGTCCACCGAGTCCCCAGATTGCAGCTGATGGTTGATGGCGAGCTCATGACTCACCTGAACATCGCAGTCCAAGAGCTTCCGAACTTCCAGGCACTGGATGCTCCCGGCCTCACCGAAAAACTCACTCTGGAGTTTGGAGCTAAGATGCACCAAATGTTGTAGGGGACTCCAACCATTCTTGTCAGCCATCCTTCTTTTCAAAAACCAGCCATTTCCCCGGGTGTTTTGGTGGTTTTCTAAAAAAGAAAGAGCCCTGGAAAGAATGGGGAACTTCCCCCTAGAGTCCTAAAAATGTGTGGAACCGCGAAAGATAGGCCGGAAAGAAGGGAAACCCGAAAGCTTCAAAGCATGATTCGCTTTGGTTGCAAGGCGGCATATTCCGAGCTGTGCTCGGAATCCAAAAGATAGGTCCCCGAAAGCGCGAAGGAACCCGGCAGCTTCCCCTTGAGTTTGAGCAGCGGGCGACTGGCCTGCACTTTACCTTGGGGGCTGAGGTGCAAAATGAAGCACACCTCATCCCCCTTGGACACTTTGGAGCTTTGAAGCACCGAGCCATGCACATAGACCAGCTGATCGAAATCCGTTTTGGCACCATCTGAGTCAATGGCCCCGCAGTTCTTGTTGAAATCAAATCGCAGCAAGGTGCCCTGATAGATGGGTGCACTCTTGTTCAAGACCTTGGCATGGGCATAGCATGAAGACTCCCCGTAATCAGTCATCACCTTGTTCCCCTTGGAGTGAAGCTGAGCATGTTGTTTCTCCTTCCATACGTAGCCTGACTCGCGTTTCCATGTGTCGTTCTTGTATGAGTTATCCAGCTTCTGATTCCAATGATATGAATTCCAAGATGGTTGCGAGACGGGCTTGGAGATTTTAGAACCCGTCCAAGCCCGCTGCCAAGTGAATCCACCGTCACGATTGAGATGCCTCCACGTCAAGTGGTCACTTCCATAGGAGACCTGATCTAAGACGTATTTTTGTCCCCACACTACCGTGTCGGCTCCAATTTGCTTGATCACATGAGGACGCTCGAAGGTCTCGCCGTTTGGGCGTTGGATGCGGACGCTGCAAGTGTAACTCGCACCTGTGGAATCGGTGGCCTTGTCCTGGTACACGTCGTAGTAGGAGCCTTGAGGGTCACGCCAAGGGCCACACAGCTTCCACAAGATATCACTCCAAGGCCGTCTGTCCCAAGCTTCTTGATGATTATTGTACTCGTGGTACTCATGAGTCCGCATTGTCCAAGCTACTTCAACGAGCTGGTTGCTCGAGGCTTGAGCGAAGGAAGTTGCTTCGGTGGAACGTGCGGCAGTTCTGGCAAAGGAAGTAGATAGCTCCCACTACATCTCCTTGCTGCCTTCATGTGACTCCTGGCACAGTTGCGTCGCTACATCTAGCGGCCAACTGCTAGTTGGATATTGGGGCTCAGTCATCCCAAGGAATCCGAGGGAAGCTAAAGGCGTTGCCAAACATTCGCCCAGCGCCGTCCCCCAAAGAGCCCCTGTGAGAAACACACCGCGGGATAGACTTGCAACAAGGCCAAAAATCCAAAGTGACTGAAGAGCCTGCGAAGTCCACACCACCTGTTTCTCACTTGCCCAAAGGACCCGGAAATAACAGGTTAACTTTTTGGCACTTCCACTAAAAAAGGACCAACACGGGAAAACCAAAAGGTCAAAAGGTCGGCTTTGGGCAACTGAGGTTTGGACTAACGTCAAGCCCAAGCCACCGGTTTGTCACACAGAATGAACTTCCGGACTTATCCTATCAGCAAACGGAGAACTGTGCCTGTTCAGGAGTATGGCTTTCGCCACTAGGGCAAGAATCTCGTCTTTTCCCTTAGGCAGGGCTGTGGGAAATGACCACTTCTGTGATACAACAATAAGGGCTTCCCAAAGACTAACCCACCACATAACGGGGGAGATTCCCTTGTATCACAGAAGTGGGGTAAAACCCCTTGATCCCACAACCCTACTTAGACTCCTTTCAGCCTTGCGATACTCTGAGCCAGCGTAGTCACAAATTAAAAGCAGCAAACTCCAACACACCCGTGTACGATCAGCATGAAAAGCGTGGTGGAATTTCAGCAAACACACAGGATCCCGAACGGAGTTTTCCGAGGACCATTTGAGGTTGCCTTGGGTGAATACTAACGTATGTCTTCCCCGCTTGATCTTTGGGAACCTCAAAATGGTCTATGAACAATCCCAAAAGGGGGTCGCGTCTTGCAAGGAAACACCCACCAGGCCCAGAAAACATGTGTTGCAGCGGGCTTTGTTGGTGCGCATCGCTTGCGCCAACCCAAGTTGGAAAGCAGCCTGAAATAACAATTGTGGCCCCAACTGAAGGGGCTATTGGTTTTCGCACATACCCGTGTCATACCCCGAAATCGCTGAGCTTGCCATTGAGGCAAGTACATCCGCCGTTTTGGAGGGAGTTCACCCACGCACGTAAAATCTCTGCTTGGCCGCCTCTGTACTGATGACAAACAGGTCAAAGACAGAAACCCCAACTTAGATTTACACCCGCTTTGTAACCGTACATAAAACATGTTCATATTTGTTCTTGTGTTTCTTTGAGGGCCTTTGTGGGCTGGTTTGAAGGGAAGCAACAAGAAGACCAACCATTTGTGTATCCCCCTATCTTACGACAAACCCATTCAAGCCCCCCGCAAAAGAAAAAACACAAGAAACTGAGAAAGGCCCCCTTGGGCGCCAGGCGTTGATCTCGATGAGACCCGCGAAGCCTACGATCTGCAGCCAGCCCAGAGCAGGGACCTCACGAAAGCAGGGATTCGGGGTATAGACACCGTGTGGGCAAAACTCTGGTCACTCCCCGATCCTCAAAGACCGACCAACCCCCCTACGGCTGTCTTTCTTCAAGGTACCCGTTTTGCGGGGTGTTAAAGGAAAAAGGGAAAGCCACCCATTTTGAGGGGTCACCTCAGACATGCTCAGACACTCTTTGCTATGGTCCTGGTTTGGTCATGGTCATGCTCCGTTCTTTCAATATGGGAATCCTGGTGGTTGCCTCAATTCCCCTTGTTGGCGTCCATGACCGTTCCTGCGTACACCAACCAGGAGCGTGTTTTGACCATAGCACATACTGTGCCATAAATTAGGGGGTACCTCAGCTTGTGTCCCCGGCTCCCGACCAACAACAATGCTTCATTCTCCTCCACATATAGTGAACTTGAAGATACCAAACGAGGCAACCACAGAGAACACACATGTCTGTTGTTTAGCCAAAAATTGTAAATGAACCAATGTACAGGCAAAAGGATGCCGAGAAGCGATAAGGAGCTTCTTTGAACCCATCCACAAGAGGCTCATGCCATGAAAACCATACATATTTGGCCAGTACCACAACAGCCAAAATAATTTGAATATATATATATATATATGTATGTATGTATGTATTTATGTATTTCGACATAATTAGGTGTGAATCAAGCAATAAAATGGGTTCCAATACCAAAAGCATTGTGACCTACGCTGTCAGCCTAATTGGGGCTTTACCGAGTTTGCTTAAATGCTTCAGGACGTGTCTTCTGCGATTCACATTTATGGGTTCAATATGATTTCCGCGAACAACATGATGTGTTTACGTTCTTTGCACACCTAGCCAGCCTCCTCCAAAAAACGCAAATGTCTCCCACCTGCAGGCACTGGTGGTGCCGGAAATCAGAAAAACAACAACACATAAAACAACAAAGGCCAACAAATCGTAAACAAAAAGAAAGTAAACTGTTCGTAACATGTACGTATTTGTTTACGATTTTGGCTCAATTTGCTATGCACGTGTTGTTTAACGACTTCCTGGAACTCACCAATTTTCGCCTCCGAGAACCCCAAGACAGGTTATACCAGAAGCAGCACAGTGAAACACAAACCGCAAAATCGGCGCAACAAACTGCATGAGAACCCACCCTCCCCCCCCTCGGGAAAAAAAAAAAACAAACAAACATGGCGCCGGGTCTTTGTCCCAAATCTTCCCAGACTTTCCCCAGAATAGGGGCCGGTTTCCCTTTGGGTTTGTGCGTAAACCAAGGGAAAACGGCTACCCTCAAAAATGGCGCCAGGGTTGTTTCAGGGTCTTCCAAGATGTTCAACCGAAGAATTCCGGCGCCTCTTTCCGAGGGTTTTTGTGCAGCGTGGCTTCCCTGTGGGTTTGCCTTTGAACCAAGGGTCAAAAGGGTGCCCTCAAAAAGAACACACACACACACACCATGGGGGCAAAATAGAACCCCTAAGCATACCTTCTGCAAACCCCAGCCCTAGGCGGCTATTTTGAAAACTTGTTCGCGCTCTGATGCCACAATGCCAAACCCACGTACCAGTAAGGCACATTCTCCGGGTTCAATCCAAGTTGCTAATCAAACTCAAGTTCACCGACATGGGGTTGCCAGGCACATACACACACACATCCGTGTGTATGTGTGTGTGTGTGAGTGTGTGTGGTGTGTGTGTGTGTGTGTGTGTGGGTGGGTGGGTGGGTGGGTGTGGGTGTGGGTGTGGGTGTGGGTGTGTGTGGGTGTGGGTGTGGTGTGGGTGTGTGTGTGTGTGTGTGTGTGTGTGTGTGTGTGGTGTGTGTGTGTGTGTGTGGTGTGTGTGTGTGTGTGGTGTGTGTGTGTGGTGTGTGGTGTGTGTGTGTGTGTGTGGTGTGTGTGTGTGTGTGTGTGTGTGTGGTGTGTGGTGTGTGTGTGTGTGTGTGTGGTGTGTGGGTGTGTGGTGTGTGTGTGTGTGTGTGTGTGTGGTGTGTGGTGTGTGTGTGGTGTGTGGTGTGTGGTGTGTGTGTGTGTGTGTGTGTGTGTGTGTGTGTGTGTGTGTGTGTGTGTGTGTGTGTGTGTGTGTGTGTGTGTGTGTGTGTGTGTGTGTGTGTGTGTGTGTGTGTGTGTGTGTGTGTGTGTCTGTGTGTGTGTGTGTGTGTGTGTCTGTGTGTGTGTGTGTCTGTGTGTGTGTGTGTCTGTGTGTGTGTGTCTGTGTGTGTGTGTCTGTGTGTGTGTGTCTGTGTGTGTGTGTCTGTGTGTGTGTGTGTGTGTGTGTGTGTGTGTGTGTGTGTGTCTGTGTGTGTGTGTCTGTGTGTGTGTGTCTGTGTGTGTGTGTCTCGCATAAATGCCAACGAGACGAAAGTCGTATTTTGATCGAGCAAAAAGGATGGGCTTGCCTTGACTTAGCCTACACCGTAGGTCACAGCCATAGGTGCTTCGAGAAAAAAAACAAAAAAAACAAAAAAAAACACACCCCGCCCCCCGGACGCGACACGGATAGGAGCCCCAGGCCCGGAGCCGGGGGTTGCGAGCGGAACAGGTCATGCCGAAACTACGGAGCTCGGGGGGCCAGAGCCATGGAGCATGAGCCCAGGGTGCTGAAGTTGGGTTGGACTGAACTTTCAAGCAAGTTAATAAATGAGTAACCGACTGATTACCTAGGAGTACCTGGAGTTCGTACCAGGGGTAAACACGAAAGCATCGTACAATTCCGCAATTGAAATCTAAACAACGATCGAAACTAGCCGTACTGGACATGTGCCAATTGGGTATTGCCCCTCTAAAAGGGTTTGCACTAGCCCTAACCCACCAGCAGACAATGGGGTGTATAACCCTATCATTGGTTGTAGACCCGTTTCCCTAGGCGCTACCTGGAGTCTCCATGACCCTTCAAAATGGGGTCATTACCCAAAATAATGAGGTCATGGACCCATTTTTAGAGGGTCCTGGAGACTCCAGGTGGCTTTCAACTTGCCCCCCTTCATCCCTTTGTTGTTTTAATCGTATCGATCCCAGCCCGTTGTCGGGCCTTGGAGAAGGCGCCCAGGCCGTTGGGCACGTCCGAGAACTTGACGTCCAAAAACTTGGAGAGGTATCCAGGGAACCTGCGCAGAGCACCAGCCATCAGTGTAAATGTGTGTAAGTGTGTACATCTAGATATGTTTACATACATGTATATATTTATACATGTATGTATATGTACATATTGACTATATTAGTTGGACGTATGGATGTCTGGACACATGCATGGATGTGTGGATGTGTGGATGTATTGCATGCATGCATGCATGCATGCATGTACGTACGTATGTATGTATGTATGTATGTATGTATGTATGTATGTATGTATGTATGTATGTATGTATGTGTGTGTGTGGATGTATGTATGTATGCATCTATTTATGTAGGTAGGTAGGTAGGTAGGTAGGTAGGTAGGTAGGTAGGTAGGCAGGTAGGTATGCATGCATGCATGTCTATTAATTTATGTAGGATGGCTGGGAACCACCAAGATACCCAGATTTCGATGAACTCCCGGCACATGCCTTTGAATTGACTCTCATAGCTGGACTATTGTTGCCCAAGCCGCTCGCTACTATTGAGGTCAGAAAACTATCTCAAGCTCCACATCAAAGAGTCCAAAACAAAACATGAATGTCGTACCCACAATTTGGCCAGCCGCCAAGTGAAAAAGGTAAAGGGCTCTTGCAGGAAGTCACCAAGTTTGGAAAGGCTTCCAAAAAAGGTCATTCGAGATCTTGCATAAACGAGGCTCCTTGTCATGATTGTCGAAAGTGCTTAAGCATCCTTGAATGCTTCTCCTAAAAAAAAGAAGGGACCCGCCTCCCTTAACAAGAGCACATCTCCATAACCCACTAAACTACTATCACCGTGAAACAATCCGAAACAAGTCACAGCACAAGCAACCTTTCCAGCCAGCCAGCAATCAGGCAAACAAGCAAGCATTTTGACAGCCAGTCTTGCCTCCAGTACTCTGGCAGAATGTACCCGATGGTTGCAAACATGCACACCTGGGCGAGTCCGCAACTGCGTTCCGCAAATGACATGGGTTTCTCCCAAACCCCCAAAGACCAGACGACCAGGCAAATCAAAGGAAAGAAGCACCTCTTGTTATAGAAGGGAAACCCAAAGCAACAAGGCATTGTCTGGGACCCCCAATTCTCGGATCTCCGGTTTCAAATGCCCGCGTAGTGTTTTCACATCCGGCTGCCCGCGCTCACCTACCCCTAGCACCAACATTGGATTTATAACACCCCCCTAGGTAATTCAGCCTAACTTCCTGAGCGCAGGAAAGGGAGTAGTAGCTGGGGATTCCTTGCCAGCGGGGGCTCCGCTCTCCCAGAGGAAAAGAAAACCGAGACGACCCGCAACCCGTCCGCCAACCTCTGACAATAAAGCTGTTCCGTCTTGAAAAGTGGGTCGGAGGCCCAACGCGCCCCTTTTTGAGAAGTCGGGTTACAACATGTTACAACCCCCTTTTTGGGTTAACCCATCGCTCAGTCCACCCCTGCAACAATGGTCCTACACTTTTTGGGACCCGGTCCTTTTTGATTTCCCAAGGAGAGTCCAAAAAGCCACACCGTGAATCCCAGTTGCCCACTGAAAAGGCAAAAGGTGCCACTGAACAACTGGACAACCTGAATGACCCCCAAACAAGGAACCTCCATGAGGCCGCAAAGCAAAACGTCCCTTTGTGAAGCTCCATGAACCCTGGTCCAGCGTGACATTCTCAAAACTATCCTTGAAATGGCGGTTTACTGACTGGCTGAGTAGATGGCCCCAAAAAAGTAACCGAACTGTATGTTTACCACTAAAACGGTCTTCCCAAAAAGTTGTTAAAGTTCATGAAAACTCAGGAGGTGAGTCTATCGGGGTGTCCCAATTCTGAGCCCTCAAGATGCCACCGCTTTCAGGGGCCCAGTCACAGGTTGGAAAAATATTCTCGAAGAGATAGGGAAAAACGTGCGCCTGACCCGTTCGTTTTGGGTGACTTTCATTTTACTGGGTCATGAAGACTCCAGGTTGACTAGTGAACTGAGAGTTCTGATGGGCGGTCAAAAATCGGGGAACCCAAAAGCAGCCGTCCTTGTGGTTTCCCCTTGAAACCGCTCCACGGGTACCCGCAAAAAGGTAAATCATCTTCGTGACGTTGGAAGGGGAGCAAAAATGTTCAAGTTTAGCAGCGAAGTGGGGAATTGCAACCACTAAACCGCAATAAGCAAAAAGTGGGGATTTCAACCACCAAACCACAATAAGCAAAAATGTAAAACCTGTTTCCCAACAACCACGTCTTAGGCCCACGCGCGGCCGTGCTTCAGCTCCACCTCCCGGCGCCGCTTGAAGTCCTCGGATTTGTGTCCGCTCGCAAGCTCGCGAAAAACAAATCGGCGGGTCAAAATCACACCTAGGAATCCCACCAGCGAACATGGAAGCGCACAAACCCCGTTTCCAGGAGGAACGTGGTCTTTCTATAGGAGTCTGTGCACTTCCATGTGGCCATGGGTCAAAAGCCCGTAGCCGCAGTGAACATCCCAATCCAACCACTAAAATCTCGGTTCTAAAATTGGTGGTGAGTTCACCTACCACTCACTCAATTGAGTTCGCACGGGGCCTCTGTGGGCGCAGCTGATTTGGATTTTTTTTTGGGGGGGATAGTGCACCTACCCCAAAATGGGATCCCATTGGCTTTGACCCGCAGCCAAATCGGCCCGCCGCTGAAACAACATCCACCAATTGGAACGCATGGAAGCCTATGACCGGGAGAAACATGATAAACCTCCTACCTGCAGCTTTTACTTTATGAGATATCGCATAGGTGTGGTTTCATTTGTGGATGACACCATCCTGCACCAGTTGGGTGGTTTATCACCCAGTTCTCAAATTGGGTTCCATCCATCCCAACTAGTGCAGGATCCTGTCCATTCAATTACTTTGGCCCCTCTTTGGGTCCGCCTTTTTGCAATACTGTGACTGCTCAAACGCTGGGGTTGCGTATGAGAGTTTCTACTAATGCAAGATGCTGTCCAGGGACAAAAACCATGCGCTTTCTAGAAAATCCCTCGCCATTGCTGCATGTGGCAACATCCAATAGCACACTTACCAGTGATCAAATTGTCTAGCTTTCAACACAGCCTGTGAAATAGCAAATACCCTCCAGTCCCTTACCATGCTGTTTGCGGGGTCGGTTCCGCGCTGTTACCTTGGAGACATACCCTACCCCACCAAGTTGCAGCAACATGGTACCTCGGTTGTGCTTCTCCTATTTCAAAGCTGCCAACTTCCGGGTTCCTGTAATTAAGGCATCTCCCAGGACTTTGGCGTGTTCCGTTGAGAGTGTCAAGATTGGTGCAACCCTCACGTCCACCAATGCCGCAATTCAGTGCTTTTGCAAGACACTGGCAGCTCTTCTGTGGAAAGCAAGCATTGGGAAAGAAAGAAGAGGGAAAAAGATACAATGCCCTAGCGGGTTCGTCAGCACATGACATCTTCCCCGTCCCAAACACAATCCCCATCCATGCTCTTCCCCACTCCCTGCATGTCCTTTCGTTTGTTCTTTGCCGCGCTCTCTCACTCACTTATATACTGTGCCCTTCAAACACTACCAACACTGACTGGGAGCGGCAACACGTCCAACTGTTTCTGGTGCTTGCAAACACATGGGCACTCAACAAGTTAAGACGTCCTCATACTCACTTCCTGAGTGGAATGGTCAGAAAGAGTGAAGACTCTGCGTTTAACACACACATGATCTAACCATTAAGTTCAAACTTCAGAAAACTGAAGAACTGAGTGTAGAATCCTATTGAGCCCCCAAAGAAACAAGGGCCTTCCGTGTTGTCAACAGGGTAGCCTCTCAAAAGCGGGGACCCTGTTGTTAAAGGCGTTCAATGAACATCCGCAAGGAATCTATCACTTGGGGACTGCTGCTGGATGCTTTCAGAAAGGGCAACCAAAAGAAATACCGAGCTGGAAGGTACGATTTCCTGGAACCAAAAGGCCCAAGCTTTCGCTGTTTGGTGCCTCTCACGCATGGAACTGTTTCGGGGGTGGAAGACCATTTCCCTCAAGGAAACGGCCCTCTGTTTGGTTCCATTTGGGAGGGTCCAACCAATTTTTGCCAACTGCGGTGAAGGCAGAATTCGTGTCCACAGAGTTCTATCAGGTAAGTTTCATCCTTTCAGGAGTACGTCCCCTGAAAAAAACATAAGCACAGTTCCAGTGATAGATTCCCTTGAACACTCGGGAGAATAAAACATATTACCAAGCAAATGGAAAGCAAATGGAAGGTTGCATCTGCAACAAAGAAATTCGAGCTGTTCCAAAAGGAGTACGACTCATGTGAATCTGAGGGGCCGAAGTGTTGCCGCTGGCGGACAGGCCCAAAGGGTCCCAAAAGCCCACCGGTGGCTGCACCTCAGTTTTTGCGGATCCCACGTTACCGCCACTTTTGTGGGTACCTTTCTTCTGGTTTCAAATGGACAAAAGCCAAACCACTATTCTATTAATTTTATTTATTTATATATTTATTTATTTTTTGTGGGGGGGGGTCCTCAAAAAAAGAGAGCCCTAAAAAAGGTTAGCCTCCTGGGGGTTTCACCTTAACACCCCAAAAAAGGTAACCTCAATCAAAATACCCTCAATTGCGGTAATGGAATACCCTTTCTGAATTGCAACCGCGGGAACATGCAAAATCCACTTCCATGATGCTTTCAAAGGGAAGCACGGGAATTTGTCTTCCTGGCCTTTCGGCACACGCGCCCGATCTCGAAAAATCACGGGCTGAAGCACACTGGCTTTAAAAAATGCGTTGATGTTGAAGCCAACAAAAAGCAACATACATAATCATATAATTAGATTGACCACTCTGTCGATCCTTCGGGATCGCCTTTCGACCCCTTTTGGCAACGTGAAGGGACCCTTTGCAAAAAGGATCCATGTAGTGTCGCTACGGCTCTCTGCCTATGCCGGAAGACAATAGCATCTGAAGAAGGCTCACCCGAATTTATCCAAAACCATCTGCTAAGTGGGGCGGTCATCCAAGCAAGGGTTGCACACTGAAGGCATCTGGAGGGCACATGGAAGAGAATGTCTCTCAACCGCTTGTCCGCAAAGCCTTTCGCAACGCGTTCTTTCCCATACTCCCTCTTACATGCTTGCGGTTGAACCATGAGGCTACTCATAGTGGACCCGCAAGTGGCGTGAGCACCGGTCTGAGTCTAGGTCATGAAGATCAACTCCAAGCCGCATAGCCGCTTGCATACCGATGTCAACTGTTGGCGAGAAGACCCTAAACAAAGAACGACCCACAAAGAATGCCGATGCACAAATGTAATGACATCGGCCAGAATCTGAGTGAGAGAACAAATACGTGTTGTTCCAGTCTTGGCAAGATCGAATCAGACTACCCCAACAAGGCCGCTGCGTGAAAGGATCCGAAGCCCTCCAATGAAAGGAACCTTCATCATGGGATCCCTCATCGGTTGAAAACCGTCTGCGACACCTAATTACCCTCGAAATTGGTGCTTTGAAGTGGGCTCGCAACCCCAGAATATGCTTTTCAAGGAACCCCTCAAAGAGCCGTGACATTCACAGGGACTGTGGCGCTAAGCGGGGCGAGCGATTGCTTGAGCTTCATCCATGGCGCGCCCGTCTCATTCTCGAAGGCCCGCAAGGGGCTGTCGGTGTAAAGAGACCAGTCTCCCCAGGCGGAGCCTGACCGCTGCATTTTTCCTTCGAAAGCTGCCTCTTGGCAGGTTCCAAAAAGCGAAATTTGAAGTGGAGGAAACCCTGAACCAACAAGGCGACACTTGAAATACACGTGAATGTGGCAAAGAGTGCAGTCATCATCACCTCTCCCAATGCAGTGCGTAGGTCCGTGAGCTTACGGAGGGCGGGCAAACACAAAGGACATAGACATGATCAACACCCCCCAAAATCGGAGCTGAAGGCATCGCCCCAAACCAGACCGCGCCTGTCAGCCCGTCCTGGAAAAACATCCCGATGATGGCCATCCTGAGCGCAACGCGAAGCAATCAGTTGATCCCGGGCTGCGAGTGCAATATGGCAACCGAACCGGATTCATGGCTTGCAAGTTCATTGGCCCCCGCATCTTTGGACACGTGAAAAGGGAAGTTGCCCGGCAGATCAGACTCTCTCTCTCTCTCTCTCTCTCTCTCTTTCTCCCTCTCCTGTCTATCTCTCTCTCTCTCTCTCGCTTTCAACACCGTCTGGTTGCAAATGTCAAGTCGGCATTTCCTCTAAAAGGATGTTGCGTGCAAGGGCATTCAGGGAAACAATCAAGGCCTCTTCAAAACAACGTGCAGAATAAGACCCAGTTGAAATTGGCCGGCGTCATGTCAAACTGCATCAAACTGATTGGCAGGCACCGCCAACCGCCAAATACAGCCTTTGCCAAATCAAGCAAATCAAACCGGTGTTCGCATGGGTTGGCTATATGTTCGCTCTGGACATGGTTCAAATCTAGGAAGCCCTAAAATGGCCCAAGAGCTTGAAGGTGCGTTTGGGACCTCAGCTTGCCGCTCTGAGGCCGGCGCATCGCGAGGCGGCCGTTGGCCAACTCGGCGTTCAGCTTGCGCTTCCGCACCTCGGCGTCCGGGGAGCTGATGGCCTTCCAGCCGTAGTCGCCTTCGACCCATGCGATCGCGCGGAATGGTGTCGGCGCATTGACATAGAAGTGAGCCACCCGAACCTTAGGTAAAACCCCTAGGCCCACATAGCTTCTTAAATACGGTGAGACTTGTATTTAAGGCTGCCCGCCTTTTTTAAGGCATGGATTCCCTGAGCATCTTGCAACAACTGTTTTTTGTTTCCAAAAGTATACCTCGCAAATTTGAGGCATGGACTTCTTGCTTCCACCTCAGCAAACTATAGTGGTTTCTTCACACAAACACACTCACAAAAGGGCAGACCGAGTTGCACTTGAGGATTTCTGTGCTGAAAAGGCGGGAATTGCAAAAGACCTGGTCGGTACCGAGGGGGATGGTTCCTGAATACAACCACCCACCCGAGTTTAAGGAATTTGGTTTCCTGGGTTGGGGAGGGGGGAGGTCCGCAGATACAACTCACCCCGGTGGGTTCCTGACGTCCAATGTGGACCTCAATTGTGGAGGGTTGTGAACAGATCCCTGCAAACTGCTGTTCTGTTGCGGGTGATTGAGCAGTGAGTAACATATGAGACAAATTGCCAAGTTTGCAGGTTCTGCAAGTGTCAATGGCGCCACTTGGTTAAATGCAGCCCTATTTCCGAACGTCCTGGTCACCGAAATGTACCTCCGAGTTTTGCGTAATCCCTGGATACTCTAAAAAAGATGGAACATGTTCTGCTCCCCATAGGTCATTATTTTGACATGAAATCACCGGAGTGTTCAAGGAGAAACCTTAATACAACCTCCATCAAACACTTTGAATACTCAAAGTTGGAATTTGCGGTTGGGACCATTCCCAACAAATCCTTAGAATGGACCTCATCTGTGTAACCTATAGGGATCCCTCCAACTCAATTAACCATGTTGCTTCTACCCGGACCTTTGTGTTTAAGGTCCTAGAAACTTGGCCTGTACATGGGCTTTGATCAATATTCCTGGCCCAAACGCCCGGGCAACTTTTCTCGTTTCGTGGGTCGCATACCAAGTCCTTTTTGTCTAGGTCCTCCAGTAGAAAGGTTAGAGTCTATTTTAGTAGGGGAACCCTGCCTAAAAAAGTCTACTTGTGCCCAAGGGTCCCATCTCTTACCGGACCTTTTGCTCAACCCCCCCACGGGCCCGTTTCGGGGCCGCGTTTTTCGCGGTGTTCCGAAGGGAGGCGATCGAAGGGCGGCCTGGGGTGCCGTTGAACTTGTACACCGAGAGCTCGTAGTAGCCCGCGAAGGCCACGATCTGCGCCCAGCCGTTGCCCGGCACCTGGAGAAAAAAAGCAAAGCGCAGACAGGGAGAAGTCTTGGAACACAAAAAACAGATCTGGATCCGTGCCAAGTGGGTTGGAGCAAAAAAGTGGTGGACAAAGAAACACAAATGATCTGGATCCGTGCCAAATGGCTTGGAAAACAGTAGTCCGTCCATTGCCATGTGGGGTTCGTTCATTCAACTCGGGGATGGCCCGAAGATCCGGTGGAAACTTGGCAAAGGAAGTGTCATAAGGTGAGTTGTTCATCATCCAGAAACGATTCACTAACAATCATGTCTAGGTGGCGGTGAACAAAAAAAACGGGGACCCTTGGGTGGACACCATTCCAGTAGGTGGGGATTCATGTCCACCAACCACTACTTTGAGGTGGTTCCGGCGCGTAAAAATCATAGCTAGTTCAAAATTGCTCCTCCATGAAGAGCCTTTGGCTGCATGCCCCTGATTCCGAGCGCCAGTTTGTGTGTCAAAAATTGCGGGGACCCCAAAATGAGGGTTGTCGGTTTTTGGCATAAAATTGACCGTGGCTCTCGTTGAGCAGTTCATGTCAGCTTGCCATCTGGCCGCTCTGGGTCGATCTCAAGCCCCTGTCATCAGAAGCATTCGGCTTTGCCACCAAATGGCTGCGGGTCAACAATATGTACCCAAAATGGAACCCTGGTAAATGGAAACATGGACTAAAACCTGCGGTCCCCTGGTGGTTTAATTTTGACCCATACCCAAATGAGGATACCTGTCAAACCAATGGTGGTTTCCTCTTGGTTGCCTTCTCAAAACACCAAGCCTCTACACAAAGCTAATTCGGTCCATTGGGATGATCCTCCTGCCTCCTGTTCTTTGTCCCCATGCCCTCTCTGCTCGTACAGGATATGTTGAGTTGGCCTTGTGGGGGAACCAACTGTTTCCCAAAGAAATTGGCACGGGGCTCATTTGGACCAAAAACAAAGGCCATATGAGTCTCCTTCCAGCGTGAACGTGTATACATACGAAGGCATGAATGTGTGCGTGTGTGCGTACGCAAAAACGAAAGTTGAACAAGTATACACATCTTACTCAGAGTCCACATCTTGAATATATTGAATGGCAAATAAGTCAGGGGTGGTCCAGTATTGAGGCAGCTCGAATTTGGATGGTAAATATTCGACATCACTGCAGGTGCCAGTATCGCCTAGAGCCCACAAACTATCCTAATATTAATTACCCATCGAAAACATGGGACCCCCACAACAAAGTTCCCTGACTCCTTTGTAAGATCACTATAATCATGTCATATATGTGCATGTTTGGATGTACGCACATACATATCATCTTTTTTGATGTGGCCAACCGAGTTGTTGCTGTCTAGCCAGCAAATTCGATAAATCTGTCCAAAAAGTCCACCTAGAAAGTTCAAACTGTTGAACGCATATAAATCCACCAGGAAGCGCAGGAAAGAAACGAAGGGAGAAAGAAACCCTGCCTGCACAAAAGAACACTATCCAACAAGAGTGACGTCTGAAGTCTTGGGGTTGAGGTGTTGTTGTTTTGGCTAGCCCCGGCTTTTTACTAGCCCCGGCTCGGCACAAGGCCTAGCCCCGGCTCGGCACAAGGCCTCCCGGGCTGGTGGCCGCATCGCCAGCATTACCGGTTTCTTGTCACGGCTGCGTATGGGGCATGACTTGATGCTCGGGATAGCCAGCCACATCGCCAGCATTACTGGCCTCGCTCGGACGAGAACATGAACCCCCAACAAACCCAAGACCCGCCGCATTAATATCTCAGCAAGCCCAACACTCACCCCAAACCAGCCCCGATCAACCCTGAACTGCCACCAAATCAAAGCCAATAGGCAGCTCTCGTCCGAGCGAGGCCAGTAATGCTGGCAATGCGGCTGGCTATCCCGAGCATCAAGTCATGCCCCATACGCAGCCGTGACAAGAAACCGGAAATGCTTGGGATGCTGGGGATGCGGCCGCCCAGCTGACCAACCAACCAACGAACCAACGAACCAACCAACCAACTAACCAACCAATCTCCGAGCCGGGGTTAAGCCCCGAGCCGGGGCTAGTAAAAAAAAAACACCGGTTCCAAGTGTTGGCTTCCAACAAAATCCCAAGTTCAAAGTCCCGAGTTTTGTTTGGCGTTACTCAAATTGGGGGCATCCCTAATCCCATTCCGAAATCCATAGTGGGACACTACACAAACAACACACACACGAACATTCGGATGGGACAATAATACAAATAATTATATCATATGTACACCTGCATGCATATATTTGTTTAACAAATGACCACCATGTTTAAGTCCACATTCGGATTCACCCATGTGGGCGAGGCCTTTTTGGGGGGCTAATTACCCCCCCCCCCCCGTTTTTTGGTGTCTTCTTTTTAAGGGAAACCAAAAGGAACGCCCTTGCGCCGTTTTGGGGTGTCGACCACATCGCCTTGGTGATGGCCGCAAGGCCGTTCGGCACATCCGCGAACTTCAGGCCCATGGATGGCGAGAGATAGCCTGCGCATCCCACGAGCAAAACGAAGAACCGTTTTGCATGCTGGGCCTTTTTGTGGGACTGAAATAGCAAGGAAACCTGAGCTGTTCACATACATTGGAGCGCGGGAAAGGTGTTTTCGGGGGATTTTTGGGGGCAGAGGTGAAACCAACATTACCACCGCAAAGCCACATAATCACACAAAATTATGTGTGGTTTATCCGCTGTACGCAGGGGGGCCGGCTACGGCGCCGCGCTTCTAGCAGACTTCCCAAGATGTAGACAGAAGGACAGCCAGTTCGGAGGCACAGGACGCGGACGAGGCGAGGACAAGAATGAGGAGAAGGAGGACAAGGAGGAGAAGGAGGACAAGGAGGAGAAGGAAGAGAAGGAGGAGAAGGAGAAGGAGGAGGAGGAGGAGGAGGAGGAGGACCAGAAGGAAGGCGACACTGACATAAAATCTAGATACCCTCACCTGCAAGGTCGGGAACAAGGTTGCCAGTGGGAAACTGGGACCACTAGTGGATGACTGATTGCCCTTCAACACGTGGATCAAATAAGAAACTCCCAAAAGTGTGTTTGTGTGTGTATGTGTGTGGTGTGCGTGTCTGTGTCTGTGTCTGTTTGTGTGAGGGGCAATACAACTTCTAGAACTGCTTCACATGTGCAAAATGTAACATTGGAAAGCAATAAATTACAAACAAATACACAAACAAGTGCAAACCGTGCCTGGGAAGGTTTGGGAAAGCAGGACAAAACAAAAAACAAAAAAAAACAGGTGTAAGTTGCAAAAACGAAGCGGACAAAAGGGCAATGTCCTCGTGTTGTTTCACGATGCCCGTTATTTCAGCCTGATTATCTTCTGTTTTGCCGGCGGACGTTCTGCGGGAGGTGCAGAGTGCCAACAAGCAAAAGCAGTTTGACAAAAAGCGAAACAAAAAGGAGAAAAAACACAAAAAAAAATCAACAGCGACAAAAAACAACAAGTGCAAACCGTGCCCGGGAAGGTCCAGGAAAAAGACAAACAAGGACAACGCGAAAGCAGTCTGTAGATTGCGAGAGAAACAAAAGAAAGCAAAAAATAAAAGCTCAGGTGATATCCCCAACAGCATACGGTGCTCTTTTTACGCACCACCCCGCAGCCCTCACAGAACCTCGTGGAATCCTCGTGGAACCATGGTGGAACCCTGGTGGCACCCTGGTGGCACCCTCGTGGAACCTTACCTCAAGGCCGCCCCGGACCACCCCGGAGCCTATCTGGGCTGATACCCCAAGCTTGCAGCTGTTGGGGAACAAAACAAAAGCCAAAGTCCTCGAGTTGTTCAGATGTGCAGGTTGTTCTGTGTGTTTTGCTGCTTGTTCTGCCATTTCGTTATTTTTTGCAGTTTGCTTGGTGGGGTTCAATCTTGTCCTGCTTTTGTTCCCACTTGGTTAATATAGCAAATTCACAAGTTGCCTGAGTGTGCCCCTCACAAGTGTGTCTGTAACTGTTTCAGGTACCCCTTTGTGTCGTTTTAAGGGGAAGCCAAACAGAACAATCGACATCCATTTTGGGGGTCCGATTGAAAAAGACACGCCCAAATGGTGATGGACCAGCTCCCAAGATAAGATGTTCCTGAGCCCAACGACTCAAATCGCCGCGCCGCGCGCCTGGCCACTTGAAGTACTCCGGCACGATGTAGCCTAAGAGCGGTCCAAGCAACCAGCAGGGAAATGATACATCCCTGTCTTGGGTGGGTGCTTGGCCAATTTGCTGTAGACCTTCCTGTAGTTGGCTATGATGCAATTCACCCATCGGCACAAAGTCACTCGAGCGGATTGGCAAGCCCGATCAAGTTGTTTAACTCAGAAAACAAAATGGAGCACTGGGTCCAGAAAAGTGACTTCCCAAAACTACCCTCAGGTGGCTTCAAGGGAAACACCCCCCAAAAGTGATTCTGCGAACCTCTCAAAATGCAACCACTTTAATGGCCCCACTATGAAACCCTTCATGGGTGAAGGCAAATGGAGCTGCTGGGCAGGAGCTGAACAGCGCACAGAGTCAGGCCTGTCCACTTGAAGCACAGGCAACTCTTGAGCGGGCGAGCTGTCAATAATCCGGGAGACCATTAGCATTCATGGAGGTTTCCCCCTGGTTGATTTGGCGAGTGTGGGGGCGTTCGCCCGCCTGTGGGGAAATACTCCATCCATCCATCCATCCATCCATCCATCCATCCATCCATCCATCCATCCATCCATCCATCCATCCATCCATCCATCCATCCATCCATCCATCCATCCATCCATCCACCAGATTGATTAATTCATGCCTTACCTCCGTAGCACCCAGCACCATGTCAAAAAAAAGGCAAAACGCGTTTGGCTTGCTGAATTCACAGGGAAGTAGCTTGAGCATCTGTGGCGACAAAAAACACATTCAGCTCAGCAGGTCAAGCAACGAATCTTGATAGGGCCCCTCAAAAATGGTGGGTGGACATAACCAGAGTCACAATCAAACCGATCGGTAGTCAAAAGGTCGTAATCCCAGGACCATGCAAAGAACTACAAAGGCGGCCGGGCTTTGATTGTGGCTCAGGTAAACATATGTAGATATCAAGCAAAGGGATCCCAATCAAATGTCCCCACGTGGACAACAGACCTAGCAAGACCCTCTTACTGGAAGATGTTTTAGCGAAAGGAAACAAACCTAAACAAACATAACATTTGATTGTGTCCTTGGCAAATGTCCCTTCGGCGGGTCTCTTCGCAGGTGCCCTTCTGAGATGGTGCGGGTGCTCTTGTTCTGTTCTTCTCGCACATGTATCGACTTGGAGGTCGTTTTCACTGAACCTGACGAAAACGCGCCAAACAAGCACAGCAAATCAAGCAATTGAAGACTCTTGACTCTTGGGCCAAAAACGCAACGACCATCTCAGTTTTCAAAAAAAAAAAAACTCTCTGAGTGAGGCGCCCATGGTGGCGTACATGGCCACACGCCCGTGCTTGATCTCCGTCTCCCTGCGGCGCTTGAAGGTCTCCGCGTCGCCTAAGGACCCGGAGACCGGCAATGGGGGCTCTCAAAATGCTGGACTCGGTTTCTGGGCGGTTTTTAGGGAAACCGGTTCCCCTACTTTGAGAAGCACACATTTGTCAAAAGAAAATAAGAGGAAACCTTTCATGAAACAAAATCATTGTCATGTGTGAGGTGGCCACCCCCTCCCCTCCCAGTGAACTTGCTCCAACTGCACCAGAACTGCCTCCTCTTGTGTCACCTCAACCCAACCCAACACACATCACAAACGGGTCCCCAGCCACGCTGGCTGGTTTGCCTGCGTTTAAGAACTCGCCCAAGAAGAGTCGGGTCATCGTTCCGAAACTCATCATCTTGTCCCAATGACTTGGGCATGATCAAATGCTGGCGTTGGACAGACCAGCCTGCTTGCATCTTGGTTGACCCTTCGATGCTGATGGATTCTTCGATTTCAATTTCCCCTGTGACCCATTCCGAGGGCGGTAAGTTGAGCTAGGAAAAAAAGAACACTTGCCTTTGCATTGGCCAGGTTAGTAGAAGTCCCTGCATTCTGGCTGCTAAACATGTCAGAATGCAGGCTTGGCCAATCCGATTGCCATAATGATTCACAGAACATGGGCATCATGGGAAACCAAACCCCAGACCAAAGGTTCATGGGAACGCATATAGCCACTATACATCAGATATTGTCCCTTGTTCTCTAAAGCACTATACATGGGACATTATCCCTTGTTCTCCTGTGCTGGTTTGGGGTAGCGGAAACTATCTGCCGGCGGAGCACACCTTTGCGTGAAAAAAGGGATCCACTCATTCAAAGAGAATCCGCAAGATCCTGCCCCAGGTTACGGAAGCAGTTCGCTTGCTAGAGACTTCCTTTCGAGACCGCAAAGAAAGAGGCGAGGGGCCATCTCGCGTGTAGCCCACTGGGTCCTGGGCTCGAGAAGGAATTCAGTCGGGCACGCGGTTCGCAGGTTTCGGGAAAGCGTGGATCCCAGGAAAACCGCCAGTTGGATGGGTCAGTTTGGGGGTTCAACGCAAGAATCAGCAATGGCATCATGCATCTTCAAAGGTGGCTAGAGGAAGGCAATCAAAAACTGCATTCCCCGAGAACTCCTCTTCCCAAGGCCTGTGGAACCTCGAATTCTGAGTTTCCATGGAAGCCCAAGAAAGAGCTTGGAGCCCCCAAAGCGACCGCAAGGAAGTCCTTGGACCTAAAGGAACCCTAAGAACCCTAAGGAACTCAAGCAACCCAAACGGACCCAAAAGAACTCAAAGATCCATCATGTTCCCTTTTCGCCTCTGGAGGCTTCAGAGGCTCTGCAGCACAAGGAAAAAGGGAAACAAAAAGGGCTCCAACTGGTACCTCCCATGTGGCCGACATTGTCGGACATGTTGGCACCCGACATGTTTGCCTCTAATACCAGAGAAATCAAACATCTGCTTCACAACAAAACTCGCTCAACAGCTCCAATGAGTCTTTCAGGTCCCTTGCATGTCTTCTCAAGCGAGAACATGTCTGCAGGTGAAGGGACCTCCAAGGGCCAGTGAACAAACACTCCGGATCTGGAAAAAAAAACGGTTTGGAGGCGCTTGGGATTCAACTCGCGTATCTGTTGATATCCTACGCTGCAACACCTGCACCTCTGGGTGGAAGGAGCAAGAGACACCATGTCCTGTGTGCTCTCGGAGAGCAACGCTGGCTGCTTGGCCGAGCGACGTATCGCTAAGAAAACCGCAGGTCACATGAGCTAGGTTCTCCAGTAGAGAGGTTAGAATAAGGGTACCCGATTTGTTTTTCTGTAGTCTATAGTAGGGGACCCTCCCCCAAAAAAGGGTAAAAGGGCACTGCTGGGGGACCTAGTTCAGGTTAATTGAGGATTATTCATTGCTAGAACGGCCATGTGGTGTGCCCTACATCCCAAATCTGCTTGATCAGCCCTGGCCACGACGTAGCGTCAAGGTAAAGCCAGTCCAAGGTTCTGGGCCGGTCTTTCAGGGCCTAGTCACCGCAAAAACTGTTCTGACAGGGCTGTGGGTCAAAACTATGTAGCCAAAATGGAACCTTAGTCAATGGAAACATGGACTAAAACCTGCGGTCCCCTAGTTGTTTAATTTTGACCCACACCCACATCAGTCCCCTGCCTTTCGTTCAAGGCTCGGGCCTGCGTCTTGTCTGCTCATGACTCATGATTTCGCAGGTGGTTTCACTTGCTCTTTCAGCAGCCGACTAGAACAGTGCGCGTTAGCGTAAAGGCAGCACCAAGGACTTGGCTCTTTCAGAACCAGGCTTCATCGACAAGGCCCGCAGACAGAAAAACTTTGTGATCCAGGATTTCAGGATAGTTTTTCTGACTGGTGCACTTGGCCAAAACACAAACTCCCATTTGCCGTGCACCTTGAGCACAACTATCTGCCTTGCGCGCAAGCAGTGCCAAAGTCATTCAAGTCATTCACATTACGTCCCCTTTGAACATACAAAGAGGAGTTTAAATGGTTTGCAAATTGCCATCGAGCACCCTCAAAAGCAGTTGATTGAAACACATCTTCGCCTAAATGAGCTTCATGCCCAAGCAAAAGTTCAAAGCCAATCAAATAACCAAAAGTTACAACGAAATGTACCTAATGAAATAAATTTGAAGTTCATCTGCAGCCACGTTACAACCACTACATGGCCACGGGTCAAAATCCCGTACCCCCAGTGAACATCCCAATCCTCACTAAAATAGGTTCTAAAATGGGTGGTGAATTCACCTACCCCAAAATGGTACCATTGGTTTTGACAACCACAGCCACATCATGATTGCGCCCAGGGAAGTCACGACTCGTCGCCGGATATGGACATCGCCCAGGTGCCCAGAAGCCCACGGGCGGCTGCACGCCCAGCTCCGACTGGCGAATGCTAAGCCGCTGAGGCGATGGAGAAACGGGGCAAGGACACGGGCTCCCGAGAGGTCAACCAGCCAAAGGTGAAACGGCTGTGGGTCAAAAAGGGGTACCCAAAATGGAACCCTGGTACTGTAAATGGAAACAAAGACTAAAACCTGTGTAACCCTACCTCTGAAAAGTTGAGCCAGACCCAAATAGACAGTAAAGGTCAACAACAGGTGATTTGAAAAGCAGGGCCTCCCTACTCTTTGAACGTCACTATTTTAGCTTGGTGCTCCCTAGAGGTTGAAAAGTTGGCCCGTTGACCCAAGGAAACCTGGAGACACCCCATGGAAAGGCTCCATATGTTCCCAGAGGAAACTCCCAACCACAGGGAATAGTGGGAACCCGGATGCTGATCCCTGGACAAATCTCTGCTAGCCGAGGCTCCCTTGCCAACACCTCTCTTCATGGGCATCTGGCTGAATGACTCAATGCAGCGAACAGTCATCACACAATCAAGCCAAGGACGTCTGGCGCAAGCTAAGCAACCAGTCGAGTTTCAACTGAACTCATGTCAAACAGTCACAAGAGTTACACGCAGCTTGGCTACGTCGAAGGCGCCATGGGCCGCCGCAAGGGGGGGAACAACCCTTTCTCTAAGATGGTTTCCACTACCCTCAAACCACTACTCCTCGAGGTTTCAGGGGCTATATTTGGGTGTTCGGCTGGCTTAGTAAGTTGATGGTAGCCTGGGCTGTAACCCACTTGTAGGTTCCCCTATGTGGAGTTAACCCTGTCATCAGTGGGTTATAACCCAGCTGGCCAAGCACTTACTAACTTAGCCGAACTTCCAAGTACAACCATTGTATACTCAGATGCCCAGTGACCATGGGAAAAAGGGTATCCTTTTTGGTTGGTTGAGTTTAAAGGGGGGCCCTTCTCAAAAAAAGGAAAAAGGGCGCCACTGGGCAACTGGGTATAGCGACTGTATAAATTTGAATTAGGACAAGAATCTCCTTTGACTTATGTGTTGTCCCTTCAGCACATCCTCGGGTGACCCGTGGTCCGACCAGAAAAAACGCGACCCATCATAGGATCCCTTCAAGGAAACATCCCGAAACCACCTGCTTTCGCAGGGAATTCTCTAAACCAGCTGGTATGTTGTTGCTCTTTTGACTCACCACCCCCCCCCCCCGCCCCGCCCAAGGAACAAACAAACAAAACAAAACCAACAAAAAACAAAACATCATTGAAAGAATGGCCTCGAAGGCGCGCAGGGGGCTGGCGGTGTAGTTGGCCCAGTCGCCCCAGGCAGAGCCCGTCAGGCCGTCCTGAAAAGGGAAATGCGAAGCTCTCTCTGCAATCTGCAAGCTGTCTGGAACACAGTGTCTACCAGGGACCCTCTGGAAGGCTTCAGATTTGTTGGGAGGGTACTCCCCTGCAAGTGACCCAACACTGTCCGGCGAAAAGGAGAATCCACGAAAAATGGCTGTGGCTCAAAAAGCCGTAACCCCTTCTGTTTAATTTTGAGCCACAGCCAAATGATGGTTTGCTGGGTTCCATGTCAATCTGCAGCGTCTCTCAAAATGGGATACACACCCAGCATGGGCTTCAGCTTCCTTGTAATGTCGCGCTCCAAACTAACCCGAGCAAGGCTAGGGGTGCGCTCCAAACCAGCAACTTCCTTGTCTTCACCAAATGGGATATCGAGCCTTAAACATGGGTACGACAACGACCTGAAAAGGGTTCACTAAAAAATGGTGGAGAACCCCCCCCCCCGGCACCACCATGGGCACTTTGAGTGCATGTTGCAGCAAGAACCTTGAAAACATACCCTAAAAGAAAGTGGACCACTGGTTGTAGAAAAAAAACACTTAAGTGTCCATACGGACACCCCCCCCCCCAATGACAGCATTCTGGTCATCTTTTGTCAAACTGCTATTTGCTCACTCAAGCATTAGCCGCATAAACATAAATGGCTGGACACCAGTCGACTTCGCCCCCTTCAAGAAGAAGCCAATGGAACAGAGTCCAAGACCTGAGGTTCTGCAAATGGGTCAAGAATGGGAATCATACGGTTGGGAAATAATATAGAAATCCTCTTCCCTCATTTTCCCCCTTTGAACCAACGAATCCAAGAGACTCACGTTGGCACAATCCCGCAATCTGTTCTTCGGTCGCCCAGTGACCCCAGCAGAATCGGGCCCGTGTTTGGGGGGTGTGATCTCTTGTTTAGAAAGGCACCAAGAAAACCAAACGGAAATGAAAAAAAGGGTGCCACTGAGGCAAATCGCTCACCAACACACGAGGATGAACACGGCGTAACCACGTGCCATTGTCAAGACTCCGCATATGGCCAATGCTCATGGTTCCCTTCTTAATAGGAGCCATTACATCGGTGGTTCAGGATCCTTACTATCCTTACTACCAGGTGGATGACCATCCCTGTTAACCCAAGTAAAGGGGTCTTTTCACCATGGCAGACATGGCAACCAACTCGCGACTTCTGATCGACCTGGAAGAACATGCCGATGATGGCCATCATGGCCAGGCGCCCGTTGGCCAATCTTAGAAAGCCAAGAGCGAAACAAAAAACATCGCCGTGCAAATCCCAAAACCATCCAAACCAAAGATTAATCTGACAACCTGTTGGCTACCCTTCAAAAACACGTCTCAGGGTAACCCTGTGTTGCAAAGGACCCAGAAATAAAAGGTTAGCATTTTGGGGGCATAAATAAAAATGGACCCAAAATGGGAAAACCGAAAGGTTGAAGGTTCGGCCTACCAGTTTGCCCGGGGAAGACATGTGCGGTTGCCAGTTGGCACGAGGCTATGCTGATGCTTACGCCCCAGAGTGACCCTGGCAAACAGGACACCTCGTCGGACTGGGCCAATTAAGATGGAAACCAACCAAACACCACTAAGGAAAGGATGCCATTTCGGGTGTTGCCCTGACTTTTGACCAAGGCAACATCCACATGCAAACAGTGTGGAGGGCAAATTTGCCGTGCTGGTGGGTATTCAAAGCTCTCTGGGCCTCAACATGCCAGCAAAATGAAACTAGGCCTACGCAAGTAACAGCCTCAGTATTAAACCCTATTGTTGATATGGTTCAATATAGCCCTTCACCAAAGCGGGCTATTTTGCAGAACCCTCCGCCCTTAATCAACCTGTTTCTTTGGCATGGCTCTCAACGGCATCAGAACCTAGGTGGATTGCTACACGGCCCTACCGCATGAGCTCTAAACACGTTCTTCCCCCGCATTTACCTGCAAAGGCAATAATTATAATGTTGCCGCTCTGTCCGCGTTACAGTGATTTTCTGTGATTCGATGTGACTGTGGTGGATCCACTTGCCATACTTATTTACGCAACCAGCCCGCGAGAAGCCCAGAAAAAGCCTCCCTCCCGTGGACTGCACGGGACTCGCCCTTTCCAAAGGACAGTCGCCTGCCAAAAGTTGCAACCGCACTAAAGGAGACAAAGCGCCTTTGGGGGGTTGTGCGTTTGCGGGGGGTGGCAGCAGCCTAATTTGAAAAGAGTCCCAAAGTCGTTTCCAGGGACCACTGCAAAGAGAAAGCTGCAAACTGGGTGGGTTCCTTTTGTCCAGCAAAGAAGAGCCAAAACGAAGCGGCAAAGTGTCGTGCTCAAGTGAACCTTTCTGCGAGCCACTCCGCGTTGAGCTTCTTCTTGCGGACCTCGGGGTCCGTGATGCCGGTGTTCATGATACCGACGGATCTGCGCGCGGGTCAGTCGTGGGTTGTGGAGATCAACAGGACTGGGTTCCGTATATGTCCCCTATACATAACACCCCACCACAAGGAAACTCATTTTACGGCCCAAAGGGTCCATGTTTACCACCTAGGGGACCTGTACATCTGTTGCGCCTGGGCGCTTGGAATTGTCAGGGGGCGGTTTCCCTACAAGTCCTTTGGGAGATGTTTTTTTTTTCGGACACCGGAGGCTCGAAGGCGAAGGAACTGGATGATGGCGGTGTGACGGAAATCCAATTCGCACCACGTTGAAACCATGGTTGAAACCATAACGTTCGTTGGCATTTACAGGGGAATCATCGGAAACCAGGGTTTCTTAGGTGGTGCAGGACTTCGTCCACCCACAGTAGGTTTGACAATATGACAGATAACCTTGGGTTCTGATTTGGATGTAGGCAGTCTCGGGAACTCACAACTGGGAATGTGTTCAGTACCGTTTCCCAGTTGCCCTGAGGAATAAGCGCCTTGCAGTTGGAAGTTGGAAAGAGAAAGAAAAGGAAACCGCCCCCCCCCTTTTTGAGGGAAACCACCGTCTGAGTCATAATCAAAACCTGGGGTTAAAAAAGTCTACCCAGAACCATTTAAAGAAATCAAAGGCGACTGCACCCATTTATGGTTGGGATCCCGTACCAACCTTCATCTACCCGGGTTTTGAGAACGTGGCTCTGGAGACAAATCCATGTTCAGGCTCTAACCTTCGGACTTCCCGTGAGTTGACAGTAACCCAGGTGACATGAACACTCGGGTATCAGGATTTATGTGCCCAAGACACGTTTGCAAGGTTTCACCAATGAAACCCTAGTCCGAATGGTGTTTTTTATGACCTGACAGGTCGCTCCTTTGGGACTTCAAAGCTCCCTCAGGGTGAGAACCTTTCTGGGCACTGGATTGTGTCTCTGATGGCAGGGTTCTTTTGCTCCCTTTCAATACCAAGCAAAAGGAGACCCATGACATAAGGGCAAAAAGGTGATGTTTAAACCATCCCCGCTGTTCATGGAGAATGCTTGGAATTTGAACATCCTGGCACTGGCATGTTATAATGGGCCAAACAATCACACACCTTATTCTCTTCTGAGAATAACCCATTCTAATCTGCATTGTGTCCAATTGTCCCAGCACCTGAAAAATAAAAATGGCATCCGCAAGTAAAGTACCTTTGTTATGCCCTTGTGTTTACCTCCGGAGCTCACGAAAGAAGCAGATACTGAGCTTTCCCCGTTCATTGCCTGGTGGGTTGATCAATATTCCAGGACCCTAAATGACCATGGCCAACCTTTTTCATTTGGTGGTTGAATTATCCTATTTTTTCGTGCTGTTCTCCAATGGCCCATGTAAAGGATCCTGTGATCAACCCCCATGTGAGTCATACTCAAAACCCGGTAGTAAGATGGTCTACCCAGAACCAAAATGGAAGAAACCCCACCTAAACCAGTGCCATCTATTTTCAATCAACCTAACAAGGACGCCTATGGGCTCATGTGGCAGTGGGTCAAAAATCGGTACCCAAAATGGAACCCTGGCAAGTGGACACATGGAGAAAAAAACCTGCGTTTTTTTCTTGGGGGGGGGTTTCCCTTGGGCGGTTTCCCCTCCGTCCTCCCACCCTAAGCCGACTCAGGCGCCGGAGTCCCAGAAAGCCAGCGCCGTAGTTCCCGGGCTCATCGTTCATCTGCTCGTTGTAGATCTGGGAAACGTGCCGGCGGTTTGCCCCTCACTGGATTCTGGGGGGTGGTGGGGGTGGATGGGGGGGGAGAGGTGGTGGAGGGGGGGGGGGGGGCCTGAGGGGGGTGGGGGTGGTGGGGGGTGGATGGGATGGCCAAAATTATGCACCAGTTGGTACAACCGGCGGTTTACCCTTCCCCAATGGCCAACATTGGCCAGAATTCTGTAGTTGGAATGGATGAAACCCGATGAATACTGGGACAACCTGCTAGAGAACATGATGTTCTGGTTCTTCATACTTCGACGCCCAAATATACCCTTTGGTGCACATCATTTTGGTGCCTGTCCACTAATCACTTATGAGGTGGTTCCCTATTGACACTCATAGCCAAACATGTTTCCCATCGTTTTAGAGAAGAACCCTTCGTTGTAAAGGGACACAAAAAGAAGTTCAACCACTTGTGTATCCCCCCTATTGTACAACAAATTCATGCAAGCCCCCCCAAAAAAAGAAAAGAAAAAGAAAGACACATTTTTCATGTTAAAATCACATCCCCACCAAAAGGCCCTCTTGGGCGCCGGCGTTGATCTCCACGAGGCCTGCGAAGCCTACGATCTGCAGCCAGCCGAGGGCAGGCACCTGGCGACGATTCCGAGTACCGCCTGCTGGTTGTTGGATGGGGGATACCAAAAGGGCCCCCCCAAAAAAGGGGGGGATACCAGGAAAGTGTAACCGGGATTGATGAAAATCATGTAAACTAGGTAATGTCAAAGGCAGGTTTGGGTTCGGCCGAGATGTGTCTTAAGCCATCCCACAGGCGCAAACTCCTCTCCTGAGCTTTGACGGGTTGCAGCTAGCCTGCTCCAAAAAATCTTAACCCCCTGGGTCATCTGAATTTCGCTTGAACAGCCTCAAGCTGGTTTCCCTTTCCGTGGTTCACCCGGGTCCAAACTGACACCGTCAGAGATTGTGTCGCCTTGGAGAAGGCGCCCAGGCCGTTGGGCACATCTGCGAACTTGACGTCCAGGAACTTGGAGAGGTATCCAGGGAACCTGCGCAGAGGACTTGAGGTTTCCTGGCCAGGGAGCGCTTGTTTCAACAAACCTTGACAATAGACATTGAGACGTGTGTACAAACTTGAATGCATGTAGAACATGTAATTTTCATATATAATATCTTTGTATATGATATGCTCGAAAACTGCCAAGTGTCGTTTTGAAGGGTTTGGTCAGTCGCTCCGGCGCAACATCTTACATGGCGTGTGTAAAACTGTTTGAGGGTACCATTTCCACCTCCGCGTGCAGGGAAGCAACAGAAAACTATTTTGGAGGTCTCCCGTTGACAGGTACCCAACCCATATGCCGACGTGCTTCATGGCCCCGCTGCAGTTCCGTTGAGAGAATCAAGGCCTCTTGATCCCCCGGTTTGGAGTAGTCACTGGCTAACTACCTGTTGCCACCTTGTTGGTAACAAATAAAGCCTCCATCCGATGAAGACACCCTGCTGCAGGGGTGTGCTGGTGGAGCGCACTATGTTTGGCCTCGCCGTCTTAGGGGCATGCATTTGGAACTCTGTGAGTTGACATTACTTTGTTGGCTTCATGTATGCCAACAGCCACAAGTAACATGTATGAGTCTACCCAATACCCGAAAAGCCATGGACAAGGCCAACCAAAGCACGTGTGGTTGCCTCCAGTACTCCGGCAGGATGTAGCCGATGGTGGCGAACATGGCAACCTTGGGGTTCCAAAAAACAGCAGACAACAGCCAACCACAACGTCATTTGTTGTTGCGTGTTTCTTCAAGCAGCGATTCTGCGAACTATAGCGGAAGTAGAAGAGCCCTTGCAACATGGCAAACTGTAGCCCATTGATTTGCCGACAAGCGTGTTTAGGTTGAACAACAAGGACTTCCGGGCTTGTTTGAGGTCATGCCAGTTTGCTGAAATGTTGCAAAGCTTTGGACGTTTCCCTAAAATTCCCTTTGCGAGGTCGCTAGAATTGGCTCAAGTCTATGTCTGGTATTCTAGAAGTACACTGGTATGTCAGGTTTGGTATGTCAGCTTTCACACTTAGCTTCAGCACCCAGAAGTACCTTGCGAGGATGCTGTTGAAAGGATAAAGGGAGTACCTCAGAGTGGCACAGAAAAGCCTTCAGAAGTTTTGCTGCTGAACTGAAGGGAACCATTTTTAACACAATATGAATGGAACGGCCAACAAAGCGCATCAACTGAGCTCCCAACACCTGCTACCTTGAGAGCTACTGTGGGTGGACGGAATCCAATTCGCACCACTTTGAAACCATGGTTGAAACCATTTTGTTGGCATTTGCTGCGGAATCATCAGAAACCTGGGTTTCTTAGGTGGTGCGAAATGGTTTTCGACCACCCAACCAAGATGATAACGCTTTGTTTAGGCCTTCCAACCAAACCCCGCGACCAGGTGCTCCGAGAAGCTCGGCCGTGCTTCAGCTCCACCTCCCTGCGGCGCTTGAAGTCCTGAAGCAAACCCCTGGGAATAATTACCCGGAGTAAGCCTTCCAAAACTCGGCTGCTTTCTGCTCCCCTGCTAAAAGCTTATAGTGGTTTAATGGAAAACCCATGAGTTGGCAAAAAGTTAAAGTCCTAACATCCAAGCAACATGGACAAAAGAAAAGCCAAAAGCCACGAAGGATTCGATGAGTTGACACATGAACTCTCAACATGTCTGCGCATCATGTTTGCTTGTTCTACAAAATCACCAATCTTCATGGGCGACGTCGCGACCCCCTGCCCCTTCAGTGACGGCTATAATTTGCCCAAGTTTTTATTGGCTGCCCAGTGGGTTCTGCCAGAGTCATTTTTCCGAATCCGTCTTCTTCGCCAGCAAAAATAGACTTTCCGGCTGGCAAAAGGACAAAACCACGTGACAACTACAAAGCAAGAATCTGAAAATGGAAGCCAGTCTGGGGGTTGAGTTTGGGGTCCATTCCTCCCCGAACCGGTGAGAAGGAAAGCCAAGGGAAGACTAAGGAAGTTGGGTGGCTTGCCGAATCCGTTGGTTCGCCACTCTGGGCGCTCCATCCTAGCAGAAAGCCTCTGATTCAACGGCACCTGGACCCACGGAACTTGCTGTCTGCCGTGCCACATGTTTGTGGGTCAAAGACAGACGGGGCTCCTTTGGGAGAATTATTTTTCCACGTCATACCGCAAGGACTCGCAATGGCGTCGTTTTCATCGCGGAATTGGGAAGCGACCCCTCAAGAGAGAAACGCCCCAAAAACAGGAAAACCGTGTTGCAGACTTTGTGGCAGAAATTTGGCCCTTGGCAAAGGGAAACTAAAGAACAGCAAACCAATAGAAGCGGGCTCACCTTGCAGCCTGTGTCCCTCGAAGTTGGCAATGCCCAGAACCCAAAAAAGGTTCACCTTCTGGGGTCATGACAAAAGAGCCGATATGGCTGTGGGTCAAAACCCTGTACTGGTGAACCTCAAAATAGGTGGCAAATGGATGTTCCACCCCAAAATGGGATCGCCATAGGTTACAAGTTATAAACCATGGCCATATGGGAAAACCAAAAAGCTTCAAAGGTCGGCCTGGGACCCCCCCAGCTACAGCTGCTCCCCAGTCCGAGAGGTTGCCGCTGGCAGAGAGGCCCAAAGGGTCCCAGAAGCCCACAGGAGGCTGCACCTCGGCTTCTGTCATTGCCAAATCCGGGGTAAACCCATTTTCGAAGGGGTCGATTCCCCAATGTGCAACCATGGTTCTTTTGAAAAAGAACTATTTTCAACCATCGTTGTTTTGAAAAATATGGCTCTTTTCTCTTTTTTTAAAACACAAAATCAACCATGGTGCTTAAAAAGAAAGAACAACAACTATTTTCAACATGGTTCTGTTGAGCAAAAACAACTTTTCTAGGGCGTTGAAGTTGGTTTGGCGTTGGATATGGGTCTGGGATGGTGTGGGGTGGCTGGTTTATGGACAAGGTCATGGGTTTAGGGGTCGAGTCCCCTTTTTTGAACCATGGTTCTTTTGAAAACAGCAGCTGTTCTTGCTGGGTTTTTGTTGGTTTCCTGAAAAGAAGGATCCCTGGGACGAATGAGGACCCTTCTTGTAGAAACTTCACTGAGAAGCGCCCCTTTAGTTCTACAAAACTAGTTGAAAAGGTGTATAAGATATGGGCCATGTGGGTGTGGTTGTTGGCGCCGCTCACCTGATAAACTATTGCTGGTAATTATTGTCCGAATCCTGGTTATCTGGCGACTTCGGGCTGTCTCTGCCTGTCCCAAAACCAACCAAAGACGGAGACTACCCAAAGCAGGGTCGGCGATAATGGTGTGGTGTCCAACCAACTTCCCACCAGCCTCACAAGCTTGCCCTGACATGATTCCGGAGTCCTTAAAACTCCTTGTCTCCCTTTTGTCCCCAAACAATTTCCGGCAATGGGCCCTTCACCCTTCCTACAACCCAGTTGCCCATTCTGGTAGAAAAAGAGGACCCCAAAGAGGTTGAGCATTTGCGGTGGAGATTCCACCAAACAACAAGAGACTCTAAGGCTGCAATCCACTGAACCACTGGGATGCTACAACCCTGCCGCAAACATGAAAGTTCAATCTTCTGACACCTTGACCAAAAGCGGAAACCAAAATACTCCTTACTCCAAAGTAGATCCTTATAATTATTGGTTAAACAAACTTCGGCCCCAAGGTGTGAAGGACAGGCGCGCAAAACGGACCCCTGTCCCACTGGCCCCGCCGAGCCACGCCCGTCTCCGCCTCGAAGGCGCGCAAGGGGCTGTCGGTGTAGTTGGCCCAGTCGCCCCAGGCGGAGCCTGCACGCGCGATTTGGCGCGGACGTGGCTGGGACTTGCTGGCTTCACAGACTGAAATACTGCAGACCTACCCCAAAATGGGATCCCGTTGGTTTTGACCACCACAGCTACATGGCTTGCGCCTGTGAGGCCGTCCTGGAAAAACATTCCGATGATGGCCATCCTTGGAAGGCGCAAACGGGGTGCAGGCTTGCCAGTGCTCACTCAGTGACCGGCCCAAACAAAGTGTACACTTTTTGGTCACTGAAATAAAAAGAGAGCCACCAAGGAAAAAAAGTGTCAAGCGTGTCCACTGGCTGGGTGAGTGTGGTGTGTGTTGTGCAAAGGGCAAGCAGCCCTTTGCGAAAGCCTGTAAAGTCATGCACGCAAAGGCTCCAATGACAAACCGCGAATGATAAGGTACAGAAGTCGCGGAAAAGACAAGCGCCTGAAGCGTGGAAGAAAGGAATGTGCAATCAGTGTTTGGTAAAAGTGCTCCGAGCTAAATAGGGAGTCTGAACAATCATGAAATGATCAATGTCCAGGTGGTTTTCTTCAGGGAAACTCATCGGCGACTCAGCAGCCAGAGTTATATACAAGAGTTGCGTCGCGAGATCAGGCGTCCCTCACCTGCCGTTGTGTCAAGACTCGTAAAATCCGGTTGGAGAGAAGTAGGCGATGCAATTTGCACAAACCCGATTGGAGGGAGGTTAGTCGTGCAGTTGCGAGGTAGAGCTGTAACTGCAACTCCAAGCCTAAGGGACTTTCAGGTAAGGGCCCTTCAGCTTGTTGCTGCCCGAATCGCTCGCAAGGCTCTAAGAAACCATCTTCAGGAATTTCCCCATGCAAAAAAAAGAGTCCCACAAGACCCCAGTCAATTCCAAGTGGTCATTCATGAACAAAAATAAATGAACCTCGATAATTTCCTGGAGATGGTTTCTTAGATGAGCTGCACTGAGGTCGACGCATAGCGAGGCGGCCGTTCGCCAGCTCGGCGCTCAACTTGCGCTTGCGCACCTCGGCGTCCGGGGAGCTGATGGCCTTCCAGCCGTAGTCGCCTCAGCTTGGAGACTCCGAAACTCTTTGAACATGGGGTCGTTGCTCAAAACCAAACCGGGGTCATGCACCACAGACAACATGTTCAATTGAACATTGACCATGGACAACTTCAGATGTGTTTTGAACAAGCAAACTCGCAATGGACAGCTTCAGATGTGTTTTGAGCAAGCAACTTGAACCATGGACAACTTCAGATGTGTTTTGACAACGAACACAGCGACCTGTTCACGAAGGGCGCGTGCCTGGGGTGCCGTTGAACTTGTACACGAAGAGCTCGTAGTAGCCTGCGAAGGCCACGATCTGCGCCCAGCCGTTGCCCGGCACCTGGACGAAAGCCGAAAGGCGAGGGCCATTGCCGGGAGAGAAACTTGTGGCGAAGCGGATGGACCAAAAGGATCGAAAAGGAGGCGGGTTAAACTAAGTCGGTCTGCAACTTGATCATTTTGCTGGGTCTGCAACTTGTGCAATACCAAAGGTAAACTTAATAAATGGACCCCTTGGTAATTTAGTTGCATCACGGTCAGTTTGCCCCAGGTGAGCTGGCCATAACATGCGCAAGTAGGTTTAAACATGTCTGAGCAAGGGGTTGGGCCAAACAGCCCGTGCCCATGGTCAAAACTGTGCCAAAGAATCAAAGCAGCTAGTGGCCGTGAAACCGTTCACTAAGTCAACGCTGTCGGAAGGCCGCCAACGTGCCGAACAAGAGGCAGCTGTTCTGACTGAAAGAGCTTGTCATGACATCGCTCACCCTTCACATCTTGTCAACTGGCCCCTCCAAAAGCCAGAACAACATCCCAAACCCAATACAAAGAATAGACTGGACAGACTCTGTTGCCCAAAGGACCTGAAACAGAGGGTCAACCTTTCGAGACCATGTCACAAAATGGACGAACAAGCGGAAACCAAAAGGTGAGAACACCTGATAAGCCTGGATCTTTTCCGAGAGCCTTGGCGGGGGTTCCACTACGGGCCGGCGAACTTCAAAAGTGGTTGGTGCCCACATGGATCCCCAGCGGCGATGTCCTTCAAAGGGTCGCTAAAATTCGAGAAGTTCAGGCAACTGTGTGGCGAATCCTTTCGACATCCAAGTAGGAAACTCTAACAAGACCCCTGATTGAAACAACCAAACGGGTACATGTCCAGGCCCCCCCCCAAAGAAAAATGATTGGTTTCCTGTGGGTTTCCATCTTGAATTTCCCCTCAAAAGGGTGCCCTCGAGAGAAAGAAGCACACACCCGAATGGATAACATAGGTCATAAAATGCAAGTTGAAGCTTGTTGAGCTTCTGAAGCTCATGTTGCTATTGTTCGAAAGGTCTTGGGTGGTTAGCAGCGGCTTTGGGGGGGGGGTTCTGCAAGGGATTCGTGACGGTTGCACACCGCTGGAGCCAAAAGTTGGGAGAGACCGAAAGGAGCCGGACCACTTCCGGGTCCGCGATTTTGCGACACCATACTTGTTCAAGCCACTTGGCTAAAATCGTGGTTATGAGGGGACTAACTCAGATAGAAACATGGATAACCTACTTTTCAGGCTGGTCGAGCACCAAAGTCAGGACCTCTGGGACTTCCGCGACTCCCTACCTTGGTGATGGCGGCGAGGCCATTGGGCACGTCCGCGAACTTCAGGCCCATGGATGGTGAGAGATATCCTGCGCACACGGCAACCCCGCGACACGAAAACGTGGGGCCCGATATCCCCTGCAACCCGATCGAAGCGAAAACCAAGACCACCCTTAGCGACGAAAGCGCCATGTTAGAAGGTTCTCTGGGCAGGGCAGCGTTGATCAATGTCCATCACGTGATCCATGGCAAGAAACAGCAACCCAGGGACGAACATGCGTAGAAACATGTGGATTGGTTGAACGGGTGTTTCATAATAATTTCACTAGTGGGTGCTACTTTGCGTTGGAAGAGACCTGTTCAATGATGTTCCCGCATGCAAACGCATGGCCGCGAAGACACTTCAACAAGTATACAGTATACTTGAGCCAAGCTCAAACTCGTTTCCCGAAGACACCATGGGATATTTACGTAGACCCAACAAATAAGCCATAGACTCCTGCTTCGTTAAACTCAAAAGGCCTATTCAAGGTTCCAACCACAACTGCCTTTAAACAAAACTTCGACCCGCCAGCAGATCAAGCGTGTTGCTTCATTGTTGCTTCCAGCCATCTCGTGCGAATCAGGCGGCTCGGACCCAGCGGACCGAGCGGCCTGGCCACTTGAAGTACTCGGGGACGATGTAGCCTCGCGAAGCGGCCTTTGGACGTTGTCGTTTTGATTATTCCTTGCTGCTGCGATAAGCAGGGAATGGGAAATGAAATGAACCCGAGAATTCCCTTAAAGGAAACCACAAGCTTGGCACAGGAGCTCCTCCTGGCGGCCGTTCAAAAGAAAGGAAACCACCAGTTGGATGGTTTGGGCTCATTGCATTTCTCATTCCCTGCATCTCCCGCACCGATCGCAAAAGTTTCTAGGAAAAGCGACCGCGGCCATGAAGAGTTTGAAAAAAAGGGCTTCTACACAAAAAGCGGGTTGTGCCAAAAAAAGGAGGGGGCAAAAACATGTGTGTGTGTGTGTGTTTTCGTTTCTTCGTTTTTTGCTGAGAACTGTAGGGGAAAAGAGTACCCTCAAGACAAACCGCGCCTTTGGCAGGGGGTCACTGAGCAGCGCCCACAACCCGTTGATGTTTGGTACCGCGATGTTTAAAGTTTGTTTATAGGCCTTACTATTCTGGGTGAATTACAATATTTACCAGCCTGAAATAGGGTGGTTTGGGGGCTACTCCCCACATAAACCACCATTTGGGGTGAGGTCGTATGAGGTCGTTATAATTCACCCAGTTACTATGCTCTCCATTCAGCCGCATAGTAGGCCCCCTGAACGATAACCGTGTGGCTTCTCTTTCAACTGTCACGTGGTTGAGGGGTGATACAACCCTTCGCTTGTCCTCTGTTCCTAGGAGCCCGAAAGCTATGGTCCGAAATCTTGTCACCAGCACAATGCCTTCAAAGGACCAAATCCCAAACTTGAGACCCCATCTTTTCTCATCGAGGTGTTCTCACCAACGAGTACACTAAAACGGCCAATGCAGTTTTTGGGCGGCTCACGTAAAATCTAGCAATCAACATCAATCAACTCAGGTCCCAGCGGTGGCACACAGGAAGAATAAAACCGAGCAGCCCATGGTGGCGTACATGGCCACACGCCCGTGCTTGATCTCTGTCTCCCTGCGGCGCTTGAAGGTCTCCGCGTCACCTGCGGCGCACGGAACCCCTCCGATTGCCAGAAACCCCCACCCAAAATGGTGGTTTTCCCTTTCATGTTCCTTTAAAACGAGACAAAACAAGATGCCACACTCGCTTGTTCGTGGAAAAATAACAAGATGCTTAAGCAACTGGAAGAGATGCAAGTGGAAATCAACTAGAAATTCCGTTGCCAAGGCGCCGTCGCGGGTGTATCCCACCGGATCCTCAGGGCAACAAAAACGAGGCGGATCCAACAAATTCACAGGTGAATCAGGGTTCTCTATATTTCCCCTTTTGCATCTTTCTGGTGGCTTTAAACATCACGCCATGTTTTGTAAGTTTGCTTTTAGATAATGCCCCCATCCGATGCGTGCTCAGCCATTTTCGACCTTCAGGGCTACTCCCAATGGGAAACAAGCTCATGGTGGAAAACTCTCCTTTGATACCCAAAGTGGGATGCATCTCCAAGACTACTGTATCATACTTGGGATTCTCATGGTACAGAAAGTGACCCTGAAACCCAGATTTGGCACAAAAAAAACAACTAGCAGGCACATGGAGTTCGGAGGGAGCAGGGATCAAGGGGAAGCCTCCAATAAGGGTAATCATAGCTGGAAGCAAAAACCGAAGCGAAATTTGACATCCTGAATGATCTAGGTGCACAAATGCCGCCTACTTCTTCAAGCTCCGAAATGGATCCTGAGTTTGACCATCAAGGAAAAACCGACTTCAACACATTAATTTCTCCTGTCCACTCATGTGATGAGGGGAATGCTCTGGTGTTGCTTCTGTGCGCCAACACATGCAATCACAATTTGACAAGAACGTTGCTTCCCGCAATGGATAACTTGCATGGACCTTTTGTTGTATTTTGGTAACTTGAGTGGACAATCTACCAAGCATGTTGTCAGTTGGCCATGTTGATTTGTGGTTTCAACACCCAAGCAATGAACTCCTCCAAAGTAAGAGTGTCGAAACAATAGTGCTCTCAACATGGTTAAGCCAGGAGTTTGGACGGCCCTTGTCACTACAGACTGGCTGTTTGCCTGCCCTTGGCCCTCTGGGTTGGTATGTTGGGCCAACCCCTTTCTTCAACGATGTTTGAACACCTGTCAAATCAAACATTGATTTTTCGGTTCAGCCTCCCCCTCCCCCCAAATCAAATGCAGGCGGGAAGCCCAAAAGCCCACCGGCGGCTGCACTCCCAGCTCGCTCTGAGCGGGCGGCACCCATCAAACCCACAAGGCTGAAGTTTGATGAGGCAGGGAAGTGATGCGTTTCGCCACTATAGAGGGTAGCTCTTTCTTGTAGCTTGCCCTGGGTGGTTCCCCTTGGTTGCGATGAAGCAACATAGAATCACTGCCAAGGGGCGAGGTCACCCATTCCCCATTGGAATTGCTTATGTTCATAGGCCATTCAAGGGCCGATGTCGATACAATCACATCAATCGATGGGGAAACCACGGAACCGCCATAAACCGATACCCCGCTATGCATTTTAACAAATGAGCTGCGTGGCTTCAATGGCGCAAGCGTCGCGGAAAAGAGAGCGACAGCCACAGCACTGGGCAAGCCTACGTTTTCGCTGCTGGCTTGCGAGCATATACCATGAGGCATGGAGTCCGCCTTTTGGTTTTACACATGGTCTTGTGTGATTTGCGAGACCAGCGTCGGCAGTGGCTTAAAATGCCTCAAAAATGGCTGGGGTCCCTTGGTCAACCTTGGAAATCTTTTCCCAAAATGTGTTGACATGCAATCCTACACTGTCGCAGGTTAACATTAAAGCCCAAAGGCAACTCCTCGTACGGAACCACCCCGCTTTTGGGTTCCTTCCGTCCAATTTGCAGGAATGTAAGCAACATGTCTTCTACCGCCAAACTTACACGTTCTTCAACCACCAAAATGGCCTGTGGGAGGGTAACAAAAGCAATTCCTCCTGAAGGGCGAACTGTTACCCTCAGACTAATCTGGAGCACCCTACCGGTCAAAGGAACCCTCTGAACTAAATCGTTCCCTTACCAAAGGGGGCCCACTCTTTCGGATTCGTCGCAAGTTATGCCGCTTGCTTCCAACGGCACCTCAAAAGCGCGCAGGGGGCTGTCGGCGTAGTTGGCCCAGTCTCCCCAGGCAGAGCCCGTGAGGCCATCCTGGAAGAACATGCCTCAGATGACGTGTCATATGTGAGCGGCTTTCTTTTGGAGGTCCCCTTTTACCTTATGTCGTGGCTATGTGTAAGTATTCATAGTTGCATGATGTGCGTGTGTTTTTGGAGCTGGTGTCCTGTGCACCTTTGTGTAAAGGGCCACCAAAAGGAAAACCAATGATTTTTGGTTCACACATACCCATACAATTTTGAAAGGGGGGGCAAAGCGCGACGCGGCACGAATCTTGTTACGGAGGCAAGGTATGTACCGGGGGGCCCTTGTTAGGACCGGAAAAGACAAACAAACAGCACTTGACAAGTACTAGTAGCACAATGTAGCGCAAGAACAACAAAGTGCTGCAGCTCCAGGTCAAAAGTTGCCTCCACAGCTCCAGCTTGAAGTTTGCAAGCTGTTCAGCGCAAGCCAAGCAACGCTAACAAGGGGTCACTGGCCCGGGCTGATGTTGGGTCTGTGACAAGATATATAACGGCTACGTATCGAGGTATGTAACGAGGTATAGCACAAAAAGAGAATCCTATCTTCCGCCCCTCCCTGCTACCTGTTCCAACTTTTCTTCTGAATGGCAAAATCTCTCTGCAAGTTGACTCTTCACAGGTATGTCCAGCAAAAGCATGCACCCATTGGACATCTCTGAGACTTTGAGCACGCAACGAGGGGCATGCAGCCAGCCAGACGATTTTGTTAAGTAAGGGCGACCGTGTTCCATGTCAATCTGCAAAAACCTGCGTAAACACCCCAGGAGGATCCCGCAGGATTCTCGCTACCCCCGAACTCCTTCCCCCTCGGCAAAACCGGATATACTCCCCTGATATAGAGCTTCTGAAGTGTCTTTAGGCTCCACTTTCCCTGGGGGCCGCGGAGAAAGGAGGGTCAAATCACAAACTGTCCGGGAGCCGGGGACTGTTGGCTATATATCACGAGGTACTCGTTACATCACGCTCACGCAGCAATAAACGCTTACAATTCCAGTATGCGCGTTCACAACAAAGGTTGGACCAAGCTGAGGTGTATGGTAATGCATCCTTTTCTCCCTTGCCAGGGAGCATGGGTTTTCTTGCTTTTCCGTTCCACACAAGCAAGGCACCCTGTCACCCACGCATGTGATGAAGGGTGTCTTGCCCGACACTCCTGTTTTAGTAGGTTGACCCTCTGAAAAATCCAAGGCCTCCGAGTGTCGGTTCTCTTTTCCAAGATTTAAGCATCACCGGTGGCAAGCAAGACCCATGTTGGAAAACTCATCTGACGACAACTTGTAAGGATACTTATCCTCTTGCAGGGAGCCTTATTGGGTGCTCTGGCGGCTGGCTCCCATAATTTAGCCACACTTAGTGGTCCAAGAACGAAGGGTTCATAAAGAAGGTTCATATATGGGTGTGGCTCAAAATTAAACAGGGGGGGGTACGCAGGTTTTGGTCCATGTCTCCACTTACCAGGGTTCCATTTTGGGTACCGGTTTTTTGAGCCAAAGCCATATAATGCGGATTCCTACATTCATACTTTGAGCCGCCTCAGGTCCTCAAGAGACTTAAATACGCACAACTGATACCAAAGTGTCTAAATGGGTATGTGCCAAAATAGGGGTCCCAAGTAGTCCCAAGAGTTGTGGTTGTCCTTTCTGTTGTCCTTTGAACCAACCTTCAAAGGTAACCCCAAACCAAAACACACACACACAAATGCAATCTCATTCACAGGCATCCGAATTGAGGGGAAAGGCGTCGTAAAGCGTGGGAGCCACGCGCCTGCTGAATTTGTGTGATACCATGGTCAAGACTCCTGTGGGCCACAGTTATGTCTGAATGGGGCCGCGGCCGTTCTATCATGCAAGGGGCGTTTTGATTGACCATGGCAAACATGGATGTTGCTCAAAAAAGCTGGGTCCGCTCAAACAGGTTCCTTTTGGATTCACTTAACATACCAAACAAAACTGGGTCGATTCACCATTTTGCTTGAGGTCCTCGAGCACATGGCGCGCGGGTCCGGTTTGTGGCGCTATTGGCCAAAGGCGCCGATGATGGCCATCATGGCCAGGCGTCCATTGTTGATCTCGGCGTTGAGGCTCTTCATCTTCTTCTCCTTGTCCTCCAAAGCCCAGCTTGCGCGGGGCAAAAATCGGGCGATCTGGACAGTCCTCTGGCGTCCGATCTTTCTAAAGGCTGATCCCCCATTCGTTTCTTTTGTTGTGGAATGAACTCCGCGAGCTTTGGAAGGGGAAAGATAACATCGGGCGATCGCCCGACATATTTTGGACAGGGCCCCTCTGGGCACCTGAAGGTCCAGTTTTGATTGGGACCCAGATCTCAGTCTTGCTCATCGAGAAATGGCGGACTTGTCGGCCCCGAGTGAATCAACCTGGTGGATGTTTAGAGGAGGCATTCCCCAAGAAGTGAAGGATTCCCTCTAGAATTGAACATGTCCCTATGAATCGACCAGGGGTTATTATTTTGCGGTCCCAGTACCGATTGTTTCTCCTGCCATCGAATTTGGATTCATTGTGAACTTGTTGGTCGCGTCTACAAAATGCGTACATATACATATCATGTTATTTGCTCAACTGCAGTCACTGTTGAATCATCATGAAAATTAGGAATCAAACAACTGGAGGAACTGACCTTGCTGTGCGTGCAAGATAGCTTGGACAGCTGTCGCGACGAATTAATTTCTTGCTGTCTGCTTGCTTGCCCAGTGGTCATGGGAAAACTGACACTTTGGTGTTGGCAAACTTAAAAGGAAAGCACTTTGGTGCCGTTTTGAACAAATTGACGGCACGTGACTGGTACAAAACTGAAACCTGTGCCATCTACTTGCAACCAAAGTTACCAAAAAGAACACGCATGCCTCCAATCGAGAGGCTCCCAGGGAACTGGCTCTGCAAGCAGTCCGACCCCACGTATGAGCGTCCCATAGTTGTGTGTGTGTGCTGCTTTGAGGCTACTCTTCTTCACCTGAGTTTCATGGAAAACCCCACACGGACACCACCACTGTTGGGTCGGTGAATCCCTCATAAAAGGCCTTTTCACCTTAGGGAAGCAGGATTGGACTGGTTGGGAAAGCCTTGGCGAGGCCCGGGACCAATCTTCGCCTGAGATGCTTCGGGGACTAGAAAGGGCTTGAGGAAAAGCTGGCTAGAGTCGCTAGAGCAATCTTAGGAAAGCTTTAGGGAGTTTGTAGGAAGTGCCATGGGCAGTTAGGGGGGGCATACAGTTTCATACTTCACACAATCTTTGGGAAAGGGTCCTGCTATTGGCTGTGCTCTCCCCAAAAAAGCGCTTTCCCTTTGGGCTTCCCTTGAAGCGCAGGCAAAAAGGGTACCCTCCCACAAACCCACACGCACACACAAACACCTATACTCATATGATGTGTATATGTTGTAGCAACCTTTCTTTATCCCTGGCTTGGGCCACCATGGTTCTCACTGTCACAGTCGCCAAGCCCTCCTCAATCTTCTTGCCGAAGGGAATGCCGAAGGCACCGTAACCGTAGTCGCCCAGGATATCGTCCGTCTGGATCTTCTGAAGGTTCAGGATCCTACGGTTCACTGCCAGCAGACTTCGGTGGTGTCCCTTTGGCTTCGCTTGAAAGCCAGACCAAAAAGGCTACCCTGAAAACAAGACACACGAGCGTGTCTCAAAATAGGGACCCCAACTTGGTAGGTTTTCCTTTGGTCTCCTTCTAACCAAGGAAAACGGGGCTCCAACACCAAAAACACACACACACACACAAAGACTCGCCAGTACGCGCACTTTGCCGGCAAGCTGCTCAATGACGCCGACCTCAGCCCGAGTCGGAAGATTGAGCCTGGATCCATATATGTCAGCTTTTGTTGACATCGGATCAATCAACCTGGCAACACGCAGTCGGCAAGTGGTGCATCGCAGTACTGGTGAAGGAATTTGTCCATCCACAGAATCGTGATGTTCACCCAAGAGTGAAGTAAGCCCTCTAAAATGGATAACAACCGCTTTAGTGTAGACACACTGTTTGGGGAATAAAGATCGTGGTCCATATTTTGGGAAGCTTAACTTGAGAATCCATTTCAACAGCGACATGGTGCTGACATGCCTTCTGTTTTGTGTGTGTGTGTGGCGTTTCACTTTCGAGTGGCTCACCTCAGCCTGAGGCCCCTGCGAAGCCAACGATCTGCGCCCAGCCTGCAAGCGGACGAAAGACGTTGCCAGCAGAGCATGTCTTGTCACAAAGGTGGCTCTTGGCGGTTAGAGCGAGGACCCAATGAAAGCAAGCCCTTGGGGTAGGAATCGAACCTGAATGCCATGCGGATGTCTGTGAGACTCAAGCGTTGGCAGTAACTCAGCCTCGTTAAAGTCCCCCGCGTGTTGTAGGTTGACTGCAAATTTGCTATGTCGCTTTCCTATCGAAAGGGGCTCAATTTGGGGTCCCCGTGCCCTTTCTTATCATTTTCTTTCTTTTCAAAGGGTCCGATGAAAGGAACCCGAGGTTTGTCGAACCCTCAGCTTCCAATGCAGCAAGGGCAAATCTCTTCAGCTGTTAATGCAGGCTTACTGCAGGTTTGAATTTGGTGCAGCCCTAAAGTCAAATTCAACAACACGTAAACTGGGACCTGAAAACAGGAAGTACCCTTTGCTAAATGGGGTTGCAACGCCCCTGTTGTAACAAAATTCAAACCTGCCTTGCTGGGTTAAGTATCTGAAAGTGAAACTACAGAGTGCCTCCTAGTTTTCGCAGAAGCCTCAATTTGCGTGCCAGTCGCCCACTTGACGCCAGCTGATGTGCAAAATCTGAACATGTCCCAGACTCGTTGTTGACAGCACCCCTGCATATATTCAATACCAAATGGAAATGTGGCTAGTCTCCAGGCAAACAACTTATACTCCCAAAGAAAACTGAGCAAGGTCGGCTGTACCTTTGTTGCTTAAATATCTTTGAAGTGCCCTTGCATCTAGGTCTTCAGCAGAGTATTCTAGGCTGCTTCCTTTGTAAATGTATGTTAAAACCTAGAAAGCTATCCTTCCCCTTGTGGCTTCTTTGCTGGTTGTGGGAATCCAACAACTATGGCTTCCTTAGAGACCGGTAAAGCTGACTCGCTGAAAAAAAGCCGGCCCCCAGTTCTCAATTAAAGGAATCGCGATGAAACAAATCCACCGATGAGCCACTACTCCGCTAAAGAAGTCTGATCACATCTCATCATTCAACCACCTCCTGAATGATACATTTCCGAGGCTATGTGGCCACTCAACCACCCCCTGAATGATACATTTCTGGGGATATGTGGCACGCAGCTGAACCCTCCACGACCCATCCAGCCCCCCCCCCCCCCCAACTCCGCGCCTACCAGGGGCACCATGGGGGCTGCCTTGAGGCCGTTGGGGATGTCCGCGAAGGCGACGTTCTCGGAGGGGGAGCAATAGCCTGGCCCAACAGCTTTGGGTCCGTGGCCAGGGCTACAAATTGAAAAAAATATCGGTTGACCTTGAACAAATATCTTCTGCCAGCTTGTTTTCAGTGACCTCGATTCATTTTTGTCTATGTGGCCGCAGGTTGAGGTCGCCAAAAAGAAGCTGGTGACTCTGTTTCATATCTAGCGACACTAGGATTGCACACGGATCCCGAAACCCCCGGTTCTCATTCGGTATTTGTACACACCCGCTAAGGGGAAACCACTACAAGCACCAAAATGTCTAAGGAGTGAGTGTGGGCAACGCGGCCGGTGGTTGAATAAGTGGGCCCTCGTGAAACAGACTCGCAATGTGCCATATGTCTTGCAAAGGCAGTGCCCTTTGCAAGGGTCACCTGTTAAGTCAGCCTCTCATGTCACACAGCGTGATTCCCGAGTGTCATACTTAGTTCATGGCTTGATGACTTTCAGCGATCAATACAGCAGTTGGTCCGAACTAGAGACGAATTAACCAATACAACATAAGGAAAGCCTAGACATAAACTTCAGCATGGTTGAGGTCGCGAACCAACACCACGTGCAAGGTCGCTATTTAAAAGAATACTAATATATATATATATATAATCGTAATATCACCTGCTAATTGTTTTATCCATGATTCCACCGGGTTGCCGCCTGGGTGGCCAAATAGGAACACCACAAAAAATCGCCGTCACCTAATTTAAGACACCCCCACCTATAGCGAAAGCTTGCTCTGGATAAAGGGCACTGTCACCCGATAAAATGCCAAAGAACTGTATAGAAGCAAGTAGTGCCTCAATTTCACCGTTCACTATGCAAATGTGCCAAACGTGTTGACTCTTGGCCGGGAAGCGCAAAAGAGGCCCTCAATCGCTGGATTTACCGTGACTGAATCCCGGAGCGAAACTCATGTAACTCAAGCCGGGAGCACTAACAAAGGAGACCCTCCATCTTGCACGCGGAAAACTTAATGTGTTCCGTCACTCGGGGTCATTGTGGTTCCCCTCCATATCCCTCTTCGATGGCAGCAGCAGGCACTGAGTCACTGCAATGCTTGATCCCTTCCATAAATCCCCATTCATAATGTGGAACAAAGCAACAAACCAATACGCATGATGCAGCAAATGTTTCATGACTCCCGAACACAGGAAACCAACATGAATCATTTGGATGGGCCTCATGACGCTCGGCAAAAGGCTGGATCCAAATTGCACTTCCCCTGCCTGGGAAGCGCACGTACTCCGGAACGATGTAGCCAAGGCACGCCAGCATTGCCACCTCGATCGGCGCAAAGGGTGGGCCTATTCCAAAATATGGATTGGCTTCCGTGGTTGCTGGGCTCACAAATGGAATAGCTACCACACGCGTCTTGCGGTAAAGGCCGTGCACCATTGACACGTTCCCAGTGGCGGCGGCTGCAGTGGCGGCCGTGGTAGTAGTGGCAGCGGCAGCAGGAGCATTAGGAGTAGGAGAAGCAGTGGTAACAATCATAGCAGCCGTTCGTAACAGTACTTTTTCAAGTGGGGATTGTCAAGTGTCCTGCAGCGACTGCTTACTAATGCGATCATCGGTGATCATCCGTTGGATGCAGGTTTTACTTACACAGTGGCGGGCAACAATCATACTCGTCATACTCTATGTATCTGGCTCTGTCAAAATTATGTGATACCTGCCTGGGTCATCCCCATGACCAAAAGTCAACAACCAAGATGCTATTGTGAGGTAGAACATCATTGAATGGGTAGCTTTCAAAATGAGGGCGGGGCAAAGCAAAAGGAAAAGTCTTGCTTCCGGCTTCCCATCAAACCAACCTGAAAAGAGAGCCGAGTCTTAACAAAAACAAAACTGCAAATATTCCAACGGCATTTTCCTGAGACTGGTTTGTGACACATCAAGCTAAAGTTGGTTTGTGACACATCTTCTGTGACTCACTTTAAGACTTTTGGTTCTTGACAACACGTTTGACCCCTTGAAGTAGTAGCCCGAATATACCCCCAAAGTGAGATGGCTGTGTCTTTTCTTAATGGTACGCTGTTAAAAGGAAACCAACAAGATGCATCACCTCTCTGCCCTTAAACAAAAACCAACACATGGTTCCCTCATAATCAGACACGCATGGGACATCACCAACTCCTTTGGCCCTTTGAATCCCGGCATCTTCCGACTGGCGACTGGCGCTCGCTAGGCCCTTGGCCCTGCCGTGCTGGATCTCAATGACCCTGCGGCGCTTGAACTGCTGCGTCGCCACCTGAAAGCTTCCGAGCCCTGTAGGGGAGAACTAACATGAGCCGTTCAAAGAGGTGTGAGTACCCTTGTTTGCGGAGAGAAACACCAAATGGAAACAGAGTTGTTGTTCGAACAGCAGGGGACAATGTACACACGGCAGACTTGCAAGGAGATTCTTGTGAAGGTGGTGTTTTGGGTTCGAAACAACAGCGCCAGAGTCCTACAGGAAGTTAGCAACAACTTCGTCAAACATTTCAACGCCCAGGTAGCTGGTGATGAGTGAGCGTGGACTCAATTCGCCATTTCGATCAGTGTTTTCGTAAATCACCCATTCTCCGGAGTTGTCTTCCATTGCTTGCAGCTTATCCTGTCCCCACTTTCAAGCACTCTTTTACCAACCAAAAACCCGCTGCAAATTCACCCCGAACAAACCCTAAGCCGACCCTGAACCAAGCAAAGCCCGGACCTACTCGACAGGCCAACCACTGGAGCAAGCAGTGGCCAAAAGGCATGTGTGCTTGTGTGTGCGTGCGCGCCTGTCAAAGCATTGATCCGATGTTGATTCCCTCAACGTTGTGAGTAAATGAGCCAAAGCTTTTTGGCAAAAACTCTGTCTTCCCTGCTTGCAAAATGAGCCCCATGCGCATGCCACAACTGAACGCAAGAGCACACCGCTCGAGTTGAGTGCTCAATGCAATCCTGGACAGTCATGGGGTGGCTTATCTGAGCAATGGACCAGCGCTTTTTGGTTAGGGTTCTCCCGTTTTGGCCCCTATTTCCACGCCCCATTTCAGAGGTGTTGTGTCACTTGCTTCTCTTGTTTCAGACTTGTTCAAAAGCACGCAACAAAAAAGTTACGGAACACAAGACATCAGGGATCCGATCGGCCAAAAAACACGCTTGAGGCTAAGTGTTCGCCTTAAACCTCGAGCTTTGGCCTCCGGGTCGTCGAACTTGCTGAGGCCCAAGGGGTCGAAGAAGCCCAAAGGCGGGGTCACGCCAAGCTCCTGACATGCCGCTAGAGGCTGACGCATGCATCACTCAGTCGGTGAGTCAGTGAGTCAGTGAGTGAGTTAGGGTCACTGAAAAAAAGCGGGAGAATCGCCTCTAGCGAACATAGTCGTTCAGAGGGGTTATTCTGGAAGAAAGGAATCTTTAAACAAAAAAGAAAAACCAGCGGAATACTAGCTGGGGGAAGGGAGATGCATTGCATTCATCTGCACGCAAGTCGGTCGCTCAGTCAATCAGTCAGGGTCCCTTACAGGATAGACTTGGGCCAAACAGAAAACATGGCTCATCCGCTAATTCAGAGGAAGCCCTTGCCAAATGGGGGGTTCTAGATGTATCCCTCAGGAAACCTGACTGGTCGGTGAGCCAGCCAGCCAATCAGTCATTGTGACGGATGGCCAACCAGAATTTCGGGAGAAACTGGAGCTGTTCGATTTGGCCATGGATCGAACTCCAAATCGGTTAGCCCCCAGTGAACATCAACCAATCCAACCACTAAAATAGGTTCTAAAATGGGTGATGAATTCACCTACCCCAAAATGGTATGATTGGTTTTGACCAACCATTTCGCAACCTGACAATTCAGGAACGACTCAGTAAGCTCAGTAAGGGCCCTTCATCAACACTCCCATTAGTGCAGCTCCACTCTGGGTGAAGCCGGGCCATTTTTTGCCAAACTTGGGTAACAACAATAGTACGTAATGTGAAAAGGGAGAACGCGAGCGACAGCCAGAGAGACCGTTGACCGTTTCCCCTGCGGGTTGCACCAGGCCCAGCCCCGGCGCCGTTTCCCAACCGCTCCCCGGAGAAGTCGGGTGCGGCGGCGCGCAGGGGGCTGTCGGCGTAGTTGGCCCAGTCGCCCCAGGCAGAGCCCGTGAGGCCGTCCTGGAAGAACATACCTCAGCTGAGTGGGTCTAGTCTATCCACCCCTAACCACTACCCAAGAACAAAATGGAGATATATGGAGATATACCATTTGATACATCGTGATTATATATCGTATGTGAAGTGTCCCCTGGGGGTGGCGGTCTGGGGCCGCTGTTTACTCAAAATGTTCGACCTTTGTCAGCGAGTGGAAAACGCGCACTTCTTCCAAACAGCTGAAGCTTCAAGATCCGGCGAAGGAGCAGGCAAGGGCGCACCTTGCTTCTTTCGACACGGACAGCCCCGTCACCAAATCAACCGGCTTATGGTTGATGCTCCATGGATACAGTTGCTAACACCCATGCCGGTGAATGGGTGTGCAGGCGTGGGTGTAGGCGTGAAAGGAAACGCATCATGCAGCTGATATGTAGCATGTGAACAGTTTACACAGAGCGTCTTGATATGTAAATTGCCAATATCTTTCGGCAAGTCCAGTCCACATTTGCTATCTATGATGCGAACGCCTTCAATGACACCTGAAATTGAGTGAAACCTAGGGCCTGTTCTTGCTGGGTTTGAAAGCCATGCAAAGGAACCCTAGACTTTATCATGTTTTGTTTTTGTTGTGTAACAACCACACATTTTTTGTGTAACAAACACACAGCCACAAAGGATTGGGTTGCAGGATGATCACAACAAAGCTAGGTTTCCTGAAATTTCTCAATGTGAAGACAACATACACCCTTCAAAATAAGCATGTACCCTATCAACAAGAGTATGCTGCTTGAAGTCCCCCGTGGTTTGGTGAGTTGTTAATTAATATGCTTTCGTTTGCAGGGGCACATCTTCCAAGAAAACATCCGATAACCCCAACTTTCTGACCTCTTCATTCTGGCCAGTCAGCTAAGGCACCGCACATCATACAATCAAAACGGTAATCCGTTGGCATACAAGGTCAACATCTATGTTCACTGTATCTTTTTGTGCACAATCCACATTCATCAGCATCCATATGCGGGAAAGGCGCCCTGAATTGATCACGCATCTGCCAAATTTGGTGACACATGGCTTGCCCCTTCCTTCGCTTGAACCACAGGTCAAGATGCCGATGATGGCCATCATGGCCAGGCGCCCGTTGTTAATCTCTGCGTTGAGGCTCTTCATCTTCTTTTCCTTGTCCTCCGGCGTCCGATCTTGCTAAAGGCTGATCCCCGATTCTTGCTATCCATGCAGTCATAATGATTCCGGAGGTTGCGCAACTTCCTGCCAAGAAGGATGACTGTAAAGAATGGAAGAAACAGCACGTTATTCTATCTCTGTCATCGCGGCCAAAATCTCAACCATACGTCCCACAAGCCTTGATCGGCCGGTGTTGCTTTCTGTGTCCCATCTCCAAGAACGTCATTGCACATCATAGTTAACGGCCCCGCACCATTGCGATTGTCATTGCGCACTTCCTGCCAAAACACTCGCACAGGGACTTGCACCATGGACCCCAATGGACCCAACTGCTCTGACTGTCCAATGGGCTATCTTCTTGGTCGGTCTGACAGTGTGTGCAAATAACTTTTGGTTTCATCCAGATGGTCATAGAGGCTCATTCAGGCCTTTCTACAATTCCCAATCAGTACACCTGGCTCGTCTCAAACGCTTCATGGGCGATAAATTTGGGTTCGTCTCAAAATGCGAGAGTCTCCAGCTTTGGGTGTCCCCGTGCAACCAAAAGGGGGCTTCAACGAAGGACGCGGCCCAAAATGAGTTCTGGGTGCGCCCTGTCCTCGATCTTCTTGCCGTAGGGGAGGCCGAAGGCTCCGTAGCCGTAGTCCCCCAGGACATCCGACTGGATCTGCTGCAGGTTGAGGATCCTCAACACCGGATGGTTGGTTGGTGGGTTGGTGGGCGGGTGGGTTGGTGAGTTGTTTTCTTGCTTGGTTGCTTGGCGTGGGTTGGGTTGTCAAAAGTAACGTGCCTTGACGCTTTTTGGTCTAAGAGGGGTTGACCTCAAAGAAAGCCAATCCGACGTTGCAGCCATGAAACAAAAGCTGTCAAGCAGGAATCTGCATGCATTTACTCCCGTTGCTTCTAACTGAGTGTGTGCCCGGGTTTGGTTGGCTTCCTTTTGTAGCACACTGATCATCCCCACTAGCCCCTCTCTGGAACCTGCAAGGAACCTGCTTGAGGCCGCCCGAAACACATTGGCTCAGACCCCATGGCGCGATCCAGCGATACACTCTGGAAAAAAAAACTAGCACCCGGAACTGGTTCGCGGGATGCTTCCCCCCAAAGAAAACACAAGAGATGCCCCAGGCACTTGTTTCATCCGCGCTGCGAATCCAGCAAGTGAACCCCATGCGGATGGTTGGTGCTCTCTTCCCTTTGTACCCATCCCGAAAGGAGCCATGTTGAAGCAATATGAAACAACATACTGATGTTGAGCCCGGATTGAGAAAACATCCCCAGTGAAAGGGGACACCTCCTACTTCTCAACCAGTAGTTGATTTCATTCGGGGGTTCCATTCTATGCGAAAAGGACACAGCTCACAGGGCTGACAGTCATCGAGTTTGGATTCCCGTTAGGGGCAAATTGCATCTGTCTACTCCATGTTCTTAAACAAGGGATCTGGGCTTAATCGAATCTTGTGTTGGTTTCCTTGGTAGCAACATGCACGTCGATTTGAGCGCCCAGCTTCTCTGTAGCGTTCGCAGCTCTCAACGCCACCGGGCCCACTAACAAACTGTATGATAAAACAAGAAATCAAGCAAACCCCCCAAAAGCCGAGAGGGCAAGCATTTCACTTCAGCCAATGATCAAGCCTCCCAGAATGATTACCCCAAACAGCACCTTGCAGGCATCTCCCGAGTCGGCCCAAAAGGGGATGTCTTAAACCAACCAAAAGGAGACGTATAGCGAACCTTGGAATGCAACTGCTCACAAGACCCGGCGGGTGAATCCTTCGGTTGCTCGTTTTCTCTTCAGCCAAGCTACTCAATGGTGCCCACCTCCGTCAGATGCGCGTGGCTTTTTCAGGGAAGCAAAGAGCGCCGAGCCCCTTGAGTGGTCCTTTTCCAAAGCCCTACGGAGGGAATCACAAAGTCCAAGTGAAGAGCCGCCTTTTGCAGAAACGTGGTCTTGTGAGGGTTCTGTGCACTTCCATGTGGGAGGGTAAAGGGACATGGGAAGGGGTATACCTTTCAGGCCATTCTGTACGCGCTATACAGTGTTGATGTACCTGTGATAGTGTCTGGGGGGCAACGAAACCCTGGATTCGTTTGTGGCAAGAAGGTTTAGCTGTTACCTTCAGCCAGTTTGCTTCTCAAGACCATTTAAGGGGTGGCGGGGGGTGGGGTATTGACATCAAAGACTCTTTTTGGTATCACCTTTGGTATCGGCGGCAGGGTCCAAAAGGGGCCATATCTTCGAGAACTTTGTTTCTCTTTGGGCAGGTTGCTTGGAGGTCGAAGCCAGGCCCACCTAGTATCTGGCTTTACCTTTGCATCCACCATCCATTTGGGCCTCGGTGGCCGGCCCCTTGGATCCAACAAACTCCTCAAAGCCTGAGCAAGACCCAGACATGCTCGGGTTGGTGTCAGCTTCAGAGTAATCCTTATTCAAAGGAAGGACCGTGCTGATCAGAGGCAGTTCCTATCCGCATTTCGAATGGGTTGGTTCAATCCACGCAGCGCACATTGAATAAACGAGCACAAGCGGACCATCGGCCTAACATTCCGCCTAATCTGGGCTGTGCTCAGATCCCCCGCTAGTGAACAAAAATACTGGGTTAGATGGAAACCCAACCACTAAACACTCCAAAGGATTGAAAAGCTAAGGAGCCGGACGGCTGGGATGGTCGTCACCAAGTGATAATCCCCCAAATGCACAAGCTACCCTCAAAAAGCAACATCGCTCAATTTTTAGCACAACCTCATTTGGCTGTGGGTCAAAAATAGATACCCAAAATGGCTTGCCCTGGAAAGAGGAAACATGGACGAAAGCCTGCGCTCTCTAAGGCAAGGCAACGCCTGCGTCCCTCTGAAGATTCTCCAGCCGGACGCCGTGGATCCCAGTGACTAGCTGACCAGCCCTGGCGCTTCCTTTGGTTGCCGACCGGAAAAAGGAAGTGGGCTCAATAGGGGAGACAGTGCAGCTTGAGAAGCAACTCAGTGGTTAGTTGGTGGTCCCAAGAACCGAACGCACGAAACAAAGAACACTTCAAGGGTTGAAACGATCCACTGAACAACTTCGCAGTCTGCAAACTAACCTAAAAACCACACCAAAAAACCTCTGCAGACTAACCTGAAAGCCTGAAAGCCCCCAAAAGAACACGGCGCTTTTGGCTTTGCGAACCCTTTTCCGGGTTCCACGTTCCAGCTCCAGCCAGGTCCCCCCCCCCCCCCAAACCCTCGAGGCCCCGGCGAAGGCCACGATCTGAGCCCAGCCTGCAAACAAAAACCCCAGGTGCGTGGTGTCCTTTGGCTTCTTCCCACGGAAAACCGATTTATTCTCTTTCTTTTTGCCCCCCCCCCCCCGCTTTTTCTCCCCTCTTTTCTATATATATATATATTTGTGTGTGAACATGTATCTCCCCCAAAAAACCATTGGCAACCAGAGCTTCCGGTAAAAAGTGATGCCCACCAAATGAGTCTGTGCGTGTATGTGTGTGTGTGTGTGTGGGTGCGTGTGGGGGTTGTGTAGTTGTGTGGTTGTGTGTGTGTGTGTGTGTGTGTGTGTGTGTGTGTGTGTGTGTGTGTGTGTGTGTGTGTGTGTGTGTGTGTGTGTGTGTGTGTGTGTGTGTGTGTGTGTGTGTGTGTGTGTGTGTGTGTGTGTGTGTGTGTGTGTGTGTGTGTGTGTGTGTGTGTGTGTGTGTGTGTGTGTGTGTGTGTGTGTGTGTGTGTGTGTGTGTGTGTGTGTGTGTGTGTGTGTGTGTGTGTGTGTGTGTGTGTGTGTGTGTGTGTGTGTGTGTGTGTGTGTGTGTGTGTGTGTGTGTGTGTGTGTGTGTGTGTGTGTGTGTGTGTGTGTGTGTGTGTGTGTGTGTGTTTGTGTTTGTGTTTTCTGAATGGTACCATCAACAACGACTCACTTTGCTGGTTCTCAGTCGGGCCTAGGGTTCCCCCGAATTGTCTGAGAATCAGCAAGTTCAAAAGCCACACATAGATGCCGCCCGCGCATGAGCTCCGCGCCTATGAGGGGCACCATGGGAGCTGCCTTCAGGCCGTTGGGGATGTCCGCGAAAGCCACATTCTCGGAAGGGGAGCAATAGCCTGGCCAACCCGGGCCGGGCAGAGTTTGAAACAGCGCCCTGGCCCCATTTATAGAAAAAAGAGGGGGCTGCTTGTTTACAGTTGGTCCAGAAGGAAAACCTGAAGGTTGGTGAAGCAATAGGAACCATCGGTTGAATCCTAGTGGCCAGCCTCGGTTTTGGGTAAATGGACGTCTTTTGGGACCCTGTCCTGCTTTCAACAAGGCTTGATGTTGTGAATCATGCACATGGGGCTGTCCTTTTCTGGAGGGTACCCCTTCTTTTGGGTTGGCTTCAAAGGGAACCCAGAAGAAACCACACATGTTGGGGTCCCCTAATTTTGAGAAAAGTCTATAGTCTTTTTTGATTGCGAGTGCCTTTGCTGCTCCCCTGCAAATTACCATGGAATCCCAAAACATGTCCAATTCCCAAAACAATCTTCCTCCAACATGTTTCCAATGTGAATCTGTCTCACGTGTCTCCTTTAGCGACTAAATGATGTCCAGCGCTCACCGCAAGTTCCAACTAAACAAAAACTATATATATATATATATTTATGAATATGTGTATGTATATCAACGCATAATTCATGGAACCGCTCCAAGCACCGCAAACACACTCCCAACAAGGGCAAGCAAAGAACTTTGTCCTTTCCACACGCTACAGGAAAAGGCCCAAATGGGCTGAGGCAAACTCTTACGGCCTCCCCTGCCCGTCCAAGCGAGTCTTTTGTGGGCCATTGGTCGCTTGGGGTTCCGGTCATGGCGTCAGCAGCCCTAGATGTGCGGCCCAGTCAGTTTCACACTCTGCAGCCACGGTATGCCTTTTATTTGTGCCAGGGGGGTTCCAATTTGATGGGGCTGCAAACATGTGGACTTGCTGGGAGAGACCAGTCCGCTCGGAGTTATAGTCAATTGTGTGACTCGATTCACTCAAGGCTTCATAGCTCTTCATCGTGTCTCATTTCTTGCATTGCGCTAGATACGAGTTACGTCAATACACGCCTGTGTTGTTTTTGGGTCACGGAAACTGCTCCTTCCCACTGAACACATCCTTCACCTCCGGAGTGGCCTGGAAATCGGAAGTACTCCGGAACAATGTAGCCAATGCATGCGAGCATCGCCACCTTGGGCCAGCAGCTTGTGAACCCCAGAAAGTGAGTCACCGTCACCTGGTACTCAGCAAATCTATGGCCACAAATCGTAAGGGACGCAACTATCAAAGATAGACTGGCACTACACTCACCTGTGGTTTGGTTGCGGCTCATTTTGACACAGAAGGTTTTGCCTCCGGGTCTCGGGAGTCTGTGGTTCGTATGCTTCTCTCAGTCCAGTTTGCAGAGTCAAAGCGAGGGCCGGTGGCAGACTCCACTTCAAGCCAGTGCAGCTCTTGTCATCCACTTACGTGGGGCAAGGGCTTGGTAGTCGCACATGCATGCCTGGTTCTGGCCGTGGCCGGAAAACGCGTCCAACATGTCTGACGTGGGAGCTCACCAAAGAGAAAGGGAACAAGAACACCATGTCTTTTGGGTTGGTTCATTCATGCTGATTTCATTTCTAGTCAGTCCCAGCTCACCAAACAATAAAACTTCGGGGTTCGCTGCACAATGTGAGAGTGGCCCTTCTTCAGCCAGCCGCAATCATTTTGTCCCGAGCAGTCTTTACTACCAGGTGACTCAACCCATGTCCCCCCCCGCTTGTTGCAGGGCTGGGCCAACCTCTTTAATGTTGAACCCCCTTTTCAAGGCAACCAGTGCATGGCACTATGAAGAGCTTGCCCATAGATTTTCCGGTCCTTGTTCTGCCCCTCGTCATGAACGCTACATTTTTAGAGTTCAGCAATCAGACAGTCTTGCGGAAGGGAAACAACGAATATATTTGCGAAACCTGTAGAGCTGTCTCATAATGGTTCCCGAATTGTCCCAAAAGCACAACAGCAAGTATGTTCTTTACAAGACAACCACTAAACAATTCGCAACCGACACAAAAACAACAACCTAGATCCAAATAGCATGTCACTCCCCCAAAAAAAAACAAAGACAACCGCGAATAAACATAAGTGATATCCCCACCAGCCCTGGAACCCCCTGGAACCCTTGCGGAACCTCCCCACCCCAGAGCTGATTTGGGCGGAGGGTTCCAGGGTGTTCCAGGCGCTTGCCAGCTCGCCGGGGCGAACTTCTACCCCGAGATAGAAACCCAAGAGCTGATGGCTGCGGAAAAGGAAAACAGCTGCACCTCTAGCGGTGGATTCCTTGTCCATTCTTTTCAACCATCGTTCTTTTCTGAAAAGCCGGATCTGCTTCCCCTGAGGTTTTTGATGGTTTCCTGAAAAGATTCGGATCCCTGGAAAGAATGGAAATGGAAGCTAGCCCTAAGCAAACCCTAAGCCCAAAAAATCTATAAACCCCTCTGAATTCCCCTCTGACCAATTAAGGGAAACCCTATTCTGATGCCTGAAAACTGAACCGCGGAGCTGCCCCCCGAGTCGACTCGGGACTCGAAAACTCGGGACTCGGATCCAAGGCGTGGGCCCGGCCATGCTGGATCTCGATGATCCTCCGGCGCTTGAACTGCTGCGCGGCCACCTGGCAGTCTGGGAGTCGGGGAGTGTGGGACTTGGGCGTCATTTTTGGAGGGTACCCCTCTTTGTCATATGAATCTATGATCTTTTTTCTTTTCTTTCATACGAAGACCTTTATTCTTGGATCTTGTTTTACACCAAGGAGGAGGCATTGTTGGAGGGAACCCATTTTCAGGTGGGAAAGGGAAACCAAAAATAATAAGCTCAGGTGATATCCCCAACAGCATGCGGTGCTCTTTTTTAGTGCTCGCACCACCCTGCAGCCCTTGCAGAACCTCGTGGAACCCTGGTGGAACCCTGGTGGAACCCTGGCGGAACCCTCGGGGAACCCTGGTGGAAGCGTACCTCAGGGCCGCCCCACCCCGGAGCCTATCTAGGCTGAGATCCCACAGCTTTCAGCTGGTGGGGGAAAACACCAAATTTTGGGGGTCCTCTAAAAAGACAGCCCCATGTGGGTGGCCTTGGAAGGCTTTGCACCGATTCGTTCGCCCCGTTGATCACCACAACGGGACAACTGACAATGCTGGATATTTCACTTTGACCCTGCCCGTCGACCAACCGGCACAGCGTCTCTTGAGACACAGAAGCTCGTCGGAGACCCAAGGCTCCTAAAGATCCGGACTCGGGATTATATGCTTTAAGAGGGGGAGTCTTGCATCTATCGCTTCCTTCATGTCAACAATGCCTACCTAGAAGGCTTGCCCTAGATGCAAAAAGGCACCCCAACTTCCAATCACAACGTGTTTGCCCAAAGAGCCCTGGCAAAAACTTCTGGCATCTGTCGGTACGAGCGATAAAACCCTCTAAATGATTCTCAATGGATAAGTCGAGGAGCCTGGCTGGCTGCTAAACCAGCAGTTTGGACAGCAAAACAAAGCAAATGGAGATGGGGCGGGGGAAGCTTGCTCTGGACTCCGGACTGGCCGGCTCTTGCTTCAGATCCAATTACTTCAGGCAACCCGGTTTACCTCCGGGCTTTACATGATGGTTTCCTTTGATTCCCATCTGCACAATAGGATATAAGAAATCCTTTGGGAACCGCATGGGTTTTCCACTGAGCTCGGTGAGTAATTTGTCTGTTTTGTGAATTCCGGTCAGGGAAAACCAATAGGTAGGCATCTGCGTGGTCAAGCTGACTGCATAGGACGTGAAGAAGAGCATTCAGCTTTGAAACAATGTTGGGTTGGTTTGTCTTTCCTCACGTAGTCAGTGTAACCGAGATGGAGTTTCAGCTGGTACACAAACAGCAATACCGGATTTCAATACAGAACGGGGTCGGTAAAAAATGAACAAAATCCAATCATTCCCTTTTGGCTCCCGGAACAATGGAAGAGTATGAGCATCTAGATCTGTTTACACAAGCAAAAAAACACTGGGATATATAGTTGACTTGATGGTACTCAGTAGGGAATGAGAAATTGAATGACCCAAAAAAAAAACATCCAACTGGTGGTGTCCTTTCTTCGAGGACCAAAGCCTGGGTTCATTCAACCACACTCCCTACCTATCTCACCGATCGCAAGTTGACCGATTCCAAGCGCCTCGGGGTCGTCGAACTTGCTGAGGCCCAGAGGGTCGAAGAAGCCCAGGGGCGGCGTGACGCCCAGCTCCTGACGCACATGCTGCCGTGAATTTCAACCGACTCCAAATGGCTTTGGTGCCGAAACCAAACAACCAAAACGGGCTACATGGGATATATGGAACTTGTGGGATGTGATGTATGGGTTTTGTTTCTGAAAGCGGGGAACCGCCGAATTCCATGTTGGGAAAAGTGGAAGTCATGTAGACCTAGGCCTCCGGGATTGGCACGACGCCGTTCAACCAAATTGACCTTCCGACGAATGCTCGATAGGGTCCAAAAAACATGAAACAACAAAGCCACGCAGATCCATCCCCTTTTGGCGGTACCTCTAAAGTAGCAACTTGGTTGGCAAAAACTCCTAAAGTCCCAAGTCAGCAGGTCGTGTGACCATGGCAAGAGGACATAGGGAACCAATGAGTCCTTGGGTTTTTGCGGAGAATTTCGTGAACTCCTCCTGTGCTTCCCAAACAAGTCATACACTGCTGGACAGTTTGAGTGAGCCTGTGGTATTTACAGGGCTCCCTACGTTTCCCCTTTAAACATAACACCACCTAGGGGAAACTCCCTCAAACGGGCCCATAAGCATGTCCCCATGAAAAAGTTTAAGCCAGGGGTCCTGCAAAAAAAAGAATCCTTCAAGAGGGACTCTCTGGTGGTGTCCATGTTAGTGGACAGGGGGTACCAACTCCCCAAAACGCGGACCCGTGCTACTCACCCCAAATGCCCGGTCCCCGGAGAAGTCGGGCGCGGCGGCGCGCAGGGGGCTGTCGGCGTAGTTGGCCCAGTCGCCCCAGGCTGAGCCCGTGAGGCCGTCCTGGAAGAACATACCTCAGCTGAGGGTCCAGTCTACTACCCCTAAACCACTACCCAAGAGAAAACTGGGGATATGCCGTTGATATGTCGTGGACATTGTATATCCCGTTTCCCCTGGGGGGAGCTGAACCCATGCCAAGGACAGGTTCCGGTGCGAAAGCCCAAAGCGCTTTGAGGAAAATAAGTGAGTCCGCCGATTTATGTGGGGACATTTAGTGAGGCCGCCCATATCCTTCCCAGATGGACCATAGACTACCATGTTTGTCACAATCCATTTGCAGCTCCAACGTGTCCTAAAGCGGACTGAGTTGCAAAGGTGGGAACCGGCAAGGATGCAAATCATAAGTGGTCAAGGATTAAGACGTAAGATTTGTGTAAGATGCAGGCGAGGCTTCGTGCCAATGATGCTCTTGCAAATTGTCCTCTCCGTTTCCCAAAGGACCCAGAAATAAAAGGAAAACCTGTTGGGGCGATGACTTCAAATGGACCAAAACGAAGAAAGCAGGCCAAAAGGTCGACTCCCTTTGGGCAACTGAGGTCTTGAGGTTCGATGGTTGCCAGTTGCATGTCAAGGCACCGATGATGGCCATCATGGCCAAGCGCCCGTTGTTAATCTCTGCGTTGAGGCTCTTCATCTTCTTCTCCTTGTCCTGACTCAGAAGCCACGTCACGATCCATGACACCATGAAGTCTGTAGAACGGCTTTATAAACTGAAATCGCCATTCCGAGGTCTCGCTGAAAGGACGGAGGGGATTCGATCTCATAGCCTGCGGCAAACTCAAAGACCCCACAAAGACAATGCTAGATCCTCAGAAAGCCAGCGAGGGACGTGGTGGGAGGCTGGGTTTTTTCCAACCTCCGTTTTTGGCTGAATTGTTCGTGCTTGTTAAGTGTGAATCACAGCTTGCGAGTGACTCTTCTAGAGCGTTTTGAGGCTAGATGCCTTTTCTTGTGACCTTTGCTGACTACCTTACAGGATTGATTTTCTGGGGGTCCTCTGCAGACTTTTGTTAAGGTCAGCCTCACAACACGGAAGGCAAATCCCAAAAGAAACACCCGCACTCCTGGGAGGCCCGTGACCTCACAAAGGCAAAGGCCCAAAGATGAACACATCAAAAGCCCTCACTCGAGTCATCGAACGCTGCTTCAAGAATTGACAAGGCGGATATCCGCACTCATGGCTGGGATTGGCCCTTACCTTCAATGAACCGTTGTTTTTTTTGATTGTGACTCACTTGTGTTGGAGATTGGAAAATTCAGCTCAGGTTGAGTAAACTTCCCAATGGCATTGGCCAAACTTTCACTGAATCCAGAGCCTGCCTGGAACCCTCCCGCACCCTGCACAAGGCCGACTCTGTGATCCACAGAAGTCCTCTCAATGACCCACAGGTTCCAGATCCTTCTTCCCATTGTTGAGGTGACTCCTTTCATAAACTTATTGGGAAAACCACGACGAAGGTGATCACTAAAAGAACCTGGTGACTTGATCCGAATGATTCGCGTCCTCAATCTTCTTGCCGTAGGGAAGGCCAAAAGCTCCGTAGCCGTAGTCCCCCAGGACATCCGACTGGATCTGCTGAAGGTTCAGGATCCTCAACACCGAATGGTTGGTGAGTCGGTCGGTCGGTCGGTCGGTCGGTTGGCTGGTTGGTTGGCTGGCGGGGTGATGGGTTGAGAGAAGGTTCACGCGCTTCACGAAGATTCAACAGCTGAGAACATCTCGCCTGAGGTGGGCCATGGGGTTTTGCCACGAGTCCAAAACGAGAACCCGATGGAAATCAAGAGGGGCGCGAGCCAGGAAACTGGTCGCTGGATATTCGGCGATCTACCCTTCTATTTGGCAGAAACATATCTTTTCTCTGAACTCAACATGAAGCTCAACATGCACAACATCCATTCGCAGAAGATCCATTATGTTGAACAATTATGTTGCTGTCTTTGGCGTTTTTGCCCACATAGGCTCCGGAGTGGTTCGGCTCTGAGGTCGGCTTCCAGAAGGGTGCAAAGGAGGGTGGCTGTTGGGGATATGACTTGGGCTCGTTTTGTTTTTTTGCATTTTCCAACTGACGAAGCCTAGGTTGGCTGTTTCTTTTCGCCGTCGGGAAACCACAAGGAGTTTGTTTCTATTGGCTCATATCGTTTTGGATATCTTTGAATATTTTCTATAGGGAACCCTTTCAAAAGTGGTTGGTGGACAAACATCCCACCTAAATGGTGTCCACCACAGGGTCCCGCATTGAAATGTGTGCTTCAATATGCGTAAACAAGGTGGCCCGACCCGGGTTTCCGGGGGTTGAAAAACAAAACCTCAAAACAGCCAAACACGGGTTGACGATTTGCTTTGGCTTACTCGCCAACATCAAACGCCCACCCATGATGACATGATTTGGTCACAGCCCCATTCGACTAGTTGAATATGATCAGAGTTTACACATAGACCTGCATCATCTTGGCTGTCAATTTGGACTCCGACATTAGAGGAATCTTGATTCACTTGCGTTCTATGTTGGTTTCCCGCGAAATCTCTCAGCTGTTGGGAAAAAAAGGTCAGCAGCGCCCAAACCTAGAAAACATCGACCTTTAGTCCTAGTGACCATAGTTGTACAAGTTAATACAAGCGCTACTCTAACCCCAAAGCAACCAGATGTGGTGTCCCAGTCTATTAATCGGGGCTGTCCCTGGTTTTAGCTGGTTTTTGAAAAGAAGGATGGTTGAACAGAATGGGGAATGAACCCCTAGAAATATGGGGAATGAACACCTTAACCACCCAGTCAAAAGGCCAAAAAGGGACTTCGGGCGCTGCTTTGGGGTTGCCTTTAAAACTCATCTTGGGGGTTCCTAACTTCGACGCCAGGCTGCTCAATGGTGCCAACCTCAGCGAGCGCGTTTGATGACGAAGAGGCGGAAGAAGAAGCCAAACACGCCAGCACCGCCCCACAACTGATTTTTTTTTCCCATGTCCAACATCCCCAGTACTGTCCAAAAAGCAGTGGTTGCGGGGTGCTGGCATATGTCTGCGCAAATTGTCATAGTTCAGAACTGAAAATGATTCTTTGTAATGACCTTCATGGGCAGAGCTCGTTTCCTGGTGACCTCGTTATCCCACGTGCAATCTCCTTGTGCAGGCCATCGTGGCTCCCTCAGTAGGAACTCTCACGCTCGTTCTCTAACCCCGCGGTCAAGCGTCTATAAGCATCCCCACTGCGGAATATCTAGGAAGCACATCTTGCAACAGTTGGTAGGTGGTTAGGCCCAGCTTTAAGCCAGCTTTCATAGGGCTTCATCCATCCACAGGACGAGTTCGTCCATCCACAGCTTGGTGGGTCTTTCCCCAGCGCAAAAATATGTTCTCTCTCCCCTCGTATTTCATAATGTTGGCATCGCCGGATTATGTTTCAGATATAGTCTACCCGAAACAAAGTGTTTTTTTGGCAAACACACAATACTAACCGAGTCTGGTTTAAACAACATAGACGAATCAAGAAATGCAAACACATAGAAATGCCGCAATAACAACAAAAAGATAGCAATGAAGAAAGAGAGAAACGCTGAAGAAACAAAAGAGCCGCGAGCTGAGCGCCGCGCGAATGCGACGATCTGCGCCCAGCCTGCGATCCGTGAAAACACGGCGAAGGTTTAAGCTCTACCTTGGTGTTTGCTGATTCGGCGTTTAATTCGTGAGCCCTACACGACAAAATGTAAGAGAGATCCCAGAAGTGGTCCAGATTGGTGCTTGAGAGTCAAGCTGATGCCCGAAGCTTGCCAAAGTACTGAAAACATGAACATCCTGCAACATTTAAAGTACAGGTCAATGCAGTTTGAACCGATGCCTACACATCACAAAGGAATCTCAGGCCTGACATCTGCACCAAAACCTCCCAAGAACCTAAAGAGGTTTGGACCGCCGGCCCTGCCCGGCAAAGGACAAGGGCCCACGTGTCAAGTGTTTACCCAAATGAACATGTTCTTCACGTAGCAAATTTGCCAGGACGGTCTTCCAAAAAGTCTGGGCACTTCCATGTTTGTCAGGAGGGTAGATGGGTTCACACACACCGTTGTGACCTATTTGTCTGCAAGGTTGATTCATCTGGGGTCGATGTTAAACTTTGGGAACTTTAACACTTCAACTGTCGACCCACTGAACAATGCCCCAAGACATCCCAAACCGGCGCAGCGGAGTCTGTCTTGGGGCACCTTTGTTGTGGTCGCGTTTTGTAAGGGAAAGCAAACCAAAAGTCGCCGTTTCTTAGGTACTTCCCGATTTTCGGACGGATCCCCACTCGCTCCGCCGCATTCCGCGCCTATCAGGGGCACCATGGGAGCAGCCTTCAGGCCATTGGGGATGTCCGCGAAAGCCACGTTCTCGGAGGGGGAGCAATATCCTGGCGGTGTCGAACCAAGATGCGGATGTTCAACAGTTCCTGGCATTGGCATCTGTCTGGCTGGGTGAAAAATAATTAAGACGCATAGCGTCCCCTCCTGGTTTCATTTTGGGAAAATCACGCATTGTGATGGGCGATTGAGCTGGGTGACTTTGGCATTCTTGTGGATCAATGTGCATCCGTTTGCAGTATACCAGCTCCGCACAGCTGCGTTGCAAAGATTCGGCTGATTCAACGGTGCAAGTGAACCCACCACATTCAACTGAATCCTGAGCCGGGCCATCCCCTTTCGGTTCATTCCCCAGAAGCCCCACAATTGATGCACTGCTCGAACCAAGACCATGGCAACCTGAGCGCGACTTTAGGCGTTGTTGACAAAACCAGCCACGACGCCCTGGTCATGTTTCCAACTTGTCCCCTGGTTGCTTCATGTCCGTTCGCCAGTGCTATACTTCAAAATGGGGAAACTCAACATGGGGGTAAAACGTCTATGTGGGACCCTTTGCTGGACATCACAATCCAAGGAGGTGAGCAAGGCAACGCGTTGACCAACGTTGCTAGGTATTGTGGTCCAACGAAAACAGGCCAGTGAGTCAGGCTGGTCGCGCAAACAAAGAAAGCACGTTGTCAGCGTGTAGCGTGTGTGTGTGTGTGTGTGTGTGTGTGCGTAGGACTTTGACACAGCTCGTGTATGGCTTGTGAACGAATCTCATTGTTAAGACTTGGTGAACGTTCAGCCTCAAACCTAGGATTTCGTCAAAGATGTCTGCGATGGTGGCCCGTTGCAACAAACACAACATAAGGTCTCGGAGCAGGGGTTAACACTCGGCTCGCAAAAATACTGTGCGTGCAAATATTTGCAAGGCGGAATCCCGTCGCAAGAACTGAGTCATAATCAACACATGGTATTAAACTGCTCGGGACACAGAAACATGTCTACAGAACTACAAGGGCGGATATCCGCATCCCTTACTGACCTTACTAACCTTCATCTACGGTACTAACCCTCATCTACCTAGATGGCAAGGGGACTCTCCCTTGCCTTGATCGATCCCCGACTCGGTTTCGAGGTCGTGGCGATTTCTCTCCCCGCCTGGGAATCGGAAGTACTCCGGGACGATATATCCGAGGCATGCGAGCATCGCCACCTTCGCCGGGCGAGCCAATGGACGGACTGAGGTTTCGCGGTCTGACCTACTCCAGGCGCTTAGTTTCCGTTTGGTTGCCCTTCAATTGGACCATGGACTCGAATTCAACTGCTAGCTGAGAACTCAACAGTAGTGTGGTTTCAATTCAAAGGACTCAAGTCTAGATGGCAGCTGGAAGTAGCGGGGATCTAAACGGGATTGTGCTCGTAGGCACAGTGGCTTCCAGAGCTTGATTTGTTCGACTGGGTCTCTCAGTCGCTGGGGTCGTCACTGGGTTGTGGTGTCTCTTGAGCTGGGAGAGTTTCCCCTTGCCTTGCCCTTAACACAAAGCCCATTCAAAAAAGGCACCCTCAGAGCCTCAGAATAAACCACAAGCAAAGCCACATACAAACAAACAAACAAAAAAACAACACAACAAGCAACACAACAAAACCAAGCAAGCAAGCAAGCAACCAACCAACAATCAACCAACAATCAACCAAACAAACAAAAACACAAACACAAACACAAACACAAACAAAAACACAAACAAAAACACAAACACACACACACACACAGACACAGACACGGTTCAGTCATTGTGCTTTCGATCTTCGAAACACGCCCTAACCCCGAGCCCCAAGCTCGGCCGTGCTGGATCTCAATGATCCGGCGGCGCTTGAACTGCTGCGCGGCCACCTTGAAGCCGAGACCGGCCGGCGCATGTTGTGAAATTCCGCTTTTAACTTGGTGGACGTTGGGTTTGGGGAGCAAACATTCTCAAACTTTAGCAGACAAGTGGAGAGATATTTCAACCACTAAACCACAATAAGCAAAAATGTAAAATGTTTCACAACAACAACCAAGTTTTCCGGTGAATAAAAATGCACGGCCTATTGACTATTGGTAAATATGATGTTGCTTCCCCTAGCCCGAATCTCCCAAAAAACCATTGAGAGTAGCCACCGGTTGACTATTGATAAATATGACGTTTCCCTAGCCCGAATCTCCTAAGACTACATTAGGAGTAGCAAATACTTAACCAATTGTAAACTCCTGGATGTCCAGTCGACTCTGGCTGCAGTCGCAGTCGCATTGGGGGTCAATTTGAAAGGATTACTAGACCATACTAAGCCCTCACTTAACCGGTACTAGACAAAGCACCTCCGATCTAAGGCAACTCTGCAAACTAGCGCAAATGTTCTTCCGTGTTGCAAACACATCCCAGGGCAATCCGTCTTCACGATCGCTTGGCCTCCAGACAACACATTTATCGGGGGCGGGTATTCATTACTTGACTTGAGAGAACAAACTAAATCCTTTGCGAGGCCGTCATGGCTCCCTCGGAAACTGCCACTGGTGGTCTCACCCAGAGGATCCATGATCATCCCATCCCTGTTCATGAACGAAATCCGAATCGAAATATTTTATGAACACTGGAATAAATCACCTACCAACTGGTGCCAAGTGGAGTTTGTCCATCCACCATATGTTTCCTCAATCTCTTTTGCCTAGAAATCAACAGCGTTGGGGCATAAATACAAACACACCCTCTTCCACACCTGTGATGATCAGTCCCAGAGCTGTGAGAAACGCAGCAAGCGAAAGGTACCACAGAGAAATATGTAAGGGTTGTAGTCCCGCATAGCCAAGAGTCGAGTCCCGCTTGGCCTCCGCCAAAACACAAACTCTCAACAAAGGCAGGTGAAAGGATTCAGAAAGCGAAACGGCCACAATTGGTTGCGAGCCGCGCATCTGAGATCACGCATGCTTCATGTCTCTGGAACAAGAGCTGCATGAGTAAAAAAGAAGAAACATATGGCACTACCGATGTGTCCATGTAGCTTTCACTTTGCACATGCGTTCGCCGACGTCACTTGGATCTTGGGTGATGAGGTCGACCGGTCAGAGTCACGGCGTGGTGCTTGATTTGGGTGACCTAAAGGGGTTCTAACGCATAGTTTCTAGGCATGCTACGCGCATGATTGTCCCTTGGTGCAAGCTGGAAAATGTGTATTATTTTTGGGGGTCCAGGTAGAACTGTTGGCAATTTACGCCCGCCTCAGGGTCGTCGAACTTGCTGAGGCCAAGAGGATCGAAGAAGCCCAGGGGAGGGGTCACCCCAAGCTCCTGGAGACTGGTTGGATTGCGCTGTGCGGTGCGTGGTTCTTGAAACTCTGTCTCTCTCTCTCTCTCTCTCTCTGGTTTGAGGTACCTTTTGAGGTTGGTTCAAGGGACTCAAAAGCAACATCGCCATTTTGGGCGTCCCCTGATATTGACACATACGCATATCAACAAGCCTGATCTGATGTAGGATCCCCCAAGGCCATCCGAAATCCATGGGAGGGCGGGGGGTAGAGTTGGATCATGTGATTGGAACCCTGATACCCGTGTTGGCCTCGAGCAAGAAAGGCTGACTTCGGATTAATCAATCCAAGCCGAACACTGATGGGTTTGCTTCAACCAATGACACAATGAGGGAACAAGAACCGGCTGAAATTTCTTGCAGCTTGTTGTAGGTTTAATCTTAACTTGGCATGAATGCGGAGCACACTCCTTGGAGAACCACCTAAAATGAGTAACTCGGCCCGGAAAGGGAGAGGGACCCCTTATTCACAGAACCTCCGGAATACAATTGCCGAAGGGGCACCAGTTGAGCGGTGCTATCGGCTTCCCACCGATGGATCTAGAAATGAGCCTTTGAAAGCCCACGAGACACGAGACATTGATCCTTTGGGATGGGCAGGAATCCCCATTGGACGTTCCAGCCTTTCGGTATCGCTCAACTGCTCTTTTCGCGTAAAGAAAGGCGGCACTAGCGATCAATATTAGATGCCCCATGATCCGCTACATCTGTGATGCAAATCTTCCGGCCCTCCGATGCCCTTCCAATGAAGAGCAGGGAACTGTCAAATCCATCCTTTGGAAAGGTGCACATTGTGCACAGCAGCATCCAAGAGGAAATGCAACGAACTGGAGGGGTATAAGTTCATCCAGTTTCTGATTTGGACAACTACAAAGGAACCAAAGCCTTGCGTAAACCTAGGGAAGGATGAAGGACTCCCTTGAACAGCCCGCAAAAGATGATAAAATGCAGCTCAATGTTGACAACACAAAGCTTCAGGGATGAGTGCTGACTTGCGTGCTTGACGAAGATAGTTGGTTCCCTTACCCACACACGAAAAACAGACCAAGTTGTACGCGCTGTGGGTAATCGCATGTTACAAGTCGCCCAGCACCTAACTCCCAGGGCGGGTTGCAGCGCCGTTTCCCAACCGCTCCCCGGAGAAGTCGGGCGCGGCAGCGCGCAGGGGGCTGTCGGCGTAGTTGGCCCAGTCGCCCCAGGCGGAGCCTGTGAGGCCGTCCTGATAGAACCTAAGCCGTGGTTGAAATGCGGAGAGCAGGTTGATGCAATTGGCGAAAGGACATGATGCAACATCCGCAACACACCTCTTTGCATGAAAGCCCAAATGCACAAAATCTAGGTTTGACACACTTTCAAATACCAATGATTTTGTTCCGGGTGAGTTTGGCTCCCCTCTGACACCGCGTGGCATGCCGATGATGGCCATCATCGCCAGACGGCCGTTGGCCAGTTCTGCGCTAAGCTTCTTCTTCTTCTGCTCGGGGTCTGCGGATGTGAGCACCTCGAAACTAGGCTGGAAAAATCGGACCCCAGAAAAAATAATATCCCTTTTGCCTGGTTAGTGAAAAACAAAGAGACCCCAAACAAGCAAAACAAAAAAATGGGAGCTAATTCTGGGGAAGGAAAGTCAGAGAGTCATCCATCGCTTCCCTGAACATCCCATCGCCGGGTTCCTTGCTGGTGCGATAAGCAGGGAATGAGAAATGGAATGAACCTGAAGGGGATTCCTGAATAATGGGAACCATAGGAGATGGTTTATGGGGGTTCTTCCAATTATCATTCCCTGCTGAGCACCAGCAAGGTTAGGGGATCCTCTAAATCAGCCCAACATATCGTGATATTCGACATGACCAACTCTGAGTCACAAAGAGGCCACCAAACGGAGGGAATGTGAACATATATGTACATATAGTATGATTACATGTTGAACATCTAGGTGCGTACACTTGCCTACCTGATTTCTCCCATTCAGGACAAGTCTTGAGTGAAATTTGGGGCATCTAGCATGTAAGATGCTCCAAACTCAGGTCAGGCCAAGGCGAGGCTTCCCTGGATCATTCACATTGGCTAATAGGTTGCATTAACTGTGAAGTGGCTAGTTTGTGCATCAGTGCCTGCATTGTCACCCATGATTCCGCTACAAAAGAAAATGCTGCTCGGAGAACAAAAACCAGCAAATGCAGCCAAGCAAGATAAGCAAAATAAAATGCCAGATGCTTCTTTGTTGCCTCTGCCTATCTCTGGCTTTTTCATGGGTCAAAGGCCTCTGCTCAGGAAGCCCAAAGGACTCGGAAAACAAAAAGCAGCAAATGCAGCCTCTGCCTTCTTCAAAGGCAGCCACCATCGGAGCAGGACATTCAACAAACCCGGAAACTCGCCTCCGGTCCATTTTTTTCAGCCGGGCCCCGGGCGTACCACCCGAAGTCTCCGGGCCTGCCGCTGGCGATGTCCGAGCCTGGGGGTGACGCTCGGAACCCTCGCGACTCGGTTGGTTCGGGAAACAAAAACGTAGTGTTGAGTTGGTGTTGAGTTGGTACCTGGAGTCTCCATGACCCTGACCCTTTAAAAATGGGGTCATGACCCCTTTACTTTGGGTAATGACCGGTTTTTTTTAGGTCATGGAGACTCCAGGTACTCTTTTCAGGTCGGCTTAAAGGGAATCCAAGAGAAAAACCAGCCTTCTGGAGCGAACCCCCATTTTGACATACCTGTCTGCGGTTGACCCACGTTGTGGGAATGACCTCTGCTTTTGCCCCCAAAAATCTGGAAGGTTTCAATGTTGGTTCGAAGTTGGTGAACCTGGAAATTGATAACGATGTCAACATTAATTGGTCTTAGGAGAGGGACGCCCAAAACAGAAGAGATTGTACAGCCCTAACTGAAGCGCGAATGATATTGACTCGTGAGGGCCCTAAGGGGTCAAGACGTTGGCAGAAAACAGGCGAGACCTCCAAGAACGGGATGGATGATGGTGATTAGGTGTGGACCTTTTGGCCCCGGCCCTGTGGTGGTATGTCCTGTTCCCTGTTCTTGTTTGCAACTAGCAATGGCATCACGCGCGTCATCAGCGAGCATCACCCACATCTGAACTTTTGAGTCCTTGCCACGCTCGGCTGACTCCATCATCTGACCATATAATATAATATATTGTGACATGCAAATGGTAGGTTGAAGGGAAGCAACCCAAGCTGCATTTGATAACCCCCAAAAACACACACACTAGAACCAGCTGAGATGTCTGAACGGTTTCCATACGTCCCGAATGCGCAGCGCTGAGTTCCAGCCCGTGCAAACAAGGTCATCTGGCATACATTGCACACGCACTGCTGTCGTCTCCAATTCACCCACCGCCCTTGTCGCGCCTTGCTTTTTACAGCACCTCCCCGCATGCATGGCATATATATATATATACATACTATACTATATGAGGGACAAAGCAATTCCATTCGCTGCGAGCCGCGGGAGTATATAGAGTAGCACTAGTGCCGGCTCAGTGCCTGTTGTTTTGTTGCTGTTCTAACATCCACTGACGAAGGATTGACCCAGTCGCCCAGTGATTCGATCCTGGTAGAACCAGGGGACCCTGGTTGGCGCCAGCCGGCCCAAACAACAAGGCCTGGACTCCCAAAGCACCCCTCTTTTCTGCCTTTGGACCCGCAGAAAAGGGGGTACAAAGGCTGAGCAGGGGGGTTTGCTGGGGTCCAGGAAACCACCCCCTCGCTGGCCTGCGCCCCGGGAGACCTCGCACCAGCTCATGTACAGCAGAATCTGCGTCCAGCCCCCCGCAGGCACCTCCGCGTCGTTTTCGACCGAGGCCGTTCGAGCGTGCAAGGGGCTCGGTGAAACCTCCAGACTTAAACAGGTTGAGGAGTCATCAGTGTAATGGTTTTCTGAGATTCACGGTGCCCGAGGACCAAGTGGACCTACGGAGGTAGCAATGGACCCACTGAAGCTAGTGGTGCCTAGATCAGTGCTTTAGATAGCCCCCCGCTGATTTCTAAACCAATGTTAAAACCAGCCAGAGCTGTTGTTCCCCTGGGCTGTCCTCACATCCCCTGCTAAAAGTTGAAAACTTTTATATAATGGCTTCAACGGAAACCCAACTGCTAAACCAATTGAATTAATATATAGCAACAACACAACCGCAAAACCAAACCACTTAAAATCAACCACCCAACCAACTAAGAATCTGAAATAAACAAATAAATAAATAAATCAACAAATCCATAAAATAAATAAATGACCACAACACCTATCAGCAACTGGAGGGCTGGGAACCGCCGCTCTCGCTTTGAGCCTTGGAGATGGCCGCAAGGCCGTTCGGCACGTCCGCGAACTTCAAGCCGGTGCTGGGGCTGAGGTATCCTGCGACGCGACTCCCTCGATCGATGCCAACCCGCCCCCCCTCCCGCGCACAGTCAGTGAGACCCTGTTGGATTTGTGTTCAAGAAAACCACAACCAAGTGTGGGCCATGTGGGGGTTGGGAAGAACAAAACACAACACAAACACGTTTGGGGCTTAGTTGCAACCCCCCAAACCCGGTCGGTATAAACATAGACTGGATCCAACTAGCCTTCGGGCTGATCATGTTTAGTGGGGAAGGCACCAAACAAAAAGGGCAAAAGGGTGGAGCTGAAAAGAATGGGTGAAGTACTTGGTTGAAGCAAGGCCATTATTGGTAGTCTCGAGATTTGATTGAGTTGCTTTCTTTTGCAAGTTGTTCTTTTTCGATCAGCGGGTTGGATTAGAATTCATGGTGGGTCTAAGCTTTTTTTGAGTGGGTTGACTCGTTGGTTTACAGTCGGCTTACAACATTTACCTGGAATACGCAATTGTATGCATGCACATGTATATTGTATGCATGCTACATAAACAGGTATGCACGTAATCCGAGCATGTCCATGCATTCCAGTTGGTTACTTCACGTGAAGGTGCGGGGTTCCGGGGATCACATCCAAGTTGGAACCCAGCTGAGGCCGACACTGTTGACACCATGACAGCGAATCTGCAGCCTCTGTCGTACATTTCCAGCCATCACCCCCCTTTGTGGCACAACATTCATGGGAACCATAATGTGATAGGTAAAATCAATCAGTGGACAGTGATTCCTGGAGAACGGGCCAACTCCGCCGCTCGCCTGGAAACTTGCCGGCGATCTCTGGGGTGATGTAACCTCAGAATACATGCAGGTGCCAATGTTTCACGAGCTGCGCGCGGTCAGGTTGAAACATGAACGAAATTAATGCTCACAACCACAGAGTGCATCAACGTGCGACACGTCTTTATCGGCTCTCCGCACCTAGGATTGAAGTCCCACACCGCACATCCCGCCGGTTCTAGGGCCCCTCAGAAGATGTACTCAACGTCGGCGGCGGTCACGGCTGTCACGTCCTCGACCGCGATCCCGGCTGTCGTCTCGACCACCGCCTCCCCTCGGCTTTCCCTCGCCGCACTTGAAGCACTGGTCTTTGGACGCGAACACCATCGCCCCGCAACCGGGGCAGTCCCAATCACCAGCACGTCGCTCTGGACCACCGCCGCCACCGCCACCGCCGCCACCGCCGCCACCGCCACCACCGCCGCGGCGGGGAGGTGACCGAGACCGCGAGCGGCTTCGACCGCCGCCGCCGCCTGCACGCTCGACTTTCACGGCACGGTCCTTGCCCTTCCTATCGTCGTGCTCCATCTTGAAACGAACCGTGTCACCATCTCGCACCGAGCCCTCTCCGTCCAACAGCCCCGACACGTGGCAGAACACGTCCTCGCTGCCATCGTCGGGCTTGATGAAGCCGAAGCCGCGGTCATCGTGCCATCGGACTATGGTTCCAATGGGCATAGTCGAAAGTCGAATGGTACTGTACACGAGACCGCTTGAGCCTTCTGGAACTTGGACGCTTGAAGTCTCTCAGACTCATCAGTATGACGAGCAAAACACTCCACATGTTTCAGGAAGTAAGTTTGACGTCACAGTAACTCAAAACTGTCTCCAGTATTGCGAGACCACAAAAACAACTCCTCACGCAGCACGCAACGACGTATCCAATCCAGGGCTGTGCAAGCTGATTTATTTGGTGCCTCTGCAAATGCACAAACTCCACTTTGCAGCAGCTGCTGGTGTCCGGCGTGGATTCTGTCCACCCACAAACCAAACCAATCCAACCAATTCAGGGTTGATTCCATCCACAAACTAACCCAACCAACCCAACTAATTCAAGGTTGATTCGATCCACGAAGCAAACCAACCAACGTCAGGGTTGCTAATTCACTTTTTCGCCGCAGCCCTGGTCTTTCTGGTGCCTCGCAAGACCAAAGCCCAAGCCCCCGGGCCCATGGTCGCCAACATGGCGATGCGCCCGTGCTTCAGCTCCACGGATCGCCTGGCTGTCCAGATCCAAAACGTTCAGCCATGGGGACGGAAAAACCATCAGCACTCTGGTTTGTGTGGTACTTGGAATTTAACAAGCTGAAACTATCCAGGCGCAAAAAAAGAAGAAAAGCAAATCCTCTTTTTTTGGGTTCTTGGAATCTAAGAAGCTGACATGATCCAGAAAAACAAAAAAACCCAGAATGTTCAGGGTCTCTGGGCGATTCCAGGAGAACTTCCTGGAGATGCGTTCGTATGTATGGAAGGAACCCTCTCAAACGGGCGAAAAGACATGGCCCTCGGCTTGATTGAGAAAGTCATGGGTCTGTCTCCAGAATTCGCTCATGGAGGAATCCTCATGAATTGTCCTGGCTCTTCCACTTTACCCAAACCGGGTTGAACCAGAAACGTAGAGGAAAGCCCGAGAAGATGCAAATGGAAGGGCAAACAGGTGGGCTGAGCCTTGCAATGATTCGAATGGAGCTTTGGGGGTTCTGCGTAGCCACTTAAAGTCATGGTCATAAAAGCGACATGTTACAAAACAAGTTGCCCCTCGTACTACAACACCTTAACCTGTTTGCAGGTGTCTAAGCTTTTGGGAAACATGAGCTTCGCAAAAATCGATGTTGCAGAGCTGCGCGTTTTGTTTGTGGGTTCCGTGTTAAAATCCTGCGAAGTAGCCGACGCTGCGAACCCCGGAGAGATGCGCAAACTGAAACAAGAAAACAATGATGATCCTTAAACAGCAGCCAGCGGCTCTGCTCTTGTCTGTCAACTGCATGAATGGAGCAATTTAACATGGTCGCCGTGACAGTCTAGCGCTTCAATTTAGCTTCCTTGAAGGGTAGGCAAAGGCAGGAAGAACTCATCAGGAACCAATGGGGACAAGGTCACAACAGTATGCTGGATTAACCACTCAATCAGAGTCTAACATATTTGACGGAATGAACACACACAAAAAAAATGTACAAAATATCACAATGCAACTTTAGCTTGCGCTTACGATTCCCTTTCACAAGCAAATATAATGGCACCAGAGATGCCCCAAATTGAAAGGGGCCTGCCGGTTGTAAGCTCGGTGAACGTTCGGATGACGCCAAATTTATTGGGTCAGTAGATATGGAAGCAGGCAGGATCTAAGGACCTCCCCAAAAGCTTGCAAGGTCTGCTTCCACTGGGGTCAGACACTGGTCGATGGTTCAGAGACAAAGCCGCTGGCAGCTATGGTATCTCTACAATCTCAGCAGACATGCATACAAACCATGGCAAGCCCCTAGAAACACCGCAGTGAGGGCGCCCCAACACCCCCCCCCGGCAGCCTCGGCCCGTTTGCCCGAATCGCCTGCGCTGGAAGGCCTCCACGTCGCCATCTCTGGCCAGACCCAAAGGGTCCCAGTAGCCCACCGGCGCCTGAACGCCCAGCTCCTGGAGCGAGGCCGTCTCTTGAGACCTGCCCCCTTGTTGACAAATGTTTTCTGTGGGAAGGAGGCGTCCCAAAAGTCGGATGGCTTGCTCACTTGAAAGGACCTTTTGGGACCTGAACATAGATATGTGGTGTTACTGTGCGTTTGCCAATAATGGTCTGCCCAAAAACTAGAAAGCCTTGGAACTCAGAAATTGAGTTAAACAGCACGTGCTCATCTTGTGGGCATGTTGCAACAAGGCTTGATTTATGCATGTGACTTTGAATAAGCTTCCAACTCAACAAATGTAAGGGCCGAACTAATTACCCACCTCGCCTAAGTGACTCGAAGGGAAACACCCCTTCTGAGAACCTACCTGCTCGAAGGCCCGCAGGGCGATCGCCGCGGTCTTGCTGGCGCCCGCCTACCGTCGCGACGATTGGAGAGCCAACTTGGCTGCCGGAAAAGACATGAAGAGCAGGAGAGCCCAACCTATGAGTCATACTCAAAGCCCGGTATTGAAATGGTCTACTCAATGTAAAGAAGTAAAGAGGCCTTTGGAGGTAATTAGCCATTTATGGCTGGGAACATGCTCCTACTAGTCGTGGCTTCCGCTAAAAGCAAAGGGAAACCAGGTGCTTCAACGGTCGGCACATGTAGGTTTGATTCAAACAACCAGTTTCGAGCGGAACAAAACAACAACAATCACTCGTCCTCAAGCACCCAGTTCCCAGCCAGTGCGATTCTTTTTTACCACCATAAGGATGGAACCAACACACATGAAGCAAATGAACGCAGGGACACGCCAAACCGGAAGCGGTTTCCTTCTGGTTGACACTAGTGGTAATATTGCCACACCCAAAACTAAATGACCAGTCAAAAGCAGTGAAACCCGTCAGAAACGTTTCGAATGGTGGAAACAAATTGAAATGCAGAACCAACTACGGGCCCAATCAATGAGGATCGGGCAGGGGCCATGTTAAGCCACATTTCGTCATGATCACAATCGCACAAGCTGGGCCCAAACTCACGCTCCGGAGGTAGCGTGAACTTGACAGAAGACATTTCTGCGCTTTGATGCTTCATCTCAACTCATCTTGTTAGAGCCCTGCGGCCTTTTTCCTTTGGGCATTAAAAGGGTCTACAGTATTCGCAGCCCTCAACCTCCAGCGTGGGGGTGGGGGTGGGGCTGGGGCTGGGGCTGGCGGGGGTGGGGGTGGCGGGGGTGGGGGTGGCGGTGCGAGGGCCACTTGCGGTGCGGGTGGAGCTGGATGGGGAGCTGCTGCTGCTGCTGCTGCTGCTTGGCCGGGGTGGCAGGGGCGGTGGTGGAAGGGGCGGTGGCGGCTGTGGTGGGGAGGAGGATGGTGAAGTGCGGGGTGGAGGGGGTGGAGGGGGCCGCGGAAAGGGCTTGCCGGGGGCAGCGGTGGCCGGGGCCGAGGACCAGGCAAGTGCCTCCCAAATGGCGCCGGGCGCACGCGTGCTGTGTGCTCGTGCCTATGAGCCTGGCCTGGCCTGTGCTCAATGAATCTCAGTGAGTCTATGCTCTGGATGCTCGTGCCAAATGTCCAGGAATTGCTCCAAACGCAAAAGCGGGGTTCCGTGACTCATGCACCCCCCCTTCGGCAACCGGCCGAACTTCTGAAGTCGCGCCCTTCGGCGCCACTCACAGCTCAAGACCTTCTCACTCTCATCTGGCATCTTGTTCTTCTTGAAGATTGTATAGCCTGTCCACTCGTCCTCATGACGGTGATGTGCTCCGGGCCGATCCTCCTATGGCAGGGCACTTTCATGCAAAACTCTTCCTTCATCCAGCGGCACTGGCGCCTTCATGATCCGCGGGAAGACCCTCTTCACGTCCTCCCACAGCACCGCCCTCCAAGTCCAAAGCCACTTTCCACTCCAGGCCGCAGCCCATCTCAGGAAGCCGCCTGCTCTCGGAGCCCTTCTCTCACACAGGCTCTTCCTCGCGCGCTCACACGGGTCAGGCCGCTGCGCCAGCCCGAAAGCGAACGCAACTGCCTTTGCAGTCTTGGCTGAGGCGGGACGGCTGTTGCGTCTGCCTGACTGCACAAGAAGGGCAGCACAGAGGGGGGGGGAAGGGGGTTCACATCAAAGTGCACATCAAAGTGCATCTCAAGCAGCCCGAAGGCTTGTATCAAGTGTTCTCGCAAAGTGAATGGATGTAAAAAGGTAGTGGCCGCCGTCATGACAGAGGCCACATGGGATGGGCTGATGCCGTTGCGTCAAGAGTTGAATGTATCGAGTGATGGCCATCCCACCTGAGATGGCGGTTCATGTGTTCATATTATGACCTGTTGGCAAGTAACGGTGAAACGTCGGGGTGGACAATGGGTGAAACCCAGGAGGCGCAAGTTGCCCTTTGTGTTTTAAGGAGCGGTGAAGGCACACTCAAAGTTTGTGTTCCGATCCCGATCCAAGTGAAATGGCAACTGCGGATCAGAGGGTAGGTGATGTCAGCCCAGCCACACTTTTATTGGCGCTTTAAGAACTGGCGGAGGCGAACCCGCGATTGCATCAAGTATTGCTCACCTCCAGTATGAAGTGGGTCCACTTCCGGGAGGTTCAGCGGCAGATCATAAGATTCGCTAGTCCCAGGCCGGCCACGCTGAGTTGCAAAGTATTGCGGCAAACAAGTTATTGCCTCTGCTTGGTGTGGAAAGGCGGGTCGAACTCCCAGCCCGGATGCCCTAACTTTGACGCCTAGCACGAATGCTGCGTTACACTGTTTCTCCGCCCTGGTCCATGGGAACAAGTCTTGGCGAATCGTTGACAAGATCGTGTTTAATACATTTTTGAACTCCAGATATCAGTACTCAGGGTACGCTGACCCTGGGCATGTATCCGGTGGATGCCTGGCGTCAAGTAAATGTGTTTCTTCCTGGGATGTGAAACGGGTCCTCATGCTCGAGAACATACGAAAGGAAATGAGGAGTCGGACGGGTGTCCGGGGTGATGGGCCATTTGATGTTCCCAAGCCAACTCAAAACCTGACCTGTGAAAGTGACACCCTGCGGGGCCATGGTTTTCCATGTGTCCCCATGCGGCAACACAAAGTACGGATTCACTGGGTGACACGCACCGTCATAGATAGGTGTCTGCGGCGCAGCGACAGCTGTTTCAAGTGCAATTGTGCGACAAGGGAATGCAATACTCTCTCAAAAGTTGGGGCCACATCTCTGAATGTTTCTGCAAATGAATATGATATGTGCGCCAATCTTGAAGTGCATCTGGGGCAAGGCATGATGCTGCCTGCTTTGCGTAAGAATCCGCTCTATCATTTCCAAGTGTGAAATATCCGGATTGGTCGGTCTCAATCTTGGTCACGTGGCTTTTGACTTTTACCAAGACTAGGGTCCTCTCATCCCGGGGCCACAAATGGAGCGCTTGGTGGACTAAGCAAACAAGGGCATAATTTGGCTTATTGTACCACCCTTCGGGTTGTGCACCGTTAACGAGCGCATGTGTGAGGTCGAGCGCGTACTGGCTGTCCGCAACAATTCTCACGTCTTTCGCTATTGTTTTTGCATGGGCGATCGCACAAAGCTCTCCCCGAGATACTGTCTGCCTGCCTGGCAGGAGTCCGGCGGGACCTTGGAGAAAACTGGCGCGGATGGTTTCCTGCATATGGCTTGGTGCTTTACGTTCCTCCAGATCCGGTGTAGGATCAATGGCAACTGAAAACCCGCCCGTGATGAAGCATGCGTTGGTCCGTAGCAACTGCCGTCTGTATAAACCGTGGCTGATGCGCGTTCGCGCTAGCGACTGAAATCCATCCCGCTTCTCCAATCTGAGCCTGAAGTGCGCCGAGTGCAGGGTGTAACTCTCGTATGCGTGCTGTTCCTGAACATGTGATGATTTGGTGCGCTATTGTGTCCTTGTTTCCACATAAAGGGCATCTATCATCGTTTTCGGTCCAATGCTTTGCACGATAGGTTCGCACCAGTTTGGCATCCTTCTCGTTGCGCAACTGCCTTTGCAGTTGTGGCAAAGCACACCGGGGAAGATCCTGAAGTGCTTTACGGCCACACAACTCCAAGTGGACATGGTGTCTCCACTGCGTTCTCAGCCTGCTCAGCAAAAATTGATTTTCTTACCATCAGGAGTGGAGATCATCTGTTCCTGATGAGTTTGAAGGTACGCGGCGAGACTTGCCGGGCCAAATGCCTTCTTAGGGTTGCCTTCGCTCCTATGCACAATGTCCCAGAAATCTGCGAAGGCCATTGAAGAATTTTTGGGTGTCAGTGACTGCCCCGTGGAGTGGGGAGTTTTGGAGGTTGCGTTTTTCAACCGTAAATTGGGTGTTATACCACAAAGATTCCGAGTCTCCATGCGGTAATCCTCCTGCTACTTGCGGCGGTGGTTTGGAGGACAGCCGCACCAAGAACTTAGGGTCACCGCCTTCATGCTGAGGCGGTATAGAGTCGAGAGAATGGTTGTGGGACGCCCATCTTTGATCTGATTGGGTTCTGCGGTTTTTCCTCCCACAACCCTGGCCCAGCACATGGCAGGATTGTTCCTGCCAGGATGTGATTGAAATGTTGGGTCCAGCAGTTGATGGCTACCAGCCCCAGCGCCTGTATCTTGGAGACGCGCCAGGAGTCTGCCCCGGCGGCACTATTGCTTCAAAGGACGAAAGTTCACCCCCAGTGGCCCCAGTCTGCTAACAATGCCCGCAGCCCATACAAGGCCTTGGTCACCTCCCACATGATGCCCTCCCCAACCTTCGCATTGAGGAGGATCTTTGGCGGTCTTACGACAACTCGTCTTACCTCCCGGATCATCTTGAAGCCAAGAGTGCCCCGACCTCCTTTTTCATCGTTGGCACCCGCATCTCCATTTCTCCTCTCACTTGCTCCAGGCCAATGACTTGTGTTTCTCCTTGCTGGATCCATGACCAACTCCAGGCACCGATCCTTCTCCCAAGACCATACCACCTGCCTCTTTGCCAACTTCCCACGGGTCCAAGGATACCCCCATCTTCTCCTCTACTTCCTTCACCGTCCTCTCCTCCTTTCTGCGCAGCCTTCTTCTCCTCGTCCACAGCTCCCTCACGACCGGGATGTCAACCTTCTGATCTCTGGGTTGCGGCAGATGCTGCCCTTCTCATCCATCACCCTCGGACAAAGGTCATGTCCTGACACGGGCCCACATACACCGCGTTCTGGGCGATTGCCTCCCATGCCTCCCTCTTCCATCTCCTCTTCTTTACCACCACCTTCTGCCCGAAGATCGGCAACTGCAGCTGCGGGGCCCCTATCTCGCGCATGATCATCCTGTTGCGAACCTCCAGCGCCTGCAACGTCCCGGCGCTTCACGGCTCCTCTGTGATTGGGGGCTTAGGACCACACCCATGGCACGTGGCGGCCAAAGCCTTGGAGGAGCCGGACATGCGTCTGAGATGCCATTGGACAAGATGAAGGTGGACGGGGAAGGGGTGCTGGTGGCGGACGAGGGTGAGGCGGAGGTCACCCGACTTCATTCAGACCGGGGACGGGAGCTGGTGTCTACTGCTATTGAGGAGGTGGGCGGTGAGTCATGGGCTACACAGAACGTTGTCAAGCCCTGACGAGCCGCAGGCCAACGGTCGAGTGGAGGCGGCGGTTGGGTGGGTGAAGCGGAAGGCGAGGGCGCTGTGCTGGCCGGGGACCAACCCCCATTGCCAGGTCATCGAAGAGGTTCTCCATGGCGCGGTGGAGCGAGGTCTTGGGCTCATAACCTGTTAGAGCTCTGCGCCCTTTTTCCTTTGGGATTAAAAGGGTCTACAGTATTCGCAGCCCTCAACCTCAAGCTCCAAACGCAAAAGCGGGGTTCCGTGACTCATGCACATCTCAAAGGGGGCACGATAAAATTGATTAAAAACACAAATGTGCCTCACCAAGACGCATGGACCGGTCTGACCGTCTGGCCGGCGCCTGTGTGACCGGCAAGGCCCAAGGGCCCAACCCCTTCGGAGGGGTTCATAGCAAGTGGTCATGGGGTTGAGTTGGTTTTACCCCTGAGTCATGCAAAGTCACAACTCACCCTGTGAGTCATGCTCCTGACCATGTCCCTTTTGAATCTACACGTCCTTATTCTCAGCCTGGGTTATGAGCAGTCCCCTTGGCAGCAAATACACCCAGCTCTCCAGGTCTTGAGTCCAACCCATCTCTTGCAAGGTGTGTGTCGCCAGTTTGCTTCCACGCGGTCCCTTTATAGCCCCCCCCCCCCACACAGGGGTGAATTCGTAAAACGACCCTGAGGCGGCAAAGCGCGGCTTCGCGCCTTTCTGCCCTGGCTCACCAGCAGCGCTGCGGTGCACACCGCCGCGCCTGCGGTGCTCGCCGCTCCGGCGCTCGCCTGGCGATCGGCCGCGCCGGAGCTGGGAGGAGACAGGCTCCATTGACCATTGTCAAAGTCACCTCCCAAAGTGGTAGACAAAAGGGAAACAACCCCCAGTTTCTGACTGTAACCTGTAGAAAAAGCCCAATGATGACCCAAAATAAGGGAATTGGTCCGGAAACCGGCCGGAAAATCGTCAGCAGGGCCTTTTTGTTCGAGTCGATCGTAATGACCCTGCATGGCGGATTAACAAGGGGGTGTCCGGTGTCTCCCCAGAAAGTAAGCGACACCCTGTTAAATGGGACAACCTTCAACAATCAAGCTGCGGCTTCTTAAAATCAGAAGCCTGCAGAACGCGTGGGCCAGGATGGAAAGGTGGGGTGGAAATTGTGAGGGTACTAGTACTAGTACCAGTACAAGCAGTGCTTGCTTCCAGTCCAGTAAAAGTACAACCTCACACCGAACCAGGGTCTTAAAATGATCTACCCAGAACCATGTGAGGAATGAACAAAAGCGGCGAGGGAGACCATAATTTATGGTTGGAATCCCCAGGTTTTGACGTGGATGGACTTCGTCACCCCGCCTGTGCCTGTGCCTGCGGCTTGGCCGCACGGAGCCCCGTCTTGGCGCCGGTTTTGGGTGCGGAGGGTGCGACGAAGGCGGCGCCAAGCGCCAGCGAGCCCAGGGCCATAGCCTCGCATTCGTGTTTTTACGACGAGGGTTCAAGCAAGTTGCAAAGCAAAAGGTGAGGACCAAGTTCTTGTGGCTGCAATTTTGGAATGTGGCAACCTTACCTTGTCCCTCTTTGACGTTAACTAAACCCAAACTGGCTGTACGTGAACCTCCCGCAATGTGAAGGACGAGGTAAGCTAGTGCTTTTCATTCTGAGAACAAGGAGGCTGGAGGCCGCCTCCTCCCGGTTGCTCATTTGCCTGCCTCCGAACACCAGCCAACAATCTCGATTTTATGTTTGTCTTTGTCTCTTCCTTTTTTTTAAACAAATATATATATATATATATAATTAATATATGTATATGTCTTATCAAACCGCTTTTCAATAAAATGAAGACAACTTTCTGCAAATCCAATGGCAGCCGTTCGGCACTGGCTCAGGCTCCTTGCCTGATGCCATGAAGGGGGAGTGATGCCATGTTGCAACCAAAAAAAACGCCCAACGAGCATAGACTGTAAAGATGGAGAATGGGAATACCCATCTAAGCCAATTTGTACACCTGTCATGGACCCATGGACCTCCAAGGGGTCTATGGCGTAAGGCGTTATGGCTTCTTGGCTTCTCCTGGGCTTATCTATGGATAGCCCCTTGGGCCCTTGGTCCATGCGCGGTGCGTGCAACATCGTGGCGAAACCCGAGCCCGCAGCTGTCTTGTTGGAAGCCATGCCTCGGCAAACCGGCGAAACCGGAGGTCCTCCCCAAACCAAGCACCATCTCGCCGCGTTTGCAGTTTGTTGCATGTAAACAAGATGTTCTTTAAAGGTCCAGGTTGGTTTGGGTGTGTCCAGAAACAGGGACTCTGTTTGAATCAGGATTCCACTAGAAACAAGTGTAGACCCATGGTGAAAAGGGGCCTGACCCCTTTTGGACATCAACAAAAGTAGATACAATGTCAAGCTGCCAAAGGATCCCCACAGGAAGCGCCTTGCCAATGTCCGTCCCAACAGAGGGATCCCTTTGGAATAGGATTCATGGCAGACCCAATGAACAAAGGGCCTCCCCATGTTAGAATGTCGACCCGAGCAACAAGCTCCCCGCATATTATAGCGAGAATAAATAATGGAAGAAGGGACTCTCGACTAAAAGGGAATCCTCCGATGATTCTTGGCGGGTATTGATAAGGGTTCAACATTACAAGTCAAAAAGCTCAAAAGCCCCCCTCTCCGGGTGAACATTTTCTTGGTCCAAAAACAGCGCGCATATGTTCGCTGGTGGCTTCGCCATCCCCTGAAACAGAGACTGGCTTGGGCCCAAACGGAAGGGATGGGTCAGAGGAGAATCTAGGCGAAAAGGGTTTCCCGTCCAAAACTCATCACAGTGAGGCAAGGCCCTCCTTGGCGCACAAAGGCTTTGTCCAAGCCACAAATTCCCAGAGATCCTGCTGAGACCCAAATCTCTGACAAAAAAACAACGCTGTTGCAGCTACGCCACTCACCAGCTGGCGATAGACAAGCCAGGGGGAAAAATCTGCGGGGATTTTTCGAGTCCTCCACAGCTGCAAGCGGCGCGAGCTTTGCAGAGCGGTGTGGAAAGCGCATCTACTATGTCCAAACGACCCCCAGGGGGTACTTGAGGCATGACATTCGAAGATGGCGTCCATTATCCCCAAACCAATTTCCCAGGAGGAAAAACAGGGTTTATGCCCTGTAATATATGGCGGCTCTATGTCACTTTTGCCGGCTGACATGTCCGCCTGATGTCCCACAAGACGGGGTCTTCACCTGACAAAGTCAACTGACGACGGTAATGCAAGCGCTGGACTGATGCACTCAGTTCTCTCGCCAAGAGGGGCCATATCCTTGCTGAAGCTCAAACTATAGCAAAACAGCCCTAAAGGCCGGGCCGCACAGCTAACGTCGTCGCAACCCTGTTGCAGGAATTTCCAGTAAGACACGGGACGCACCTAGGCAATACCACCGCTGAAAACGGGCAGGCCATCGATCCCCCTGGATGGCACAATTTCTGACAAGAATTGCACCTCCTCCCCCTCTCCGTAGACCACGTCGGCGATGTCCTGGCAGTGAGCCAGGGCTGTGGGCTCGGTCCCTTCGGAAGCGCGCTTTGTCGCAATGATGGGGGTTGCAAGCCCCGACTCGAAAGCAAAACCAAGTCCCCCTATCTTGACACGTACGCATGGGACGATGTTTTCAGTTGTTGTATGAGGTTTTGGTAGGGAAACCCACATGACACCCAGCATTTGGAGGGGATGCAGCTCGCGTTGACCCAACCCTTTCTGTCAAAATGAGCCATTTGCATGACTATGTTATTACGCTAAAGGCGATTCTGGTGGCATCATGAAAAATGGCATCCTCAAACTCATCCCCACCCCTACCATGGAAAAACAAGTGGTGCCCCTCCATACATTCTTTCCCTGGTACCCGCCCTGAACTGGGGGGTATGCGCTCCCTTCTGCACATACCTTTGCGGGTGGGGATTTCTGTCCTCAAATCCCCCGGCAAAAGTGGCACTTTCAATGGGCGAAATGGGGAAAACCACACTAACTGAAAAGCTAAAAAGCCGCTCAGAAAAACCGGATGGTCTTCGGGAGCCAAGATTTCAATCCATTTCAACTTTCCGCATCGCCGCCTCAGGGCCGAAGTTGATGTACCATCCTGCCGCCTTGCGACGCGACGTCCGACCGCGGTGCGGATCTAAGGAACCAACCGAGACAAAAACTGCGGTCACGTGGGTCACCAGGTAGGAATCCACCGTTGTTCAGGAAACAATATCCATGTTCGGCTTCATGCATTTCAATTTTAGTGCATTCCTGGTCGATGATCTTCGACATTGGCCAGGCATCCAAAATGTGAGTACAAGTAATGTTCACCAAGAAGAATACAAATTGTCCAGTTGAATGTGTTTGTTCCTCCGGCTTGATCCAAACTGTTCTCCAAACTGTCCGTTGACATCTGTTCGTACATCTAGCATCATTCATCCAACCTGTCTATCTAAATATGCTGTTTGTACTGTACTACCATACGCACATGTTAAACACATGTGTGGTTTATCAAGCACAGACACACCAAAAGAGATGTTCGCCTAGCGTCCTCGCAAGCTAGGAAAACATGGGCAGTAGCTGGCTAGCCGCGAGCCCTTTGCCCGTCCCTTGGGCACCTTGAACCAGGCTGGATGATACAGTGGCCGAATGTTGAGCCCCGGATTCATGGGCGGAGGGGGGGGGGGGGAAGGGTCCTTGCTCAATGGGACAGGCCCCCCTACTTTTCAACCCAAAGGGCCAGTCATGCAAACCCATCGCAATTGGATTTGCAAAGGCGACTCCTGCAAAGCCTGGGCGTTTCCTAAAACCGGGAGCCGCAACAAATGTCTGCGTTCCGTTTGGCCTCCCAAACTCCATCCAAACGTGGGTGCGCTACTGCTGTTTCTGAGTGGATTGACCACAAAACGTTCACCAACTCCCTTGCCCAAAGGACCTGGAAATAAAAGGTTAACCTTTTGGCACTTCTACTAAAAATGGACCAACATGGGAAAACCAAAAGGTCAAAAGGTCGGCTTTAGGCAACTGAGCCAAGCAAACGACTTCCCAAAAAGTACAAGGTCCAGGATCTGCAGGAGTTTGGACACCTCTGTGTCCGGTTTACAGTCAGTTTGGGGCATTGCGGAGGATCCTCTTGACACTGAAGGGTGGAAGCTGCCCTCCGAAGCAATTCGGTGAGAAATGTTCATCTTGAGGGCTCCAAGCCCCTCTCTCAACCCCAAGGCAATTGTGAGAACCCCTGAACAGGACAGTCACTTAAGGCTCAAATGATTGCTAACTTGGGACCCCAGTAAATGCCACCTGAGTGGAACTGAAAGGGACCCAAAAGGACATGGGTATGCTTCAACATAGAGAGTCGGACCTCCAAAATGGCATCTTTACCTTTGGTTCCCTTTCAATGAATCACCTTTTTCGAGGCTTAGCCTATATGGCGGAGCCAATAGGCCAGCCGAGAAGAGGCACATTTGGGGGTGTGCCATTCCGGTGGCCTGAATCATGACACCTTTAAGACAAACAAAGTGCCACATGGAACGGGTCCCTCCAAAACTGAGGGCCCACTGAACCAGGAAGTGACCGTCGGAAACGGAAAAAACACAACTCGGCCTCGATGGTATCGGCCTCCTCAAAAACCTGTCAAACGGCTCAAGTTTGTGGATCTCTGCAGGGGTTGCCTTGTTTTTTGTTGCGTCGCTTCTCCTTTGGGTTTCCCTTTGGGTTCATGTTGTTTGTGTGTTTTTTTTTGGGGGGGGTCCTTTGAGTTTCCTTGGATTGGGAAGCAATCGCAGGTTCCCTCAAATACAAACGCAGTGCCAAATCAAGTCGGACAAGTGGCTCTCCCTTCAGAAAGCAACGCCTTTTGATTTCGGACACTCGAGGAACAGCTTAAACCTCGCAGTCTCTCTCTCTCTCTCTCAAATTATGGCGTGACTTTTGGACAATTAGAACGCCCGCCTTTGTTGAGCGGCAACAACCACAGTGTTCTCTCTTTAGAAGCAAGCGCCTTTTGACCCGCCCTGCTGGGAATAAAGAAACGCAGCTTCAAGATACTGTCCACACTTCCAAGCAGCAATCCGCTGGTGCTTTCTCGCTGCTGGCGCGACTTTCACAGAGCTTACCGTTTGACACACTTTGTTTTTTCTTTTGGGGGGGGGGGGTGAAATACCAAAGGGTCAAAAGGCCCCCCTGGCATGTCATGCAGTGTTTGAGCTCTCTCTCTCTCTCTCTCTCCCACTCCATCGACAGGTCCATTCAGATTTCAGACTTCTTTGACTGCCGCAGTATCCTCAAGAATGGTCAATTTCCGTTTTTTTGTTCAGAAGCTTCCGAATGATTAGACAAAACAAATGGATCCCCCTAATATTTACAATGGGTTGCCCTTGCAAGTCTTGTGCAGAGATTGGCTCGCTCCTTAATCACGTCAACACTCGTTCTTCGACCTACCACCTCTTGGTTTCCCATTGAAGGGGAGGGACGTGTTGGTTCTTTCCTTGCGAATTCTGCAACCCGAGCACAGGTCTGTGGCCCGCTTTGTTGTTGGACTGGTTCAAAGGAAAGTCGAAAGCACCTATAAGCCCAGACCCCCAGCGGCTATTGAGCACAAAGAGGTGCAACACCACTTTGTTTCCGGTAGTTGATTTTAAAGGGACCCCAACAACAAGGCAAAGCGCTCCACTGGAGGTCTGGATAAAGCAACATCTAGAACGTTGGAGCTTGCCGCAGCTTGCCCGCCAAATTGGGCGACCATCTAAAAAGCTTTAGCTTGCCCACCAAATTGGGTGCTTCCCCCAAAAACGTGGGACCCCTGAAAAAAGGAATCCTTTCCCTCTCGCTTTCCTCACGTCCAAGGACCCGCGTGCGGCCGAACCCATTGCCCGTGCCTCGGACGCTTCGACCTGCGAGACACGCAACGGTTTCAACTGGTGTGAAGCTTACCCGAACCTCTACCAGGAAAAAAACAAACATCGTCTCTGTTTTAGCTCATTTTGGTCATGGGGGTCCCGGGGAGGGGGGGGAGGAACATCTAAAAATGATATCCGCCGACCCCTTTCTCCAAAGGGGAGGCGCATGGGAAGGGCTTGTATTCGTCCTTGTCTTCGTGATGTTTATCAGCACCACTGATGTTGGGTGATGGGTTCGCAGCATCCGGGTCATCAGCATTCTACGTTTCAAGCTTGCCGTTCAACCCGGCTTGGAATGCAGTGATGCATTTTAGTCATGATTGTTATGACAGCTGCTGCTCATGCAGGGGATGCATAGTGATGATTGCCATCAGGATATCATCACGGTAACTGCTGGTGATGCTGGAGATGCGTAGTGATAGTCATCAGGATCATCATGATCATCATGAGCAATGCTGCATCTGATCATCATCATCACTCTTCTCATCATCATCATGATGGTCATCATCATCTCTTTCTTGTTCTTATATGCATTTCAAAAGTAACGTTAGATGCATTGGCAATGCAGAGGATGCTACGATGATAGTTATCATCACAGTCCTCATCCTTATCATCATTATCATCATGGTCATCATCATCATCTCTTACTAGCCGCAGCATCCGGATCATCAGCATTCTACGTTTCAAGCTTGCCGTTCAACCCGGCTTGGAATGCAGTGATGCATTTTAGTCATGATTGATATGACAGCTGCTGCGCATGCAGGGGATGCATAGTGATGATTGTCATCAGGATATCATCACGGTAACTGCTGGTGATGCTGGAGATGCGTAGTGATGATCATCAGGATCATCATGATCATCATGAGCGATGCTGCATCTGATCATCATCATCATCACTCTTCTCATCATCATCATGATGGACATCATCATCTCTTTCTTGTTCTTATATGCATTTTAACGTTAGATAGCATTGGAAATGCAGAGGATGCTACGATGATAGTTATCATCACAGCCCTCATTCTTATCATCATTATCATCATGGTCATCATCATCATCTCTTACTAGCCGCAGCATCCTTATCATCATTATCATCACGGTCACCA